TCTTAACTGATGCTAGCGCTAGCAGCAATGCAGTTTTAAGTGACAGGAACTTGAGTGAGACCTGGTCCAAGGGTTCAAATGGGGCTTTGGATAAGCCGTGCAGAACCACCGTTAGATCCCACTGGGGAAAAAGCGGGCAGGACACAGGTCTGTTCCTCCTGACACCTTTTAGAAAACGTTTTGTGAGGGGATGATTGAAAACAGATCTATCTCCAAACCCTTGGTGACAGGATGAGATAGCTGCAGCATATGTTTTAATAGTGCTGAAGGCGAGGCCCCTGTCCATCAGTATCTGCAGAAACGATAGGACATCCGCCAGCTGGCAGGAGAGCGCTTGAACATTCCGCTCTGTGCACCATTTCTGGAAAGCTGCCCATTTAGCAGCGTAAGACACAATGGTAGAGGGCGCCCGCGCACTCTGAATCGTGGCGACCACATCATGCGGCAGCCCAGAAGCCTCTAAGCGTGACCGCTCAGCGGCCAGACCCACAACCGTTGGCCTATTTCCGGAGGATGTTTGATTATCCCATCCGCCTGGAGAAGGGCGTCCGCCCTCCACGGGAGCCTCCACGGGGAGCCGGACACTAGCGCTTGCAGGTCCGGAAACCATGACGCGGACAAGCGCCTGGGAGCCACCAGAATCACTGAGAGCCGTTCCGACCGAATTCGGTCTAAGAGACGGGGAATCAGAGGGACTGGTGGAAACGCATAAAGGAGCGCTCGAGGCCAGGGCTGGTGTGAGAAGGCGTCCGCCCCGAGCGGAGGTCCGTCCCGGGGACTCAGGGAAAACCACAGGCGACACTGAGCGTTTTCGCGAGCCGCAAACAGATCCACAGACGGTTCCCCGAACCTGATCCAGATCTGTGATATCAGTGCGGGATGCAGACGCCAGTCGGAGTCGCGGGGTCCCCCTCTCGACAGGATGTCTGCCGCTACATTCAGGACCCCCGGAATGTAGATGGCTCTGATGGACAGCAGGTGGACATGTGTCCAACACAGTAAATCTGTGGCGACACGCAACAGAGGGAGGGATCGAACTCCCCCTTGGCGATTTATGTAGGCTGCCGCCACCTGGTTGTCTGTGTGAACTTCGACATGACGGCCCTCGAGAAGGGCAGCAAAGTGTCTGATCACATTCCTCACTGTCATAAGCTCCAACACATTTATGTGCTCGTGCGTGTGGGAGGGCCAACGATCTGCCACCGTATGGGACAAGCACGTGCCCCCCCACCCCGACAGTGACGCATCCGTAAACACAGATACGTGTGACGCAGGACGTCCGATGGGAACCCCGCGTGAGAGGATGCAGGAGTTCCCCCAGTGAGCGAGGTCCCCGCCCACTGAAGGGGGAATCCTCAACATACGTCTCTTCTGACGTATCGGGTGCACCCGGAGGCGGGTGAACCAACGTTGCAAGCGCCTCGTGTGCAGCAAGCCTAGCGGCACCACCGAATGGGCTGCGGACATCATGCCCAGGAGTTTCATGACTAACAGGGCTCTCACGATCTTGCGGGGTTGTACACGGGAGATCACCGTGGAGAGATCTGCCGCTCTTGCAGGCGACAAACGTGCTCTCATTAGGGAGGCGTCCAACTCCACCCCGAGATACACAATCGACTGGGATGGAAGAACGGAGCTCTTTTCCCAGTTTATAGAAAACCCCAGGGTCGACAGATGCTCTGTCAACCTCCTGGTTTGCCGTGACGCCTCGTCCTTGGACCGAGCGCACAGGAGAAGATCGTCCAAGTAAAATAAAACCCTCATTCCCTCCGTGCGCAGTGGCTGCAGCGCGGTCTCCAGACATTTGGAGAAGGTGTGCGGGGCTAGCGAGTAGCCGAAAGGGAGGCGATTGAACGGATATTGAACTCCCTTGAACGAAAAACGCAGAAACTTCCGGTGATTTGGAATTACTGGTATGTGGAAGTATGCGTCTTTAAGGTCGATTGACGTGAACCAATCCCCGGGGCGCACATATTCCAGGACTTGTCTCATCGTTAACATGCGGAAATGCAATACTGCTATGGAGCAGTTGAACAGGGACAGGTCGAGAATCAGTCTCATTCCTCCCGACTTCTTCGGTACTATGAAGTAGCGGGAGTAGAAGCCCGAGAGCTCTTGTCCGCGAGGGACTCGTGAAATAGCGTCCTTGGACAGAAGTTCCCGCAACTCCAGCTCTAGGGCCTGAGACTGTACTTGCGATGTGAACGTCGTCTCCACGATCCCGTTGAAGGGAGGTGGAGTGACCTGAAAATGAAGTGTGTGACCGCAATGAATGGTGTCCGAAATCCATTTGCTCATGATACAAAGGCGGCGCCACTCGTGCGCGCGTTCCGACAGTGGACGCGTGTGCGCGGTCACGTGAGCAACGACTGAGGGTTGTGCATGCGCCCTTACCGCCGTCGCCCGTACCAGAGAACTGGGGGCGACCCATGGAGGGCTGCGCTCGAAAGGGCAAGTGCGAAACAGCTGGAACAGGCTGGTCCGCACCGCGGAGCGTGGAGTCCGAGAGTGAAGGACGAGTGGGAGCCGAGCCTGTGCACGGGGGCGACAGAGTGCCCGCGGATGAAACCGCGCACTGTGCCGCCGCGCGTGGTCGAGACAGCGACCTGACATCTCGCCCCACCCGACGATGTAGTGAGAGCTGGGAGAGTTGGGCCCGGCCGGATGCTGGGGCCGGAGCGCAAATGGAGCGCACCCTTACGGTTGGCCGTATATTATGACTGCCTGCAGGAACATGTATGCGTGCAGCAGTGCTTGGTGTGGGGAACATGTGTGAGAACTCGGCAGAGGATTCTGCGGAGGACTGTAGGATTGTGCTCTTTGAGTGACATGTTTTGGGTTTTATTTCAAAACCAACATCAACATCATTACAATCATGTACACACACATTCCCCCCAAAGAGTCACTTCCGTGGCTGCTTTCGGCGAGGCTCGTGCACCTGGGACTGCCAAGACGGCGTCTGCTGGCCCCGCCGGAACCGTTGCCCGCCATCTCGCTGGTCCCGCTGATGCGGAGCCGAAGCGGGAGGCCGGCTCCGTGGAGCGGACGGTGCAGCTGGGCGTTTGAAGCTTCCGCACCGTTCGTCCCATCCTCTGGCAGAACGGCCGGAGTGCGAGGCTGACCGAGGGTGAACCAGGTCTCGTACCGTAGACGATAGTTCGGCCGTCTTCTGAGCCCTCTCAATGACGCCCCTAAGATGGGGACCAAACAGAACATCGGTGGTGATGGGGCCGTCCAGCATCTCCCTTTGCAGATGTTCCGGAATGGAGGGCAGGGCCTTGAGCCATATCGCTCGCTGGATGAGGGTCTGCCAGGCAGCGATGCGAGCAGAACCGGTGAGCACAGCAGCACACAAATTGAGGATAGCATCAGCAGTCTTAGTAATGACGGCTTTCGACTCCTCGGGGGCTTCCAGCTCCTCCATCATCCTCGAGACGCCGAAGGCAAGGAGGGCGATGTTATTCCCTGCAGCGCCGGTCTGAAAGGCACACTGATGTGCGCGGTCGGTGAGCCGCGTCAGCAGCTGGTCATGTTTTGAAGCGGGAACAGCTCGCGGGCCAGCGAGGTGGTTCTTGGCGCCAAACAGCGAGGCCAAGTCCGGCTCTAGCGGAGGAACGGACGGCCAGCCTTGGTCGGAAAACCCCTCGACCTTGGTGATGGGCGCATAGGTGGAGACTGGCGCCTTGAGCTTGGCAGGCTCGGAGAAGGCGGCAGACCAGCAGCTCATAGCAGCGGGAAAGCGCGGCCAAATAGGGTCTAGACAGCGTGTCTGAGTTGCCCCGAAGATTCCCGCCAAATCATCCGCTTCAGGCGGGGCTGGTTCTGGCACAGCTAGCCCCTTGTGGGCTGCTGCCGCAGAAATGATGGCGGGCAGCTCCTGGAGCAGTGCTCTTACTGCTGGCAGGGAGGAGCGAGAAGCCACTGGGGCAGAAGGACCCGCTGGGCGGAGCTCATCGACCTCCGTTATGTCTAGGAGGGATGCCGCCTCGTCGTAGTTCTCGCTGTCGGTGACGTCATCCAGCCGGTTGAAGCCAGCCGGCTCCTGACTGGCGTCGAAGAAATCCAACGCCTTGTCCAGCGGGTACGAGTCAGCCACCGGAAATTCTTCGGCGGCGGCGGGAGTGAAGTACTCGACCCGGCGAATCTTCTCTGCCACGGGCAGAGCGGCACAGAACGGGCACGAGGCCTGCGGGGTCAAGGCCAGGCCAGCGTGGTGAGCCCCGAGACAGACCTCACACTTAGCGTGCAGGTCTCCGCTGGAAATGGAGCCCGACTGGCAGGTCGGGCAGGGTCTGGCGTCGCTGGACATGGCTGGTAAGTCTTCTCGGATAATCTTGCTCTTTCTGGATAAATTTGCTCTTTAAGAAGCTCTCAGCTTGGCATGAAGAGAAAAAGGAGGCGAGCAGTGGGGTCACTGCGGTTATATACCACGAGGGGGCCCACTATTGGTGGGCGTACATTTAAGCTCTTCATGATTGGCTGATGCGGAGATCATCCTTCCAATAGCAGCTCGCTTAAGGGCTAAGACTAGACGAAATAGAACAGCGACAAAGTCGCTGAGTTGCCACTGCCTCACTCTCTGCTGCTAAAGCTACGGATAGCAAATGTTACGGGCTATGCCTGAGCGTGAACGCGCATGAAGCAGCCTGCTCGACCCGAGCAGCTCTCTTTTTCTGTGATTTTACAGAAAAACAGGCAATCACAGTAAAAATGCCAGGGCTCATTCTACAGGACCAGGACATTGCAGGAGAATGTATGAAGAAGAAATTTATTATTTCTATACATGTTTTGGCTTCAAAGTTCCTTATAGTCCCTTTAAGCTTTGTGTGGGTTAGGCTGGAAATGGATTACACAGTCAAACTCATGAGTGAGCCACCATAGCTGCAGTACTTTATCTGAACTGCGTGGCGCTAAAGAGTCGCTTTTTTTCATCATGATTAAAATTGGATTTCTCACATGGGGCCTTTAAGACCATCACAGTGAAGTATTCACAGTAGTTAATGACATTCATAATCTCATTTATTTTAATTATTTGCCACAGTATAAACATTATATATACGTGTTTAGTTTCATACAAAAATTCTACAACCTATGTAAAACAAGACTGAGTACACTAAGATGCTGTGTTAGGATCACTGAGAGGGAAAAAGTGCTGAGATTTAAGTTGAAATGTCCAGAAAAACGTTGAACCCAGGAATAAAAAGGTATTATTCGAAGGACGTTTATTGTGAGAATGTTTTATTGTTTTTATAACGGTCTGTTGAAATGATTCCAGGTAAATGTTTATGTTCGAGGCTTTTATTGTGAAGGATTTGAAGAAGTTCTTTGAGTGCCTCTGCGGAGAGGATGGCCAGTGAGTGCAGACAGTCAATAAACCGCATCCTCACTTTAAAGAAATCGTTAAAGTTTAATGTCATATGTTTTATATTCTCAAGAAACCTTTTGGCTTTTGTCAGGACTTAAATCCCATGCTCCTTTTTTGCCTCTTCTAAGTAGCCCTCATACATCATCATAAGACAAATAAAATCTTACGTTGTATTTATTTTTTAAATGAATCAACTTCAGCCACTTCCTAAATGTGGTCTTACATTTATGTGTTGTAATTCAATGTGTAATTGGCTTTCCAGCTGAATATACTGGCATGAAACAAACACTTTAGTGATGTCTTACAAGAATATTTAAAGGAAATAAAGTATTTAAAACCACAGCACAAATGTTCTTTTTCATCCCCGTGTCTTTAAATACGTTGTCAATAGAAACTCCTGATTACTGTTGCAGATTGAAGAGGACATGAGGCAGAACCGATCATGTCCGGTCCACACGGTGGATCAGACCGTCCACACAGACGAGGAGAAGGCCATCAGGGAGGTTGTGGAGAATGTAATGTGGCAGATGGCGGCAGACAGGAAGTCCACCGCCCTCAAACAGCTCCAGGGTCACATGTGGAGAGCGGCTTATACCTCTGGAAGAATCAAAGGCGAGTAAGTACACTAGTCGGTTTGCTCACTTTCATTTATCGTGAACAGGTTCTGCCTCAACTTGGAACAGGATGGAGCAGGTTTGCTGCCAGGAGATTCTGTGGTTCATAGATCTGATTTCCTCTGCTCCCCAGGTTTGAACACGTATTATTTAGTTAATGTTTAGGGTTGCAGGTTCGCACTCCGCTCATTCTCTTGTAGTTGTCATGTCTTTGGGCAAGACTTTTATTTGCCCGGCCTGACGTTGGTGGTCGGAGGGAACCGGCGACACCTAGTGTGTGTGCGTCAGCCAGGGCAGGGTGGAGGAGGAGATGATTAAAACTGACAAACCAGTTCTGTTCATTATATGTTTGGAAAAAGGGACTTATTATTATTATTTTTTTATCCAATGTGGTCAAAGTGTAATGATTTTCCAGGTTCTGCTGCTAATGAAAAATAAGTTTGTGAATCCAGTACAGCCAGTAACAAGCTTGATGTTCTTAACTTTGAAAATGCATGAAATGTTTTTAAAATGTCTTTTTCTAACAGGATCTACCCAGATGTGATTCCATCCATCAGAATGTGGCGAGAACATGGCCTGAAAGTCTACATTTACTCATCTGGAAGCGTAGAGGCTCAGAAACTCCTGTTTGGATACTCGGTGGAAGGAGACGTTCTAGATGTAAGTAACTCCTTGTTTTTACACAAGCTTTTCGTTCATATTCACTGTCTTTGGCTACAAGATGAACAATTCTCAAGCTTTACAAAAACAGGGTCTCTGACCCGAGTCGACACTGGAGGCGTCAGCGGTGCAGAACGGTTTCGTTGCTAGGGAGCATCTCAGACACGGTGCAGCATCACCGTCGTCCTCCTCGCTGTACTTGCAAAACGAAAAAATCCCTCGAGACTTCAAAGGTCACGGTTTGTTTATGTAATCCGCCATTAAAGAGCAAGTCACCCCCTACCAGTCTTGCTACACTGCCACTTACTGTTTGAAAAATGCAACAAATGCTGTTGCCTGGCAGACCAAGAGGGCGGAGCTGCTAATAAATTCATACACACGCAGGCTCACGGCATTGTAACATCATAATGTACCAGCTAATGTCATAGTGTACCTCTTAGCCAATAGCGGTGGCAGATTTTAATTCAAATGCAGTGCAGTTTTTACCTGAAGAGGGCGCAGCACTGACAGTTTTAGGCAGAATATTTAAATTTTAACCAAGATGCATTAAAGTGCCAAATTATTGACTGCATGTATCGACAGCACGATTAGATACTCATTTATAGTTTATCAGCAAAAAAAAAGTGAATTTGGGCGTGACTTGCTCTTTAAACTAAGAAGAAGGAGATCACTGTTTGATGCCACATATGTTGTTCCTCTTTAATGTGAGGATTTAAGCCATGAAAAACTTGCCGTTGCACTTCTCGAACGATGCTGGGAGTGAATACGCCGTTGGGTCACATGTATCTACATAAATAAGAAATCACATCTCTGCAGTAGTCTTTTATTTTGAAAACTACCAGTGTGATTTCCTGTCTAGCCCTATGTTAACTGTGAAAAATAATACATCACAGAAGCGGCTTGCGAAAAATAACAAATCCCAACCCTATCTTTGGTGGCACAGCGAGCCACTTCTGTGGCGTTCCACACCGCGGCCGGTTTGGATCAACCATATACTGTAATAGAGGGAGGGACTGGTGGCGCCTCTGTCAGCGCGCCCCAAGGCAGCTGTGGCTACAATGTAGCTCATCATCACCCGCGTGTGAATGGGTGATTGTGTTGTAAAGTGCCTTGGGGGGTTCCAGGACTCTAGAAGGCGCTGTATCAAATACAGGCCATTTACTTGAAGCAGAAATGTCTTGTGCCGCTGATGCCTCCAGTGTGAATTAGGGGTGAGATACTTTTTTATTTTATTTATCAGTTCAGGGTTTTAGACAGTGTTTCTGATATTTTGGACTTGGATCATTTCAGTTATTTGACGGCCACTTCGACACAACGATAGGAGCTAAAGTTGATGCCAAAAGCTACGGGAGGATCGCTGAGCGGATCGGCTGTCGTCCTGAGGAAATCACTTTCCTAACAGACGTGATCAGAGGTAAAGATGCGTAAACATCCAAGCAACTCCGTTTGATAAGACACGGGAACATTTTCAGTAAATGAGTGGTGATACTGACTCCTGTAATGTTAAGATGATTCATTCTGTCAGAGCAAGCTGAAGATACTTTTTCAGTTATTTATTTGATCAGATTTACTCATTTAAAGCCCCGTTCAGCTACCTTTACACCGTAACTCATTCACTGCCAGCCGTTTCCTGATCAGTAAAGCCCTTCGCTGCCAGTGTTTTTCACCATTTTTACTGTTTTCTTAAGAGTGATAGAACGTTGTGCGCTAGGATGATGTCGACGGCAAAACAACCAAAACAAAGCGGAGACTCACCTCTCACATCAGGAAGAATCCGCGCGTTTCGAGCGTTATCCGTTCTTTCATAATCCGTTGTTGAATTGTGATCGGCAGACGCTTTTCTGGTTTGCGCCTCACTTTTTGTTTACAGCAGCGGCCCAAAACAATCTCCTAACACATGGATTTTCTGCTTCCTGATCACGTGACGTGTGACGTATGCGGATGAAGATCGGCTTCAGAGCTGAGATGTTTGTTCTCACGGTGCGGGGGCTCGTTCCGACGCCCACACAGTAAAAAAATGCAAATGATGACTTAAGTCGTCATTGGCAGTGAATGAGTTAAATGTTTTCTTTTTCTTCTCTTTTTTTAAGTTTTGGCGGCATACTATCTATTATGTTCATTTTCAATCAATCAATCAACCGATCAATCAACCAACCAATCTATTCAGATTTTGTTTATAAAGCACTTATCAAAGTGCTTTACAAAATTACCCCTAATTCCCATAACAGTTTAAAAACATTAAAACACACACACACCAGTAAAAATTTATAAGCATTATAACCATTTATAAATGGTTCCTCCTCTGGAGCTTCAGGTTTGATAGCACTGTGTCTCCTCAGTCTTCATGAGTCACTCTGATAAATTAGGAACAATTTGGATGTCCTCACCTATTCTCATGATGTGGAAAAGAAACAGAAACAAACTGGTTTTGCCACAAGTGTTACTGGTTCAGTTGTTTGCAGGTGGGAAAAGTCCCTGCAGTCGAACTCAGTTTTATTTCTGTTCTGACTCGTACTTTTGTGATTGCAGAGGCTAAAGCAGCAGAAGAAGCCAGCATGAACGTCCTGGTGGTGGTCAGACCTGGAAACATGGAGCTGACGGATGAGGAGAGCGCCAGCTACAACCTCATTACCTCCTTTAGTCAGCTTCAGCTGATTGGTCGAGCTTAATGCAGGAAGAGAGAACTTTGAGATGATCCTTTTCTTTGCACCTCCCTATTTTTCTTATACCTCTTTGTTGGTGTTGTGAATTGGACTCAAGTATGCTTACCCATCCCACTGTCTTTATGGGTGACCCCGTGAGGAAAGTTGGCCATTGAGCAGGACTGATGGTTTATCCCTTGAGATCCACGTGGCTGGAGTGAGGTGGTGCTCACTCCTCACCCCTGCCACGTGGACCCAAGGGACAAACCATCAACCCTCCTCAATGGTCAACTTTCCTCGCGGGGTCACACCCATTAGGACAGTGGGAGGGTTACAGGCCTAAGGCCCAGGTCACGGATGTCGTTGTCTGAACCGTCGACGGTGCTGTGTGGCCTAAACACAAACTGGCCTGAAGAAAGCTGCACATAAACAGTGAGGTTACCGTACCTTTTTAAGCTTTTAGGTGAATTTTTCTGTTTTGACTACTGTTTTCCATCTGTAAATGTGGATGCTGTATTTGTCACTTTTAATTTTCTGCACCTGTATTAGAAAACAGATGTTCTGAAAATGGAACTCGGAGAAAATGCTCTAGTGAAAAACGAGTTAGTCTTAATTTCTCTGCCATCAGGTGAATGGTGTGTGTAAAATGTGCCATCTGTGTTGTTTACGAGTATTGTGGATGTTAAGAAAAACAATCCTTAGGTGGTTTTCTTTGGGAAATAAAGTTTTAACCAATAGGAAACGTTAATTTCACTCAGTCAAACGTGCTCCGTTTACACAATTAAAGGGTCATTTAACACAAATTGTAAAACTGCTACAACATTTGCTGCTGTGAAGCCAAACACTTTTGGTTTTACTGTTGGAAAATAAATTCAAATTAAATCCAGACCTTCTGTCATAATTCTTTTCTTCCAGTGACAAAGCAGATCCTGGCTTAGTTTTAGGTAAAATGCCTTCCAGTGTTTAAAAGGTAATACTTGACTCAGTGGGACTGCTGCCACTTCTCTGGCCGCAGGTCTACCCAGCCCTACCATCATACTTCATACCAGTTTGATCACGCAGCCTTTTACCCCATTCAGCCAGTGAAATAAAGCCCAGAAGTATAATTTTACTTACTGATAAAAGTGAAGCTGACTTAGATGGTCTGCTAATCACCTCACTACTTTTGAGTCAGGTACACCACCCAAACCATGTTGCTGTCCAGATTATTTCTTTTATCTGACGGAACATCTTCAGTATAGAGCAGAACATTGTTGAGTTCATGATACCATCAATGCAGTGCAGCTCCCCAACACCAGCAGCATTCATGCAGCCCCACATAATGACACTGCCACCACGTTTCACTGTAGGCACCATGCACTTCAGCCTGGAAGCTGTGGTGGAGTTGCTAATGCTAACAGTTAGGTTCTACTAGCCGAGACATGCTCTACTGTCTCCTCCGTGCTAAACGTTGCTAATCCAACAACAGCCTTCCCTGTTGTGTGTCAGGATGGGTGAGTCCATGAATGTTAAGTGACATAGATCTGTCAGACTTTTCAAATCCTAGAGTTTAACCATCTTATTTCCTATCAGAAGCTAATGCAGGAGATAGATGTAGGAGACTATTTTCATGTTCAGCCTGCATGAAACACTCAGAGTGACTGAATATATTCAGAAAAAGCATTTAAAAATGTTTTTTTTTTCAGTCAATCACACCTTTAAGAGGTTATTGGTATATGTTCATGAGTGCTGCTGCTCTGATTGGTTGTGATTAGATGTTTAGCGTTAGTGAGAGCTGGAGCGTCTCAACGGTTTACTGCTGTAGTTTAATAAACCACTGCTAAGAGTAAAAGGTCATTCTGTCTGTGCTTTAGTGCTGCAGAAGTGTCACAACAATATTATAAATTATCTCGTGTTTGTATTCCAGCATCCTTAAACTCCTGGCAGCCACATCAATAAACTTTAAATGCGTAAGGCTGTAGCATACTGGTGGCCAGAGAAAGAAACTATTCATGTTGCAAATATTATGTTTTAACAGGATTAAATACTGTCTGTATTTATGTTGAACTTTGAAAACATAAACTCAGCTTTTCAAGACTGTTTAAGCGGCTTAATTTTCCTTAAATCAATTAAGGACTTTTCACGATGTCGCGGATACCTAGCCTAGTGAACTAGACCAAATTCTTGCTTTGCAAAGTTTGGTGTAGGAATGCTCCACTGGAAACTCCGCAGCCCCCAACAGCATTCTGGCTGGCCAATCACAGCTCTCTAGAGGGGTTTCAAACACATAAAGAGCTGTGATTGGTCCATAATGGTGGGCCAATCATAGTGCTCTATCTGCTTAGTGAACAAATCACAGAGCTTTATCCGCTTCGTGGGCCAATCAGGGCACTCTATGTGCCTGGTGGGTGGGATGATGCAACAGAGTGAAACAAGAGTATGTCACATTCATTGTCCAGTAGAATGCGGAGATCATTTGAAAGACAATGGTAGAACCCGCCCCACAACCGAGAGCCGTTAATGGAGCGTTGGTTGCCAGACTAAATAAATGTATTATTTAGTCTGGCTTGCCAGGCTAGTATTTAAGTGCTTTTTTTTTTTTTTGAAAAAATGATGTATTTTCTCCTTCTTCAACTGTGGACCGCCTCATTTACCGATAGCTGTTGCAGTGAGTATGTCACATTCTTTGTACAGTAGCATGCGGAGATCATTTGAAAGACAACAATAGAACCCGCCCCACAACCGAGAGCCGTTAATGGAGCGTTGCCAGACTAAATAATACATTTATTTAGTCTGGCTTGCCAGGCTAGCGGATACCCTGTAAATGTGACCGTTTCCCTCCAGTGATGAGAACAATAACATAGCTTCTCTAATCGGTGCAGTGTTTATGGTGTTGATACACACACCTGTAACAGTCCTACAGCTGCTCCAGGTGCTGTCTAAAAACATCAGAAGACTCGAACTGACTGACGGGATGCTCTAAATTGTCTACTGTCATGTCCACGTGGAAGTGACGAAACTCAACACTGAAAGTGCCGAAGAAGGCGAGGAAGAACATGACAAGAGCCCACTGGCATCGAGCTGCATGCATCTTGTCAGGGTTCAGCAACAGAGCTGGAGCAGAAGAATTAAGGATCAAGACATTGGTGGCGCATGAAAACAAATGCTTGGCAACCCAATTCCACTTTCTCATTTTGGTATTTGGGGAAAGGGCAAGCTCACCGAATTACAACTTTAATGTCCTATAATTAAAGAAGTAGAATACATCAGACCAGTGTTGTGGTCAAGTCACCATCTCACAAGTCCAAGTCACAGCCTTCTCTCTACACATTGTGCTATAAAGGATACCATATTTTAGTGCAACACAAATTGTAATGGCTGCAGACAGCAGGAAGCGAATAATGGCGACAGCCTTCCCCTCATTGCTCAGGTTAACCTTCAGGGTGATGTAAGACTGCATCCAGCAGTACACCGTCCCCAGTCCAAAGGTCATCAATGTGCCGATGTTGTGAATCAGCATCTCTTCAAATAACTAGAAAAAAAAAAAACTCTGCTGGTGAACAGTTATCTGGATGTGACGTCTGAGTTTGTTCTTCAGAACTTACCTGGAAGTTTCCCACAAGTGTCATTCCAAAGCAGCCCATAAGGAAACCGGCTGCGCTGACATAGTTTAGCCAAGGTTTTTCTATTTTCTTCTTCAGCTGAAGATATCTGAGGAGGCCGATGACAAAGCCTGAAACAGAAGAGCGCCGATAAAAACAGACCAATCAGCACACAGCAGAACACAACAACCAATCAGCACACAGCAGAACACAACACATAAGAAACTGTACCAAGGTCAGCGATTGCATCTGTTGGATGTTGTATAAAAAACCATATCATTGCTGCTTTACCTAAAAATGCTCCCATGTTCATGACCTGGCTGAAGAAGCAGCTAGCTGGTGGAAAGTTGCCTGTAACACTGAAAAAAAGATATTTATTTATAATTAAGTAACACTGCTTTTATTGTGACATGGATAATGTTGGAAAACTAGTTGGTACCTTATGAAGGGAGGATACAGTGATCCATTTTTTCCCCTAAAAAATAAAAAAAATACAATCTCATTGCAGAGATGCTTTAAATATTTATTTGCAGTACTTGGTGGAGCATAATTCATACCTGTACTCTGAACTCATAGCTACAACTTTTTCATTGTAAAGAGCAACAAAGTACCTGTAAAAAAAAGCAAAGCATGTAAAGAGATCCTGGAATTTCCTACATTAGGACAGAAATAGCTTCTTTTCCTTTGTGGTCATCCACAAAAAGAAGCATGGATTAGGGACGCTCCAATCCGATCACATGATCGGGAATCTGGTCCGATCATGTGATTTTAAAAGGATCAGGACTCGGTATCGGCAAATACGCAAAATCAAATGACTCTGAATCGTATTGGGATTAAAACGTGATCGGAACATCCCTAGAATGAGGGCGGGCACAAGTATGACCACATAACTCCTGTCCTGGCTGCGCTTCATTGGCTGCCCATTGATGTAAGGATTCGTTTTAAAATACTCTTACTGGTTTTTAAAACGTTAAATGGTTCGGCCCCTCCTTACTTGGTGTCACTGCTTCAACCGTACACCCCTGCACAGTCACTCCGCTCGAAGAACCTCATGCTCCTCTCGGTCCCAAAAATGCGCCTAAAGACATGTGGTAATGGGGCCTTTGCTGTGGCAGGTCCTAAGCTTTGGAACGAGCTTCCTCTCAGCATAAGGGCCTCCACCTCTGTTGCGGTTTTTAAGGCAAGGCTAAAAACCTACTTTTATGATCTGTCTTTTAATCTTTCTAACTAGTTTTATTGTTTTACTTATAGCAATCTGTGTACTCACTGTATTTTTTATCTGTATCTTGTTATACAATGTTTTTATTTTCTGGACTTAATGTTTTATGTTTTTACTTGATCTGTGTAGCGCCTTGGTGGCATCTTTTTGCCTGTAAGGTGCGACTTACAAATAAAGTTTAGTTGAGTAGAATGTATTCAATAACTTTCCTCACAATACTTATTTAATGGTCTCATTCACTGAGAAACCAATTTATTTAATACTTGTTCATTCTCTGAGTTGCATATTCATGCTGAACGTGGAAAATGTCAACAAATCCTATTTCCTTCATTAGCCGCAGAAAGGAAACATACAGGAAAATGATCAGGTTGGAAACAGACAGTCTCTTCTACGTCAGTGAACATTTGTATTAATGGCCCTGCCCACCTTGGCTTGGTACTATCCCCCTTATTCCTGCATCCCATCATGCTTTGTGCGAAAGATGCAAGCGACTTGCAGTCCAGTTTTAGTTTACATTGAGACAATGTGATTCCTTTGTGGAAATGCTCTTTTTATGGGCTTTTAGAGACTGAAAACACGCATGAACACCAGCTGTTACAGCTCAAACCGGACACCGTTTCACTCCTTCTGCCTACTGAAGCAGAGGTGGAAGGACGATCTTAAAGTCTAGCTACTTTCTGAGCTCTGTCGCATCCGACAGCAAGGCAATGAACAATCTTAAAAGCTCTGAGGCTGATCAGTACCAACATAGTAATAAGGCTGGCCGTGTTTTGTTGGAAGAGGTGGGACACAATCTTATTTACTTAAAAGCAGACGTAGAGCTGAGTCAGAGCCTTAAATCCATCATCACCAAGTTTTGGGTTTTAGTTTCTACATCAGGTGAAATACCAACAGCAGGATGGCACTTTTAGGTTAATAATACCCGTCTAAACCCACTTTGAATTATAACTATTCAGAAAATTGTGCACATGAAATCATAACTGCTGTTGTTCTTGTGGGACTGCTGTCAGATCTCTTTACTCAAATCAAATCAAACTTTATTTATATATCAATCAAAAATCAATCAAAATTTATTTATGAAGTGCTTTTCATACAAATGCAGCTCAAAGCGCTTTACAATATTAAAAACAACCAGACAGCAGTCGGTTTCCCACCACTTCCACACAGATTCACATAAGAGATCCCCTTTGTTTCTCCCTCTTCCCACCCTCAATCCCGTCCCAAGCAGATGCAATCTCCCGCACGCACGCACACACACACACGCGCACACTCGTAATAGAGAAAGGGCAGCTGGCTGAGTGCAGATGTAGTAGGTACAAAGAAGACGAAAACGCCATCAAAGGAGCCAACTGCACCGGGAGCACCAAGAATGGCAGCAATAGCCTTGACAAGAGTAGACATGGGAAGCCCCGGCCGCCATAGCCCACCGCTGCCCCCGGGGCAGCCGGCCACCACAGAGGAAACACTAGTTTACTAATGAGACTAAGATAACAAGTTAAGAAACAAATTAAACAAACAGCTGATAAATAAAAATCTAAATAAAACACAGTGATAAAAGATGACCAAGTAGAAACATATAATTACATTTATTAAATATTGTACAACAAAGTATTAAGACTGGTTAAAACTAATAATTATTACAAGTTAAAATAAATATATAGGAAAATGTGTTATTTAATTAAAAGAGTAAGTAATAAAACACTGATAAAATATATATAAAAGATGGTTAAAAACAGGCTAAAATAGATCAAAATCACTTAAAAGCTGTACTAAAAAGGTGAGTCTTGAGCCTGGCCTGAAAAACAAGAACACTCTCTACGGCCCTGAGGTCCTCTGGCAGACTGTTCCAGAGGCGAGGGCCATAAAACTGGAAGGATGCCTCGCCTTGGTAGTGTGTCCTGACTTTTGGAATGATGAGGAGATGGCTGCCAGGGGAGGGCAGGGACCGTGAAGGCTCGTGTTTATGAAGTAGTTCTGAGAGATAAGAAGGCCCAAGACCATTAGGACATTTAAAAACCATTAAAAGAACCTTAAAATCGATCCTGAAACGTACAGGAAGCCAATGCAGCTTGTTTAAGACAGGTGTAATGTGCTCCTGCCTCCTGGTCTTAGTCACGACACGAGCTGCTGATTTTTGTAGGAGTTGTAAACCTGAGGTACTCTTTTTGGGAAGACCAGAAAGCAGGGCATTACAGTAATCAATTCTACTGGTGATAAAAGCATGCATCAGCGTCTCTGTATCAGCCAGAGAGAGAAAGGGGCAGACTCTGGCGATGTTTTTCAGGTGATAAAAACCAATTTTTGTAATATTCTTAATGTGGGGAATAAAAGTTAGCTCAGAGTCAAAAATAACACCCAGGTTCTTCACTTTAGAAGACAAATTAATAGTGACTGTAGCTTTGGAAAAAGTTTCTCTCTCTGGGTCTTAGGACCGATGACTAAAACTTCGGTTTTGTCTCGGTTAAACTGGAGAAAGTTTTCTGACATCCAGGATTCAATATCCGAAATACAATTAAAAAGGGCATCTAATGGTCGTGCGTCATCCGGAGACACATAGATGTACAACTGTGTATCATCTGCTAAACTGTGAAATTGCACTCTGTGTCGTCCGATGACGCCACTAAGTGGAAGCATATACAGATTAAAAAGCACTGGGCCTAAAATCGAACTCTGGGGCACACCACATGTAATCTGCATGGTGGCGCAGTGGTTAGCACTGTTGCCTTGCAACGCGAAGGTTGCAGGTTCGAAACTCGGCTGCGGCCTTTCTGCATAGAGTTGCGTGTTCTCCCCATGCATGTGTGGGTTTCCTCCGGGTACTCTGGTATCCCCCACAGATCTCAACATGCCCTATAGGTTATGAATTGTAAATCGCTTTGGATAAAAGTGTCTGCTAAATGAATAAACATAAACATAAGTAATCTCATGGGTCTTGGAACAGAAGGTGTCTAGACTTACCATAAAAGTCCTGTCTGTGAGATACGAAGTAAACCATTTATGGACAGCACCAGAGAGGCCGATGTGTTTTAACCGGTTTAAAAGAATGTTGTGGTCCACTGTGTCAAAGGCAGTGCTTAAATCCAGTAGAACCAGAACCATCACTTTCTGTGCATAATTTATTCTTACGTCATTCAAAACTCTTAACAGGGCCGTCTCAGTGCTGTGGTTTACTCTAAAACCAGACTGAAATTTCTCTAGGATATTATGTGCAATAATAAAATCATTAAGCTGTATTAAAACAAGCTTTTCTAAAATTTTACTTAAGAATGGTAAGTTAGATATCGGTCTGAAGTTGTTAAAATCACTAAAATCTAAGTTTCTCTTCTTCAACGGGGCCTCACCACTGCCCCTTTAAAGGCAGCAGGAAATACCCCTGTTTGAAGAGAACAGTTCATCATGGTTAAAATCTCATCTATAAAATATTCATAAAATGGCTTAAAAACGAAGTAGGAACTGGATCTAACAGACATGTGGTGGGCCTTACTGAAGAGAAAACCTTATCTAGAGTTTCAGCCTCAACCAGGAGAAAACTTTCTAGTGTTTCCTCTGGTAAAGGTACACACTCAGATTTCGATAAATCCATTCATACAATAAATGCAACTCAAATGGCTTTACAAATTAAGATGACCCCACATACCCACATTCCCTCCCTCCCCATAAATATAAAAGCAATATTACAATAATATCCCCCATTACACTCACCGTCAGACATGCGCGCGCACACACACACACACACACACACACACACACACACACACACACACACGCTCAAAGACATAAGATAAAAAATCGAACACACTGGGCTGAGCTCAGATGAGCCAGACAAGATAAGTTAAGGAAATGCCATCAGGGGAGCCTTCTGCCCCGACAGCAGCAACCGAGGCACCAACGCAGGGCGCCCAGGGAAGGGAGGGCAAAGACTACTCGGTGTGGCCCCTCCGGAGGTTTGTCATATCCAGCAACAAAGTAGGATACGGGTGTTCCTCTCCAGTATTTCACAATAAAATGAAAGGAATGCACAAATAAAAGTTTGTGGTGGTTTTCAAGTTAAGATTTTTCAGCCACACCCTTTTGGGTTCCTCATCTCTGAGGAGGTGGTGAAAACCGTACCGACGCTCACAGCCGCACACTCTCTCACTCTGGCGGTGCATGTTCTAAATATCGCTCTTGTAGCTACAAAATAAATTTTCTGTAGTTGTTAGTACAAGCACGGACAGTGCAACATCTTCCCGAGCTGCCTGAGACAATTTTTTGGGTTTGCGCCACTTTCGGTATCTTACTGGATGTTGCTTGCATCAGCGTTTCTCCATGAGGCTACTCAAAAATAAGTTGGATAGAAGGCTAGGTTTATTTTGTGGCCAGGAGAGAGCAGAGCACATCTTGGCTAGTAGAAGCTAACCTTTAGCATTAGCAACAACGCCACAACATGAAGAACACGTTCGGGCTTGTGTTATTAGTGGAGGTAAAACATCAACATGGTGTTTTTAATCCAAGAAAGAAGAGTGAACAAAGACAACAGAAGAGTTGTGTTAGCCAATCAGATGTGAGACATTTGCATATCACAATTATTAAAGAGTAAGACTTGATATCCCGTTGTTTCCCTATCCCCTCCTACCCCCTGAAACAGGCGTGCAAGATTGTTTTTTCCACAGAAAAGGATTCATGGAGCATTTATTCTAGGAGAGAACACAGCAGATTTATTGGGAAAAAAAAGTGAATGAGACCTGCATCCTTTGTCTCTGTGGGATTTTGAGGGAAGTAAGTGTAAAGTTGAGATGAACTTACACCATCCACAGTCCAGCAGCGGTGCCCACAGAGAAGATGGGAGGAAGAAGAGCCCACAGACTGAAAGTCCTCATCCTGTCCACACTGCTGACGTAAGTAAGTAAATGTCATTTCTATAGCACTCATCACAGACATAGAATCACAAAGTGCTTCACATAGATCAAAACTAAATAAAACAAAGTCATAAAATCAAAATGCTCTCAAAACAGAAATAGATTAACATCAGAAAAAATAAAGTCATAAAATTATAAATGTTCATAAACAGATGAAAGATTAAAAATTTGAGTTAAAAATAAGAAAATAAAAGATTTAGTTAAAAGCAGCTTTAAATAAAAGGGTTTTTAGCTGTGTTTTAAAAGTGTCCGGACTGTCAATGCTGCGTAAGGATAAAGGAAGATCATTCCAGAGTCGGGTTGCAACAGTCTGGAAGGAGTGATCACCTCGACTTTTGTATCTGGTCTTTGGAACTTCTAGAAGGTTCTGGTGGGTGGACCTGAAGGCTCAGGTTGAAGCATAAGGCTTTAAAAGTTCAGTAATATAGGGAGGAGCTTGACCATGTAGAGCATTGAAAGTTATAGACAGGATTCTAAAATGAACTCTAAAGTTGACGGGTAACCACTGCAGAGATGTCAGAATAGGAGTGATGTGAGCTCTTCTGTTTGTTCCAGTTAGAAGCCTCACTGCAGAGTTCTGGACCAACTGAAGGCGGTCAAGGGCTTTTTTGTTAAAACATGTGAAGAGTGTGTTACAGTAATCTAGACGGGAGGAGATAAAGGCATGGAGAACCATTTCAAGTTCATGTTTTGACACCAACCTTCGCAGTTTGGAGATATTTCTTAAATGATAAAAACAGTTTCGGACCAACGTTTCTGAGTGGCCTTCAAGAGACACTGATTGGTCAAAAATAACGCCCAATTCCCTTAAGTTTGTCTTGACGGCAGAAGATAAATGACCAAGTTTTAAACTAATCAGGGGAACCATGCTCTCAGGGGCAATGACGTGGGAGCTGCACTGGCCTGCAAGAAGCTGTGGAACCTTAAATAAACCTAATCAACATTAACAAACACAAAAACGAACGCGATAAGTCAAGCAACAACGTTGTCTAAAGTGTAGTCAACTCCGTTAGCAGAAATGTCCTTTTCTATCTTTCAAAATAAAACGTGGAAAACCAACGGGGCTATGTCGGTGTCAGAGCTAAAAGCTAGGCCTTTAAAGGAAGCGATAAGACTTTACTTTCATCCAAAACTTTAAAATAAATACATTACAATAAAAAGGTAGATATTTTAGCTGATAATTTTAATAGACACAACATTTAACAACTTTATGAATTGAATAGACTTTATTAATCCCATAGTGGGGAAATTCACTTGCTACAGAGGCACATACGTCTAGAGAAAAATAAGCAAACACCATTGTAAAAAATAATACCACTTAAGCTATTTATCTCCTTGTTTGTGATTATTACTCATAAATTAAAGCCTTTTGTGACCCGTCTGTGTTTGTATAACCCATAACAGCGCAGTAATAATCATTATTTTCACCTTTAGTTAGACTGACTGATGCGTTGCTTCAAATGGCGATCAGAACGGCCACCCTAACCATCGCAATAACACAAGAAAATTATCTTTGATCTTTGAGCTGAAGTTGGTCCTTTTTGGGGGAGTTTTGTGTCTGGAATTTTCTAAAGAGTGATTACCACTAATTCTTAGACTACCTGAGCATCTTTAATTGCTCTAATTAAAAAAACAAAATGAAGGAAATTGCCTCCCTGGTGAGGTTTTCCGGGCATGTCCAACTTGGAGACCTAAAGAAAGGACAACTCTGGAGGGACTACGTCTCTCGGCTGGCCAGTGAACACCTTAGGATTTCCCTGGGAATCTGGACCAAGGGGCTGGGGAGTGGGACGTCTGTGCCTACACCCCACCACCCAACCCCCGGATAGGAGGAAAATGGATGGGTGATGGATGGAAAACTATCCCTGGATGCTCCACTACAGACGTGACACACACTGCCAATGCATTCTGCTGTTTACTTGTGTTGACTTTTAAAAACACCACTGCAAGATGCATTTAGCCTTCAGAAGTAGAAGTTTGTGTCTCTCAAAAGGCAAAATAAAAAAATAAATAAGTCTGCACATCTATGCTTAGGCTGCTGCGCTCTAACCCAACCCTGGATGAGAGGAGGAAAATGGATGGATGGATACAGAACATTTTATTGACTCTTCAAACCTGGATTAGATTAGGATCCTTAAACAGAATTGATTTGTGGAACCTTTATTTGATATGTGAAAGTTTTAAGAAGTAAAATGGACGGTGTTTAATTTAACTATGTGTTAACGGATTTGTGAAGCATGCTTTTAGATTAACTGCTTACGCAACATTAATGCATCAGATTGGTTCATGAACAAAACTTAATTTTACTTCAGACCTGCAAATGAAATCATTTCTAACTGTTTCTGTATAGTGCCTTATTAGTATACAACCTCCCAAAGCGCTTTACAACAGCGCTTTGCTCTGTTTGTGAGCCACTTTAATTTAGCTAAATTTGTAGTAAAATGGGACAATTTTTGAAGTCTTAAAACGTACAGGCCTATTTAAAAATAATACATTTTAAAGTATTTCAGCACTTATGGCCACCTTTGCTCAGAGCAGGAATTATTTCTATGATTTTTATATATTTTATGACATCAAATAAAAACAAAACAGAACAGAGAAAATAAATTAACCCACGTTTTATTCGTGTTTTCAAACAGAATCGAAGTAAATCTCAACCGAAAGTCGGACAGTTTCCTTTATGTACAGTCATTGGTTAAACCGCAGGTGCACGGGCCGACAATTTCGCTTCCGGTTTATTTTTTTCCGGTTAAGTACGGTAAAGGTAGAAAACGGAACGTTTGACGTCTAAAGGGTAATAGTGTGGCTTACCTGCCCGTGAGGTAAGCTATCACCTAGCTATCCGCGGTTCAGGCTCCCGTGAGGTGAGATGATAACAAAAATGTCTCCTCGTCCTCCTGTACTCCGACACCAACCGGTCTGTACCTTCTGCATCCTCTTCAAAATAAAAGCACGTAAACCACTTTACAATGGGGCGGAATGAAACACAGCAGGGCCCAAGGGCACAAAAAGCCCCCTTACACCCCTGAAAACCAAACACAAAATTGAAAGACGAAGACTCCTCTTTAGATTTTTATTTGGATCTAAACATGCATATTTGTGGATATTAGTTATTAAATATTTTTGTGTTTCATTTCCTGCACCTGTAGCATTAGAGACGCATTCAGCTGCTTGACCAGCGATCGATCAACATGAAACTCAGAAATCAGGATTTTAATTTGGTTTTTGGTTCAAAAACTCACCATTGTTCAGAACAAAATCCTACAGGCAACACTCTTCCATGTATTTCCAGAAAAATTTTTGTTAAACAATTAGAAAAACATATGTATTTTTAAAGTATTTTTTATCATGCACAGCATTTTATGTGCAACTTTTTTGTAGTTTTACATCATCATTGCATTGATATTTCTGTATTGTGGTTGTTTAACACCCTTCATTTTTGTTTAGCTGGTTTAGCTTAAAACATTAATAAAAATGGTGTGGTTTAAAGTTGCTAAGAGCAACTGCTTGCAATTAAATCAAGTTAACTAAATTTGCAAAAACAGAAAGAGACCAAAGACTCCCAAGTCCCACAAATTGTTTCTCTTATTGAACCATTTAGATTTACTGGCCCAAAGATTGCCTGCATAATATTTTAGGAACATGTTATTGGGCAGAAATTAAGAAAAATAAAAACCAACTTGAAATCAATTTGTAAATAAATACTATTTATTGAAAATATTGCCTGTAGTCAGTCAAAAACAAAGACTTGTTTTCATCTATTAACACAAAGTGAGGTTGACCACTCAGGCTGCAGCCCTCAATATAGCTGGAATGAAAAATCAAGTAAAATTCTTCCTCCAGTTTCTCTCCTAGGTCTGATTAATCATCAGATAATTACTTCCAACTCTTTAAAGAAGACCTGCACATGCATGCTCCAAAACACCATACAAAGCTTGTTTGTGTGAAGTCCATTGCACTCCATTTAGCATCATGATTATACTGATAAAAATAAGACAAAATAAAAAAAGACAAAGAAGTAAAACATGAACGTGCTCTAAGAGTGAGATTTGCACGGCTAAAAACACTGACAACTTGTTGGTCCAACGAGTTGGCCGCAGTGACACCAGTGGTGAAAGTAAATCAGGAGAATTTTAAACAAAAACAGGCATTAAAATGAAATAACTGACAAAACAATGCCAGCGTTGTAATGTGTAGTTAAAAATGATTTCATTTGCAATAAAATGCATCTAAATGAACAAATTAAGTTTTGTTCATGAGCCAATCTGATGCATTAATGTTGCATTAGCAGTTAGCCTAAAAGCATGCTTCACAAATCTGTTAACACATAATTAAATGAAATTAGTTTTACCTTTTGAAACGACCACTTTTATCACAATCATGTGAACAGAAACATCACTAAATTCCCTCTGGTTTCTCTCCACTTCTCACAAAATTTTTTATTCTAAAAGTTTCTTTTGCATATTTTTAAAGTTCTACATGAATCTACAGATATGAACTGAATGAGACTTTCAGCGCAGTGTGTGTGTGTGTGTGTGTGTGTACACAGGAGGAGGTATTTAACAGCCCTTTAATTTGCCACAATTTAATTTCACCACCGAGTGCGACATGGCTTATATTTGACTTGTGTTATAAAAACATGAATGGCACGAAGAAGAACTGAATATTACTGCTGAACGTCTCAGAAGTTGCTGCCGTGAGTCAAAAGAAGCTCCCTGTGAAAACATCAGCCAGCACACGCTCGGGTCCACCTCGCACCAGTCAGTCGGGACTCCCCCGACCTGTCACACCCCGAGTTTGTTGGCTTGTGTCAGCACCACCTTAAGCACGGGCATGAAGGCTGACGTCTCGCTGAAGTTGCTGCTGCTGATGATGTGGGTGTGGATGTTGAGGCCATCGATGTAGGATCGCGACTCTATGGTCCTCACAATGTTGTGGAGTCCCCCCACGATGGCGGGGGAGAGCTGTGACGAAGAGCAGCCGAGTTAAGTCAGTGTGAATGTGGGTGCTTGTAGACTTTAGCTGAAGCTTATGAATAAACTGGTGACTCTGTATTAAAGGAGTACAAGAAATCAAAACCACATTTAAATTGTTGAATAAAGGCAGCTTGGAGGGTCTAATGTAGCACAACAAAAAGTCTGCCAACCACGGCGTGCTTTCTTACGTTAAAGTGTGATTGACTGAATTTTTTTTTAACTCATTCACTGCCAGTGACGACTAAAGTTGTCATTTGCATTTTTTACTGTGTGGGCGTCGGAACGAGCCCCCGCACCGTGAGAACAAACATCTCAGCTCTGAAGCCGATCTTCATCCGCATACGTCACACGTCACGTGATCAGGAAGCAGAAAATCCATGTGTTAGGAGATCGTTTTGGGCCGTTCCTGTAAAAAAAAAAGTGAGGCGCGAACCGGAAAAGTTTCTGCCGATCACAATTCAACAAAGGATTATGAAAGAACAGATAGCGCTCGAAACACGTGGATTCTTCCTGATGTAAGAGGTGAGTCTCCGCTTTGTTATGGCGTCGACATCATCCTAGCGCGCAACGTTCTGTGACTCTTAAAAAAACAGTAAAACACTGAAAAACGCTGGCAGCGAATGAGTTAATGATTACTTCTGATTATAATGGGTGACTCTGTGTTTTTCATGCAGGCCGAACATGAAAACAGTCTTCTACATCCATCTCCTGCATCAGCTCATCAGGGTGTTTGTTTACAGATCGGTCCTCGGAGGCAAGTGTGCTGTGCTGTAACTGCGTTATACCACAAAAATAACCTCAGTTACTTTTCTAGATAAGTAATTACTTTTATAATGTGCTAACTGAGTTAATAACTCAATTACTTTTTGGAAAAATAATTAGTAATTATAACTAATTACTGTAATTTAGCATTCATGACCTCGCCCATCTTGGCTCGCGCCTGCCCACAGGAAGGCTTTTTAAAATTTTTGGGGGTTTTTTTGCAGCAAGGAGAGAGAGCAGTGAGTGTCTCGGTCTAGTGACTACAACAATTAGACCATCTGCTTGTCTTTCTCACCAAACCACCACACTTACATGTACCTGGGTCCTCCACTCATTACGCACTCACACATTTAGCAACAGGACACCACTGGCGTGAGGTTCACTCCTGAATAACACCAGAGAAGGAGAAACAGTCGGCTGCTACCACTCTAACTTTAGGATAAACTACCAGAGTCCCAAAAAGAAATGCACCATTTGAAGTTGTAGAATGCAAAAGACGTTTAGGCCTAGAAAACGGCGACCGGTGTGCATCACTGTCTTGTTTACTTCCCATATTAGGGGGGCTTGGCCTAGGACGAGAGCCGATGGGAGGGGTGACGGTTCTGTGACAGCGTTCATGTTTAAAAGCTAGCTTGCTTTGCAGCTTCCATTACACTGTTTAAATTGTTGGTGTCAATAATTGATGAAAAGTTTGTACGTGTGACTTTTGCACAAAGCTCACTGATGACCAAGCTGACCACTCACCGTCTGCTCCCTGAGTTTATCATACAGAGCTTCCAAACGTTTGTTGGCATCGTCCAACTTCCTCTTGGTTTGCTGTAAGCAGAAAAAAAAACAATATGAGGAGATCAGTTCACATACAGGCAGCGATGGATCAATAAACTCTGGTGACTACAAACTCACAGGGTCGGTGGCAACAGCCAAGCACTTCTGGATCAGGCCCTCAAATGTGGTTTTCAGAACCAGGTGCTCATCAGGGATGGGCTTCTTCATGATCTTCTCAGTGGGGATGGACTGCAGAGGCTGTGAGGATCAAACATGATACAAGTCACTTAAACAGAACTCCACGTTCAAACGTCGCCCGGAGCACAGCTTACCTGAATGGTGTCTCCTGTAGGTGCTCCTGGTGCCCCTTCCATGCTGGTGATGGGCCTCGTAGGGTTCATGACTGGATGGGAGAGCTGTTGCTGCTGTATGGTGGGGTAGGGAACCTGGGCACTTTGAGAACCCTGCATCACAGCCTGAGGAGCCCCAGAGGGCATCGACTGGGCCTGTGGATCAGCGCCCAGCGGGTTCGTGATGGGAGAGGTGATGGGGGCAGGTGGGGTGTAGTTTTCTGGAACATTCTGAGAAAAATGCAATGTAAATTTATCATGGGTGCAGAGGAAATGGGAATTTGAGCTGTATAGTGCCATAGAAATGTGTTGTATGGTAGTGTACAGATGTTGGATGCTTCATCGGTAGACACAGACCATAATGATTGTGACCTGAACCACCAGCTGAATAGAAAGTGATGGTCAGACTCCTTGGAAAGGCTGATTATTCTCTAGAGGCCTGAGCTGTAAGAGCTGAGCTGCAGGACTTCAGAAAAAAAAAAAAACTAAATATGTTTGAAATGATTGCTGCATAGAGGATGAATTAAAGATTAGCATCAGTGGGACTAATGGTGGTAAACACATTCCCCATCAAAACCAGCCATCAACCACCTTAGAGGTGTGTTTAATTCAGGTGAATCCTGCTGAAAATGTGGCGCACCATTATGAATCACGCCGAGTTCAAGCGGAAAATGTGAGTGAGTGAATTAGTGGGTGAAAGAGTGAACATTTCAAACACTGCTTGTACACAGCAACGAGTGGAGCCCATTAGAGCCAAGGAAGTAGAAAAACAATTATTGGGTTTTTAAAAGGGTGTGGCCTGTTTGCAACGAACGAATGAACGACTAACCTTCTTCTTCGGAGCTCGAGAAAAAGCCGGAGGGTCATTCCAGCCGTTCTGAGGTCCTACAGATAAAACAAACTTAGAAATCTGTTTAACACTTAACTTCATGCCCCCCTGTTGTTCTCTAGTGAGCAGACGGCATAGCTCTACTCTTTGTGTTATGTAATTTAGAAACAAACTGCCACCAGCTACAGCCACAAAAATGATAAACAAACACACAGATCTACAAATAATAAAAAAAAAGTTATGACTCTGAACTAATAAGTAGTTAATTTATTTAAAAAGATTATTGTTATTATATCGTTGATAATGTAAATGTATAAACCATTAAACATTCTTATCTGCTAATTAGAAATAAAGTAAAGCTTGATTTGATTGGCTAATAAGAAGATAATTAAAATAATATTCTGTGTTCTTTTTATTAAAATGATTATTTGTCAGATAAAAAATTTCAATTTCTGTCAAGATGACAGCAAGCCATGCAAATCAAGTCCAGATTATTTGGTAGACGAATCAGCCAATCACGGAGCAGTTAGTGACAAACAAACAGGATTACCTGGTAACAGTTATCAGATCCAACCTGCAGCTTTTCTAACTCCTTCAAATATAAGAAATGTTTCATTTTGATTTTCTCAGTTTCAAATTACGAGACTCATTTCCAATTATTGTGGTTAGATAATCAACTTTACACTCCAGAGAGGATCAAAATAAATCTGGTGCTGTTAGCACAACTTCACTTCATGTGTGTGTGTGTGTGTGTTGCTGAAATAATAGTGCACAGTTTTATTACACTTAAAACTGTACAATCTTTTCAGCAACACTGTCATACTACGGTTTGTTATTTACAGGTTAATAATCATCAAATAAAACCTGACTGATGATAAACTTGTGAAAAAATGAAAGTTAAAGAAGAGAACAGAGGCGGTGAGGATGATTGGAGCCATGCAGACCTGTTGTTGTCTGAGAGGCGGGGATCAGCCCGAGGTCTAGCTGTGTACCTGAGACTCCGCCTGGTGGAGGAGGCATGTACGACACGGGAGATCCAGGCCCGCCGTGCTGGAAAGGTGCTCCGGAGGCCGGAGGAGCGGAGAAGGAAGATGAGGTGGGAAAGAAAGGAGTGAGGGAGGAAGAAGAGGACAGGCTGATGGGAGGCTGTCCTGAACAGAGATGAGGCATCGGCTGAAATGGGACAGGCTGAGTGTACCGAGAGAAGAAGCCGGGGGGGTGAGGAGGGGAGGAGGGCTCTGCAGGAGGAGTTTCAGGAGGAGCAGCAGCAGAGGAGGAATACTGAAGAGGTTGATAGAGAGGCACCCCCCCAGCTCCAGGTGGGTACTGGTTGATCTGGGGGTAGGCTGGGGGGCACACAAGAGGTTCTGTTAGCAGGTTAACAACAGCTGCATCATGCAACAGAACAGCTACTTCATGCTTCAGGTTCCACACTACTGAGCTCCAAACACACCGAGCATCACGTTAGTGTCCAACATCAACGCTCAGATGTTAGAGCCAAACATCTTCTAAACAGAGATGTTTGGAGGTAAGTGGAAAAAAAACAATAAAATATAAAATAATAACTAGACAGGAACATGATTGTTGTATGGAGTATAATCAGACTTGTTAATGTATGGAATTAAATCTGGATTATGTCTCTCATTATGTGAAATCAATTCTAGGCTCTACAAGTTGTATCCGTGTGTGTGTGAAACCAAGCTAAAGGCCTGTTACCTTCTCTTATCATGTTTGTGTGTGTGTGTGTGTCCAGGCAGCCTTCTAGCCCCCTGAACTGTGATGTCGTAAAATAGTGATGTGCCTTCACTCTGCTGATATGGTCAAACGATTCATGTTGTGGATATAACCTGTTTTGATCTGAACAGATGTTGGGAGTAAGCATGTATGTTATCTTTTATCCTCTGTGGAGTTGGTCAAGATGCTATAACCATATAAGACATATTGTCCAGCTAATGTTGGAGATGACCATTTGATCCTGGGCAGAAGAAAAGGAAGGGGTAATCATGCCACGCCCCCCCCCCCCCCCCCGCTCTGACCAATGGATACGAGAGGAGGTGATGTAATCCCAAAGGAGAAGAAAGGGAGCCTGTGGGAGGCGCTGAGAGGAGGAAGACCAGAAGTGACCGGACATTGCGCTTCATGAGCAAGGGGGTGTTGCCATGGAGATGCACCCCTGAAGAAGGCAGAGGGGAGGAGGACAGAGTGAATAAAAGGAAGATATTGGGTCTGTTCAAGAGATGAGCTTGATGGGATGAGCTGAGCTTTTTGGAGAAAGGCTTTTGGGAGTTTTTAGGAGGGAGGGCCTTTGATGGGAAGAGTTTGAGAGGTAGAGCAATGGAAAGAAGGAAGCTTTTGCTTTGAGCTTTTTGTCAGTGATAATCTGACCTAGTGTCATTTTTGGAGAGCTTATTCAGCTCAACTTTGCTATAACTCGGTTTATTGGCAAAGAGTTGTTTCACTTTTTAACCCGCTTTGTCGGGGTTTCGTTTGAATTATTATTCTTTTTTTCATCTGTGTGAAATAAAACCTAGTTCCTCGGATTCGTGGAATGAAAAAAGGATTTACGAGTGGGGTCTCCTCCTGTCGGTAACCGAGCAAAGGTGAGATGCTGGTTGTAAATGCCATCCCAAGGTGTTTTGGATACAAGTCGTTTCCTCCATCCTAGGCAACAGGTAGTCAGTTGTCTCCTCAGCATAAAAGGAACAGCTGGCAAGGGTCTTAACCTGAAGTGTACATAAGCTTCATGGACTGAGGGTGTGTTGTGAGTAAACTGAGTCTCCCTTGAGCTGCATGAAGTTGGTTTTGCCAGAATCAGAGTCTAGGTTAGCGGTGACTGCTAATCAGCTTCTACAGAGTGCAGGCATTTTAAAGAGTGGTTGGTGTCATGCCCACGCAAATAGAAATACAAGTCAACCATGAGACATTAACATCTTTTGAAGAGTGAGGCTAGCTTGGGAAGATGGCTTGTAACAATAATAGAGATGAAGTTAAATTGCCCCCCTAGTGGCAAACCTCAAATTATTCTTTCCAGGCGCTTACAGACAGATGTGTGCAGGTTTCATGCATTTTACACACTGAGCGGTATTTACCATTTTGTTCTTGTGCGTAGAAATAATCCTAAACGAAAGAACAGCTCTGGCCATGCCTACAAACAGCATCAGGCATCATGCATGAGTAAATGAGATGAAAAATGAGAGCCAATGATTGTGTGTGTGTGTGGGGGGGGGGTTCCATTAAGCCACACGTTCTGGGTGCTTAGACTCAAATACAAAATGGCATCCTCTTTTTGTGTGGATGGGAATGTTTTACATCAGTGTACTAACTGATGTTGCCCATGAGACAAAGCTGCCACCTCACATCAGAGGAATAAAGCACTTACGCTGGTACTGATGAGAGTACATGTACGCAGGAGCTGAGGGTAGCGGTGGAGCTGCCACAGAGCTGGAGGATGGTACGCCATACATCAAGTTTGGGGGCTCCACCTGAGGAAAAAGTAAAGAAAAATAAAACCCAAAACTTATATTCTGATACTTATTTCAAAGATTTTTCCAAATCTAAAGACAGACCCGAAATAATAAAATGCGAGCTGATTCATGAACTCATTCGCTGCCAGACTTTCTCAGCGTTTTTACTGTTTTTTTTAAGAGTCACAGAACGTTGCGCGCTAGGATGATGTCGACGCCAAAACAATGAAAACAAAGCGGAGATTCGCCTCTTACATCAGGAAGAATCCGCGCGTTTCGAGCGTTATCCGTTCTTTCATAATCCGTCATTGAATTGTGATTGGCAGAAGCTTTTCCGGTTGGCGCCTCACTTTTTTTTACAGCAGCGGCCCAAAACGATCTCCTAACACATGTATTTTCTGTTTCCTGATCACGTGACATGTGACGTATGCGGATGAAGATCAGCTTCAGAGCTGAGATGTTTGTTCTCGCGGTGCGGGGGCTCGTTCCGACGCCCACACAGTAAAATGTAAATGACGACTTTAGTCGTCACTGGCAGTGAATGAGTTAAAGGAGACATGTTGTAATAGCTCTACAGTCGATATTAAACACCAGTTCCCTGACATAGGCTCACATGTGGAATACCAGCACCAGGGCTATAAATAAATGTTTGATTTTAAATCTTTTCAAGAGTTGGTAACATTCTGAGTTTAAACTGATCAGGTTCAGAATCTGCTGTTATTTGGGACATTTTAACATGTAAATAAGGTGGAAAACTTTGAGATATCAGCCATTAAAATCAGCCCAAAACAAATTCCTGTACATAAACAGCATCAACAAAGTGAAGGACAACATCCGGTGTCGAATATCAGAACAAGAACAAGGAAAGACCAAACAAAAGACTGAGTGAAGACGGTGGATGCATAACAGTCAGCAGAGGCGGAGCAGACCGTATCAACAGGAAGTAGGCTGATGGTGGTGTGGTTGCAGCAGAGTGGGGGGGGGGGGGGTCACCCCCTCCAAAGAGACAGTGTTTACATGCAGCTAGTAACCCTTTTAAAACCCGAATATTCACAATAACCCGGTTCCGCACGGCCATGTAAACACCGTCAAAAACCCGGATATGCTCATAACCGGGTTTTTAAAAACCCGGTTACTACACCTGGGGTAAGCCTTTTCTAACCCGAATGTTTGGTCGTGTAAACGCATATCGGGATATCCCCATCAAAGCGTGTTCTGCGCATGCTCTGTTCGCAAGGAATCTTGGTCTTTTGAGTAGGGAGACGTCTTGTATGCGCCAGAACACCGGAAGAAAACAACAATTTGGGAGCAACATGGCGAGTCGCGCCACAGCACCACACTTTTGGAGTGACGAGGAAACTAAAGCGCAAACAAACGCGGTTGCTATCTCTTCCGAACTGGGAAACAGGTTGTTTTCACGGATACTGGAACAAGAAGAACCGGAAATGACGCATATTGCGTCTGGACGTAGTCCATACGTCCTGACGCTACCCCAACGTCCGCATTTAAATCGGGTTATGCAAGTTAGGGGTAACTCTTTCTATTTATGCTTGTAAACGGGTTATTCTGATCAACTCAGAAACCCGAATACCGACCTTAACCCGATCATAACCCGGATATTGGCTGCATGTAAACGTAGTCACTCAGGACATGGAGCATGTGTCTGGTAGATGAAAGCTGCCTTTTTTAATCTGCATTAAGATGTGTTGGGTTTGGGTGGGAACTTGGTGTACCTTCTGATCTGAGGCACTGCCTACTTGAAGAGGAGGGGCAATTGGGAGGGCTGTGGGAGTTTGGTTACTCCAGGAGGTGACAGTGGAGGCAGCCCTGACCTGAAGCAAACAGAGATACACGGCAAAGGGCAATGATGGGTGGGAGGAGGGAGACACACACCCAACAACAGCACAATGGAAACAACTTTAATGTATAGTTTAGGTTTTTTTGAAGTGCAGCTGTGTGGAGAACATATGAGTAGGGATGGGTACCGAATTCGGTACTTTTTAAGGTACCGACCGAATTCCATAGTACCGACCGAGCACCGATTCACGTCGTTTCAAACGGTGCCTTGTTTCGGTACCCGTCCATCATAACGAGAACTTGCCAAGACAGCTGCGCATGCGCAAGAGCGTTTTGTCGTTGCTTGCTGTGAACCAGTTGTAAACAGAGCAGCATGGTAGAAAGAACGCAGGCTAAAGCTTGGGTCCACTTCACTAAATGTGATGGGTAACTGGATGATGAAACCAGCGACAACTATCTAAGTGAGACATCCTCATCTTAATCTGCTCCGGTAGGTAAATATAATTAGCTTGATATGTTAGCTTCCGTTTCGCTAATGGTGCGTTCGCTTTCTCTTCGGAACTACGAATTTTCGACTAGAACAACATGAATGCGCTCTAAAGTTTGGCTTCACTTTACTAAATGTGACGGGTGAAGACGAAACCAGTGACGATCTAAGTGTGAGGCATCGTTTTAATCTGCTCCAGCAGCTAAATAAACTGTTTAAGATATCGGAAGCTTGATATGTTAGCGTCCATTGCCACCATTGTTATCAGCTAATGGTGCGTTCGCTTTATCCTTGGAAATTCTAACTTCCCAGTAGGAAAAATCAAATGAAAAAAGATGGCAAAAGGAATGAAGATACACAGTAAATTTAGTTCACAGTAAAGATTTTTGCTTCAGTTTAATTATCAGCTTATAAAACTACAAGGACGATGTTAAAATACAAACAGTTGTATGTTATTTATCGTGATATTTATCAAATATTGTTATATATTGAGAAAAATATATATTTAATTATAAAAGAGAATTAAAATAATAAACACCCAAAAGTATCGAAAATTGGTACCGTTAAGTACCGGTATCGATTCGTAGGTACCGGTAATTAGTACCGGATCGATTCAAATGTCAAAGGTACCCATCCCTACATATGAGCAGTCCGCATCCTGCCTGAAGTCAGAGTCAAGCTAATATAAAATCAAATTAGCAACATCTAATCTGCTCCACACAGCTCCACCTCAAATAAACTCAACTAGTCCTTTAAACCCGTTAACACAAGACAGCCAAGGTTTAGACCACAAGAGCACCAAACCCTGACAAGCATTCAGTCATTGGCTGGATCGCTCCACATCAGGAGCGTTTAGCTTGAATCACCAGGCAGCAGATTGTCATTTAAACCCCAGCTATGAATGAAATCAGTCATGAGATGTCTACAAACTGTCTGATGAGCCTTTTTCTCAGTTTTAGAGGAAGATCCAGGTTGTGAAAGGCGAGGGGAGACGTACCGTCTGGTAATACTGTGACTGAGCTGGAGCAGAACCAGGTGTGGGTCCGGGGGCTGGAACTGCTGCAGCGGACTGGGGTGGGTTGTACAGCTGCTGAGCCTGATGAGCAGGAAGCTGGGATGACGCTCTTTGAGTTTGTGTCACAGCTACGGTTGCCTGCTGCCCCAGAGCCCGACTCAGACGCTCGCGCTGCTGCTGCACAGCAACCTGGATGGCAGGAAAATAGTTAAAAAACATAAATTACAACTAAAATGACTTTTCTCCTGCTAAATGTGACGAGATTTTCAGAGATTCGTTTAGAGGAAAACACTAGTATACCTCCACCCTGACTCGTGGAGGAGCAGCAGAACAAAAGAGATGTTAATAAACCTCATTTAGGGATTCTACTTCAGATTTATTCATAATAATAATAACAATAAAGCTAGGAGCATAAACACTGTTTTCTGTCAAATTTCTGTTAAAAAACAACAAAAACATTTTTGATGGATGTCCCTACAGTTCAGTTTAAATGGGGGGGGGGGGGCAGCTAAAGAGATGTTAGGGGATGAGAGGAGTTTAATTAAAGAATAAGAGGTAAGACACGACATATCTAAATTATATCTCGATATCTTCTAGATAAATTACGATATATATCTTGATGTTATATTTATATCCTCCTGTAAAATATTTACAAGTCAACTCCCTTCAAGCTGTCCAAAGAAATTGGATTCAGACCGAGCTTTGGAAGCACTGGTACAGCTGTCTGTTAACATCAAGCCCCATAATTCGGGTCTGAAATTGAAGCCAACACGGAAGTGAAATAAATTGCAGTTCCACCCTCATCCACTGGGGGCTGGTGTCAGAAGCGAGCAAATCCTCATTGACTCCCATGTTAAAAATGCAAATTTCACAGCAGAAATAAACATGTTTACAGCCTGGTACCAAAACATGTTTTAGGTTTAATAGATCTAGTTTAAACTCATGACAACTCTGAGGTGGGTGAATTTTGTTGTCACTCTTCTGTTTAAGTGTATTAAAAGCCTAAAATTCTAAATAATTAATGAGCATCAGACCCACGTGACCACAGAGCTAGCTCCGGGGAAAGGCCTCAGCCCGAGCCTCGGCCTCAGCCTGAAAACTGTTCCATCAGTTTCAGTCTCTCAGCTTAGACCATTAGTTGTAGTGTTTGTGTGTTCTTTTTGGATATTATTTGTGCAACTGTTGAACAAAATGACTTGCTGTGGCATTAATTGCACTAATAGAGCGTCCAAGGAGTTTCCACTTCATTTTTTTTGGTAAGTAAAATTATATTTATGACGATGATTTTAGGTCATTGACGCTCTAGCACTAGCTGAGCTTAGATTTTAACATGTACTGTTTAACCACGAAATTTTAATACAATAGGGTAAAACCCAGTGCATTTAACATAATGCTGCATTTTTGAAAATGGGTTGACATATAACATGTTGGTGGAGCTGGGTTCCGACTATTGGTATGGTCCCTTCCCCTCAGCGGCAGCTCTGTGCATCTCAGATCGCAGCGGCGCCTGTCTGCTGTGCGGCTGCCGGCTTGTGGAACTCTCGGGAGACCTCTGTGTTTCACCCGGTTTTACCCAGCGGTCAGCCCGGCGTATCTCTGACTCAAAAGCTCTGGTGTTGTGCACAGTTAACTCCGGTTGTGACTAGGTGGCTACCTTGGTTAGCTTAGCTCCCACCTCCGCGTTAGCTTTGAGTTAGCTTGTAGCTACATTGCTTCAGTTCGACGGGTGTCATCATTTGATCCCAGCCTTACAGCCCCACCCTCAGCTCCACCTCTCTTCCCTTTTATGGAATTGTCTGGGCTTGACGAAACCTTTGACATGGTCAAAATGGCGGTGGTGGCCACCTCCCATTTTTCCTCAAAAACTTATAATAATTGGAGTCTATGGAAATGAACTGTCCAGTATATATGTCGATGGTTAACACACAAGTAGGTGTATATCTTTTTGCTTTATACGTGGCACCGCTGCAGCTCTCCGTACCCGCTTCAAGTCTCTCCACACAAGCAGGATAAACAAATCTCCGTCAGCAGTCACAGTGAAAAGGCTCGCTAAATACTAACGAACGTCCCCAAATAATAAAAACTACAAAGCCAAATGCAAAAGTTAGAGCAGAACATTGACCCTGAGGGTTCTGATCGAGCAGACATGTGAGAATACATGTAACAACCACTTAAGAGATGGAGCAAGCTAGCGGATAGTAGTTAGCTGCGTCTGCTAATTTTAGAAATACACTAGTTGTATATTTAAATCGATATAAATGACATGTTTCTTGTTTAAATTTATATAGATGATTTAAAAATATCGATATATCGCCCAGCTCTAGATAGAAAAGACTCAAAATGTTGAATTCTATCAACAAAGGAGACGGCAGAGAATGGAAAAACTGCTCTCTGCATTATTACATCATCATCATCGTCATCTAACACTTGGCAACTTGATGAATAAAAAGTTGGTCAAGTTTGTTAGCAAAATTGCTTGTTTTTACCACAACACAAGCTGGCAAGTCGCCACAGGCTGCAGTCATGTCCCGTACCTGGTTGGTGTTGTCGGGCAGGTAGGTGATGGCGGTGGACAGGCTGCCCTGTGAGGCTAGCAGGCTAGCATAATGACTCATCTTCTCAACCAGCAGGATGAAGATAGCAGCAGGACCAGAGCGCTGGGTCAGTTCCACTGCGTGACGCAAGACCACCACCTTCTCCACCAGGTCCTGACACACAGAAAAACAGCGCATGAAAATCATTAAGCAGCAAATTTGTCAATCTCAAGACCCGCAGGCTAAATGTGGGCCGCAAAACAGTTTTAGCCAAACCACAATATCATCAAGTGATGGAGCTTGATTATTAAGAGCTTTATATGTGAGAAGGAGGATCTTAAAATCTATTCTGAATTTAACAGGCAGCCAATGTAGGGAAGTTAAGACAGGAGAGATATGATATCTCCTTTTAATTCTCATCAGAACTCTAGCTGCAGCATTTTGGACAAGCTGAAGACTTTTAACTACATTATGTGGACTTCCTGAGAGTAATGAATTACAGTAATCCAGTCTTGATGTAATAAGTGCATGAACTAGTTTTTTCAGCATCACTCCTGGAAAGGATGCTTCTAATCTTAGCAATATTCCGTGGTGGAAAAAGGAAATCCTACAAACCTGTTTAACCTGGGATTTGAATGCCATGTCCTGGTCAAAGATAACACCAAGGTTCCTTACTTTGTTCTCGGAGACTAATTTAATGCCATTCAGGTCAGGTGATTGACTAAGCAATTTCCTTTTCTGAATTTCGGGTCCAAAGGTGAGAACTTTAGTTTTGTCTTGATTTAAAAGCAGAAAGATTTGAGTCATCCAATTTTTTATGTCTTCAAGACAAGCCTGTAATCTACCTAACCGATTAGATTCATCAGGGTTAATGGATAAATATAATTGAGTATCGTCAGCATAACAGTGGAAGTTTATCCCATGCTGTCTAATGATTTTACCAATTGCAAGCATATATATATATTAAAAAGAATTGGTCCAAGCACTGAACCTTGTGGTACTCCACAAGTAACCCTGGAGTATGAAGAAAATTTGTCATGTACATTTACAAAATGAAACCTATCAGACAGGTAGGAATTAAACCAGCCTAGCGCTGTTCCTTTGATCCCTACAACATGTTCATGCCTTTCTAAAAGAACATTGTGATCTACTGTGTCATAGGCAGCACTGAGATCTAACAAGACTAGAACAGACACAAGATTCTTATCTGAGGCCATGAGAATATCATTTGTAACTCTCACTAACGCAGTTTCGCTGCTGTGATACTCTCTAAAACCAGACTGAAATTCCTCAAACAGATCATTAGAGTTTAAATGCTCACATACTTGAATGGCCACTATTTTCTCCAGGACTTTGGATAAAAATGGAAGGTTGGTCTATAATTCACTGGGTCATCTGGATCCAGAGAAGGCTTCTTAAAGGGACTATATGGAAGTTTGACAGCCAAAACATGTATAGAAATAATACATTTCTTCTTCATACATTCTACTGCAATGCCCTAGTCCTGTAGAATGAGCCCTGGCATTTTTACTGTGATTGCCTGTTTTTCTGTAAAATCACAGAAAAAGAGATTTGCTTGGGTCGAGCAGGCTGCTTTGTGCGCGTTCACGCTCAGGCATAGCCCGTAGCATTTGCTATCCGTAGCTTTAGCAGCAGAGAGAGAGAGAGAGAGGCAGTGCCAACTCAGCGACTTTGTCGGTGTTTCTAACGCCTAGTGACAAACCTAGCTACATTTCTGAGGACCCTTAGCTAGTTTCTGTAGAACTTTCTTCTAGATATTTCTTCTAGATATTTCCTGCAAATTAGCAACAAAATAGCCATTTTTGCTCCGAACCGTTCTTTGGATTGACGTTGTTTCACCTGTCATCAAGGATATGGGATATGTTACAGATACAGTGAACGTCACTGGCGCTTTAGCTCGCTTAGTAAGATGTCTGACTCTCACGTAGGGGACTTGGGTTCAATTCCAGGTATGAATAAAGTTTGTTATTTGGAGTTTCTTTTTTACATTAATGATATTTTTTTTTACAGTAATAAGATGCCCAAATTTTTATTTGAGACTCGTCGAAAGGCACTGAATTCACGGATAAAAAAAGATGTGGGTTCAACTTTCATTTTGGAACAATTTTTCAAGCAAGGGAAGGGAATGATCTTAGCATGCAGGAGGACTGACCCATCATAAACTTTTGTCGGCTGTGCTGAAGAGAAAGGTACAGAACCAAATTATTTAATTAATTTGCTGCGTGCTCTCCTGTCCTCTATCCTCCGGGCCACAAACACACAAACACACACACACACACACACACACTGCACATTTGGCCGGCCGACGAGAAAGTGCAGCTGTAGAGACAGAGGGACATTATTTTTATTCATTTGCTGTGTTCTTCTGTCCTCTGGGCCACACACACAGACACACACACACGGGACTGTCTCAGCTGTTATTTTCGTTAAGGAGTGTGCATGTACAGCATGCACGCCTCGTGCACTAGCCTACTATTGAAGCTGCTGTTACGCTTTTGGCCTGAGGGGGCAATCGCGAGCATAAAAATTCAAAACTCCATAAAGTCCCTTTAACTTTAGAGTTCATTTTAGAATCCTGATTATAACGTTCAGGGTTCTACATGGTCAAGCTCCTCCCTTTATTACTGAACTGTTAAAGCCTAATTCAAAAGTCCGAAAAGTCCCTTTAAGTAAAGGTTTGATTACAGCAACCTTAAAATTAGAGCTGCACGATATTAGGAAAACCTGCAATATTCGATAACAATGATTAATATTGCGATGACGATATCACTTGCGATAAATAAAAACTTAACTCAGGAACAAAAATAATCAAAAACAAAGAAATAAAAATATTGTAAATATGAGAAAAGCTAAAGATGTGAGGAAAGGGGAAAAGAAAATTAACAAGAAAAGGTAATCAGTGGATCCCGGGAAAAGCAGAGCAAAGCTAACTCAGGTGTTTGCTAACCATCAAAATTAAATGCTGTCCGCCTCGGGGGCGGGCATCTAATCTATGAGAACCCACCCAATTGGCCAAATGGGTGAAGAGCTCCATTTGATTTGTTAAAAAATCATAATACTTCCGTTTGATTGACAGAATGCATTATGTTTAGCAAATATTTTAGCTGACCATGTATTGCGATATTTATCAGTTCTTTGCGATATGCATATTGTGCATGCCGATATCGCGATAACGATATATTTACGATATATTGTGCAGCCCTACTTAAAATCCTGTGGTACATATCCATTTACTAAGGATAGATTGATTATATCTAAAATGGGGGCAGTAACCAAAGGGAATGCATCTTTAAATAATTTGGTTGGGATTGGATCTAAAATGCAAGTTGAAGGTTTAGATGAAGCTAATTTTTTTGACAACTCTGAAAGTTCAACTGGATCAAAACGGTTCAAACACAGATGAGGTTCTACAGTTACCTTAGATGCTGCCTCACTTAATGAGGAAGAGAAATCGCATTAGGGAGGATGCTAATGATTTTGTTTCTAATAGAATTTATTTTACTTGTGAAAAATCCCATAAAGTCGTTGCTGCTGAGGGCTAAGGGAATAGATGGTTCAGAGCTATGATTCTGTGTAAGTTTGGCAACTGTACTAAAAAGAAATTTTGGATTATTCTTATTCTCCTCAATTAGCAATGAAAAATATGCAGTTCTAGCATTTCGAAGCTTATTTTTATAAAGCACAAGATTATTTTATAGTATTTAAAACCACAACAAAAAGAACAGCTAAAAGCCCTTCTTCTACAGAAAGATGTCAGCGCCATTGCCAGGCGCCATTTTGACTACATCTAAAAGACTACAGCGTCGCGCGGAAAAGTCGGCATTTCTGCATTTTTTCTGATTGGTTATTTTTGAGCTGGTTAGTCCCGCCTCTCATGTGCCTCTCTGCCTTTGAGTAACCAGATGTACTCTGCTCAGTGCTGATTGGCTCGGTTAAAATTCTCAGGGGGTGGAGTTATTTGCATGGGAGAGTTGCCAGACTCATTCTGTGTGCAGAATTAAACAGAGGAAGGCAGGCCAGGCTACCCTGTGGTAGGACTGCTACTGATGTCAGTCAACATGGCAGTCCACCACCATACACCGTGGAAGAAGCAGGAGAGAAGACAAAAAATAATTTTTTTTTCTAAATAAACGCGCTGTGATTGGTCAGCCACAATACTGGCCGGGGCGGTGGAGATTCCAATGGAGCGTTGCTAGACCGTCTTGCGAAGCAAAATTATTTAGCTTTGGCAAATGACGATCTAGACTCTAGGCTACTTCCTCCTAACATGATTGATTTTTGTGATCATTTCACTGTAGAATTCTTACATATCGCCCCTTTAAAATGATGCCACTTTGTAAATGGACTCTAATCGACACACCTGTAGAGAAAGAGGACAGTGTCCATCCTGCGTGCCGCTCCAGCAGGACACGAGCTTCTCCACGTTACCGGCACAAATGTAACACAGACACGCCTGAGATCTTAGCAGAGCATCCTCTGATGCCTCCAGCCGGTCACCGAGAAGATCTGACGAATAAAATAAAGAGCTTAGAGTCAAAGAGTGCAACAGCGGGTTAGAAGCATCAGCGCGTGTAGGAACAAACCACAGAGGGAGGAGAACTCCTCCGGCTGAGCGTAAGTCATGACAGCAGCCAGAGCCTCCTTCCAGTTCTGCAGGTCACATGTCTTCAAGATGTCGTGCCAGTCTTTCATGACCACGGCGCTGATCAGCTGCAGGACGGTCACATCTTCACATCAACAACAAGCTCCTAATTTTATTTAAAGGCGTTCCTTTATTTGGTTACCTTGGTTATCTTGCTGTGTGTTCTCGTGAAATACTTCTTCTGGGTTTTCTCTAAGAGTTCGGCTCCTCCGGCAATGGCCAGGATGATGCTGTCTGCCATCCTGTTATCATGGAAACAGAGCTCCACAGCTCCCTCAAAGTCCCCAGTCAGCAGAGCCTGCGTGATCAGGCCATCCACATCTGGTCAGAAACACAAAACAGCGAAAACATTTAGATCAACCAATAAGCTGTAAATACATGTTGATTTTGCACAAAGATATTAAATGTCAGCTCAAAAATGGATTTTGTGTGTGATTTGGGGTGAAAATTATTTCTAAGAAGCTGTTAAAGGTTGAATATGGAACACAAACACCAAAGCAACATCTAGTGTGTGGAGGTTGTAGCTGCAACAATAGAACAAGGTTTCCAGCCATCGGGATACCGGGTTTGCTGCCGATACGTGAAATGTTTTATTTGGGTCCATCTGTTGTGGGCTTCACCTAAACTCCCTCTGGTTTTAGATCTTTAATGGTTGCTCCTCTTCTGAGAAGGATAACCACATCTTATCTGGGCTGCATGGTGGCACAGTTGTTAGCACTATTGCCTCGCAGCAAGAAGGCTGCAGGTTCGAAACGCGGCTGAGGCCTTTCTGCGTGGAGTTGTATGTAACCTGGTTTCCCCCACAGATCACAACATACCCTATAGGTTAAAAATTCGGCGTTGTGCCATCAAAATAAAAATTAGATTTTTTTTAATAATAAAAAAAACTTAAAAGAAATACTGTACCTTCATTCTGCACACCTCTAAACGCCCCATGGAGGTATTATTTTTAATGAAAATATAGCGTTTTATTAAATTGTTCCGGTAACCGGTGTAGCGGTAAACCCCGGTAAAAAAGTTGACAGTAATAATAACCGTCTTGTTTTTAAAAAAAAAAATTATCTCGGTGGATTACCGTGGCTGCGGTGTAGGCGCGGTGACCCTTACCAGCCACCGTATCATCTGCTGCACATGTGCACTTTGTTGTTTACAACCAAAACTTTCTTGAAGCTAAAGCTGAAATAACGGCCAAAGGAGGAGACGGCAGCGCTCAGGACATTTATTATCCCTCAAAGAAGACAAAGTCGGAAGTACAGGCATTTTTTTGATATTTGAAGAATGCCGAGGGACAGTTGATAGAAGACGGCTATCCTGTTTGCAGCACGTGCAGAAAAAGTGTCTGTGAAAGGCAGCAACGCTTCAAATCTCATGACACATCTGCATGACCATCACCCACAACTCTACACTCAATGCAAGGCAAGCTAACGTTAGCGTTTTAGCTAAAATACGTGATCCGAGGATTTGGGTTGAGGGAGAATGCAACAAGTTGCTACATGAAGCAGCCGCAGCGCCGCTACCTGCATATAAACCGTGTCGCGGACACCCCCATGTTGAAATGACGCTATGCATTACGGGGCTCCCAGGGGCAGATAAGAGTTGGTCTCTCTCCGAGAATAATTATGAATTTAACAATGATTACTGCCTGATGACATTTTCCCACATCTGCAAAGCTCACTGGAAGGACACAAACCGAGGACAATATTTTCCTGATATAGGGTTTATTACTCAAGTAAGGGTAAAAAAGTAGAAGGCTACTTGAGAACTGAGTATCATCTGAGCTAATATTTTAAAATGATGACATCAAACAGACAAAAAAAAAAGAAATTATGGGCAAATATTGGTATTTTAAAGACTAAAGGGGAAAAATGTAAACAAATAAACAACATAATTACAAAATAACAAATTTTAGGCAAAATTTAGACACAAAGTGAGGACAATATTTTCCTGATATACAGGGTTTATTTAGTCTGAAAATGTAACACGTTTAAAAAAATACCGCGATAATACCGAAAACCGTGATAATTTTGGTCACAAAAACCGTGAGGATAAATTTTCACAAAGTGACAACCCTGGTTATATTCAACCTTTAACATGATGGAAACGTGCTGACATGAACATTTATAAGGAAACTAAAACTACTAGGTCTGTATGCTACGATTGACTGGAGACTCTAAATTGTGCCTACATGTTTGAGTGAGTGTGACTGGTTGTCCCTTTGTGTCCCCATGATGGACTGGAGACCTGTTCCGAGTGTCCCCCTGTACAGCCCCCCCCCCCCCCCCCAACCCCCCCCCCCAGTGAGGTTTAAGTGGATTAGATAATGGATGGATGGAGATAAAAATCCTCCAAAAGATGATGATGACTGTGGATCTTCAACAACTACAAGCAGGGCCTGCTATTTTTTTTTTATAAAACATTGGTCTGATCATGTATTACTGTATTTCCATATGTACTGTTCAACATTTACAAGTTTTTTATGATGATTTAGGATGGTTTCTTAATATGTGTTAATGTTACCCTGACTGATACTCAGGTTGACTCCTCCTGCAGGAGTTGGAACAGGAGGTGGGATCTCAGCTGGCGTCTGGATCGGACTAGTCTCCTCCAGCTCCACAGGGGGCGTCGTCACCTGAAACACAAGAGGACCTGCGTGATCTCTGCTCCTTTCACCGAGTGATGCAGAACACATTACAACCTAAGCAAAGACACCAGTGAAGTGTTTTCTGAAACGGATGGAGCAAAAATGCAAACAAAGATTCACGCTGCAGGTGGAAGGTACAGCAGGCTGGACGGAAAATGTCTACCTGAGAGAAACCTCCACCAAAACCATCCAGGACTTTTTTCACAGAGAAGATGTAAAACAGCAATTAGATTTAGTTTCTCTTCCTTAATGGCTACACAATTATCCTCTTTGAGTCAAAACAATTTATTTCACTACTTTTGTTATCGATTGAACTTGGAAAAGTCCTTCAGTAGTGCATGTTTAAACGACCAGAATTACTAAATGGGTTTATAAACATATGTAATCGTTAAAGCTAATATTTTTGCTTATATTTTTGATAACTCTGAAAGTTCAACTGGATCAAAATGGTTCAAACACAGATGAGGTTCTACAGTTACCTCTGATGCTGCCTCACTTACTGAGGAAGAAGAAATCGCATTAGAGAGGATGCTAATGATTTTGTTTCTAATAGAATTAATTTTACTTGTGAAATATCCCATAAAGTTGTTACTGCTGAGGGCTAAGGGAATAGATGGTTCAGAGCTATGATTCTGTGTAAGTTTGGCAACTGTACTGAAAAGAAATTTTGGATTATTCTTATTCTCCTCTTTATTTTATTCTCCTCAATTAGCGATGAAAAAAAAGCATCAGTCATGCAACCTGCTGGGTTCCTTATATAGGAAACTTTGTTCTTATTGGCCTAATGAACTGACCTGTATTGGAAAATTTACTATGTGAAGAGCCTTGAGACGACTCTTGTCGTGCTTTGGCACTATATAAATAAACTAGAATTGAATAGAATTAAAACTTAACCTAATATCCTGTATATTTTGTGTGCTGTATGGATACTTTCTTTTTCATCTTCCTGATTTAATTATCACCAAAATGACATCTGAGCACAAACAACCGAGTTTTTATCCGACGGGCAGATTTTCCTCTCAGTGACTCTAAATGAGAAAACCAGAACAACTTGAACTAGGCGTTGGTGCTTGGATGAACCTACGGTGTAAACCCCCCCCCCCCCCCCCCCGTTCTTTTTAACACGTCATGTGAAATAATTAGAACCACGTGTGTGCGACCGCAGCAGAAACACAAAAGGCTGAACTATTGCTGAGGTTACCGTCTGAACATCAATATTAACCTTTCATACCTCGTTTAGAGGAATCTCGTCTCCATCCTGTTTCTCACCGACGTCCTCCTCAGTGAGACACAGGTCTATGTTTTCATCTAATTCGCTGTTAGCAGCACCATCAGGTTCAGCCGACTCCTCCGTCTCTGGGTCAGGAGTGCAATTTAAGTCCATCATGGCTGCCGGCTGGAGGTTTGCAGCAGCGATTAGGTCAAATGCCGTCTCTGGAGTGTCAGCAGGAGGCACCAGGCTGAGTTCTGGCAAAGGCTGCAAGGAGGTGGGAGGAGGCACGTCCAACTTGATAAAGAAGGAATTCAAAAAGTCAAGACTGGGATCAGAGTGGAGGTGGTGCACACAAGCTGGTGTTAGATAGGCAGCACTCTGCTGCTTAAAGTGGTACTTTACTCATATCTACAATACACCGTATTATTGTAAAGTGTTACCTTAGCCTCTATTAGTCGAGACATTTCTCTGCCGTTAGCTGAGCCTTTTACAAGACACGCCATGCCGGCAAATCAGAGCAATATTGCCACAATGGTGCCTTATAAATGCGCTGTGATAGTTCTGCCTCGCTTGGTAATAATATTGCAGTAATTGTCTGTCCCATAAATGGCGTTTGCGCCTTGGCGCAACAGAGGGAAGTGTCATGATTAGGGATGTGCCGTTCCGATATTGATATTGGATATCGGCCCAAAAAAACGGTATCAGATTATATCAGACAGCATCAAAAATCTCTGATATTAGCTGTACATGCTTTAAATTCCATTTCAGCAATTCTATTCAGCAGTGCCCAGATTAAGCATCAAAGTCCACGTGATCAGAACAGTGTGCGCTAGCAAAGTTGCAAGGAACAATGTCGGCCATGTGGCTGTATTTTTCGTTAAAGGGCAAGTCACCCCCAAATCAACTTATTTTTTCTGACAAACTATATAAATGTGTGTCTAATCGTGCTGCAGTCACGTGTAGGCAATGGTTTTGCACTTTAGTGCACTTTAGTTAAAATTTTAATTTTCTGCCTAAAACTGTCAGTGTTGTGCCGTTGTCAGGTAAAAACTCTGCACTGCAGTTGAATTTAAATCTGCCATTGCTATTGGCTAAGAGGTACCCTAGAACGTTAGCTGGTACCATATGATGTCACAATGTCATTGTGAGCCTCTGTGTGTGTGTATTTGTTAGCGGCTCCGCCCTCTCGGTCTGCTGGGCAACAGCATTTGTTGCATTTTTTAAACAGGAAGTGGGAGTTGAGTAAGAATCTGGTAGGGGGTGACTTGCTCTTTAAAGTCTGAAAAAGACAGTTTGGCTCAGTGCAGCACTTGTCATGCACAAGTTTCCCGTGGTGGAACAGAACCGGGGAAGTTTAATACGTCCAAACTCATCGTGTGTTTGAAGCAGGATCACAAAACATTACATGAGTGTGTGAAACTGAAACTTAAGACACCTAACTTGTAGTGGTCGATCAGTGAACAATGTGTTTTTTTCCTGATGTCCCTAACCTCAGCTGTTCACATTCATGCCACCAAAGGTTAATAAGAAAAATTGGTCAGTTTTTTTACTCACTATTGCTGGCTTTTGTTTTCTGTTTGAGTAATATCACTTGATAAAGCCTGTTATCCATTCCACACTATGAAATAAGTAAAAGTATGTTTGATTTGTGACGATATCATATCGGATAGATATCGGTCACTACTGAAAACTGCAATATTAGTATCGTATAAGAAGTGGAAAAAGTTGTATTGGGACATCCCTAGTCATGATCACGAGGTACTGCCAAGCTCCAGCTGACAACTATTGAAAACGAAAGTAAACACGGGCCATAAGTTTAGCTTTTGTTAACAGAACCAGCTGAGATGATAATCTGGAGCTTTGCAGAGCTCCAGGAGCTTTTCTCCGTTAGAGCTGGAGGTCGGATCACCAGAGACTGCACAGGGAGTGTGGAGGACACACGCTTAGGAGTGGCTTGTTAAAAATATTTAATGAGTGTGGCTTTGATCGCAATAAAAAGCAAGTATGTCCAAGACAAACAGAAGTACAGAGACCACCCTCATATCCCCTTTTCACCGCCATCGCAGAAGGTTTTGTCAAAAGAACATGATTGTGCATCATCAGTCTGACCACTTATAAACAACCTAAGGCTCAATGATGCCGCCACGGCGTTGCGACAAATTGACGGCATTGCTTTGTAAAAATGGCTCTGGACTCTAAACCCACAGCCTTTGCCGTTGTGAGCCAAGATGGGTAAGTCCGTGAATGTTACAGTGTGACTGGGATGGGATTTTCAGAGCCGAGCGTTTTTCCTGTCTGTTTTCCACCAGAAGCTAATGAAGGAAAAAGGTGTAGGAGACTATTTTCATGTTCATCCTGCATGAAAAACTCAGACTGACTGATTTATAATCAGAAATAATAATGAATGCTTTTTCAGTGAAATGCCAATATAAGGGAGCTGAAAAGTCAGCGTGTGACAAACACGTTACTTTCTGTCATGATTCACTTAAGAGAAAAAATTCAGCTACATTTCTAATTCTGAAAGCAGCTTCAAAAAACTAAAACTCAAATAAATATGACTATTAGTTCCAGTGGCAGAGGAGATTTTTTATTTTTAGTGACTGGAGGAAAATGTTCAGCGTCTTCAAAAGAGGAAGCAGAAAGAAAATTCACTCGCAGGACTTTTCTTATTGCAAAACCTGAGAAAGGCTTTCACTTTGTACCCTTCTCACAATAAAAGATGCATTAATTACAGCCAACAGCTTTGCTCTGCAATAAACAACATCACTGGAACAGAAAGAAGCCATAAATGGAGGGAATGGTGGTACGGCTGTGTGGGAAGTGTGAAAGATAAGAGTGTACTCTTTCAAAATACCCAGTGCGGCAGGTTTTCAAATGTTTTTAAGCGCAGATGCCAAATAACCCAGTTGGACTGGTGATTTCCTTAAATCTGCTGGGGAGGGGTGGGAAGTTGTCTGTTGTGAGGTCATCTTTAATCCCATGAAGTGCTTTTAGCTTCAATCTCTGTATAAAACGTGCTTCATAAATAAAGCTTTGATATATTAATTGACTAAATCATTTGCTATTTTGTTCATGGGGCTGCCTCGTAGCAAGAAGGTTGTCGGTTAGAATCCTGGCTGCAGACTCTCTACACAGAGTTAGCGAGTGGGGGTTTTCTCCGACTTTCTTCTACAGACCAAAATTCATGCATGTGAGATTAACTGGAGCATCTAAACTGTTCTAAGATGTGAGTGAGTGTGTCTCTGTGCAAGTAAGTACATTTTATTTCTATAGCACTCATCACAGACATAGAATCACAAAGTCCTTCACATGGATCAAAACTAAATAAAACAGTCATAAAATCAAAATGCGCTCAAAACAGAAATAGATTAACATCAGAAAAAATAAAGTCAGAAAATTATAAATTTTCATAAACAGATGAAAGATAAAAAAATTGAGTTAAAATAAGAAAATAAAAGGTTTGATTAAAAGCAGCTTTAAATAAAAGGGTCTTTAGCTGTGTTTTAAAAGTGTCCAGACTGTCAATGCTGCGTAAGGATAAAGGAAGATCATTCCAGAGTCAGGGTGCAACAGTCTGGAAGGAGTGATCACCTCGACTTTTGTGTCTGGTCTTTGGAACTTCAAGAAGGTTCTGGTGTGTGGACCTGAAGGCTCAGGTTGGAGCAGAAAGCTTTAATAGTTCAGTAATATAGGGAGGAGCTTGACCATGTAGAGCATTGAAAGTTATAGTCAGGATTCTAAAATGAACTCTAAAGTTAACGGGTAACCAGTGCAGATATGTCAGAATAGGAGTGATGAGTGTTCTTCTGTTTGTTCCAGTTAGGAGCCTCGCTGCAGAGTTCTGGACCAACTGAAGGCGGTCAAGGGCTTTTTTGTTAAAACATGTGAAGAGTGTGTTACAGTAATCTAGATGCGAGGAGATGAAGGCATGGAGAACCATTTCAAGTTCATGTTTTGACACCAACCTTTGCAGTTTGGAGATATGTCTTAAATGATAAAAACAGTTTGGGACCAACGTTTCTGAGTGTCCTTAAAGAGACACTGATTGGTCAAAAATAACACCCAAATTCCTTAAGTTTGTCTTGACGACAGAAGATAAATGACCAAGTTTTAAACTAATCAGGTGAACCATGCTCTCAGGGGCAATGATCAGACATTCAGTCTTTTCAGAGTTTAACTGGAGGAAGTTATCTTCTAGCCAGCTGGTGATAGCTGATAAGACACTCTAGTAATTCAGACAGTTTACAGAACTCAGAGTCCTTAAAGGAGCAGTACAGCTGAATATCATCTGCATATAGGTGATAAGAGACATTATGAAAAGAATCAAGTATCTGTCCAAGAGGGTGTATGTACAGCAGAAACAACAGAGGACCCAAAACAGAGCCTTGGTGTGTCCCTGTGGTGGAGCGGAGACCTGTCCAGGGTGTCCCCCACCTCTTGTCCAATAACTGCTGGAGTTAGACACCAGCTCCTGGTGAGCCTACTGGCATAAATGCGGTTTAGTGAGTGAGCGAGTGATGCTTGTGTTTCTTTATTGAGTCGGATCAGCATACAGCTAGGGCTGGGCGATACGGCCTAAAATTATTATTTTTTATTTGATTTATGATTTTTTCCCAATTCTCTCTCCCCCTCAATTATTAAGAATAGCAATAAGTATAAACTGAAGGCACCTTAAAGCCAGTTTTATTTTTTATTTAATCACAAGCAAGACAAATGTAACCCTCATTTCTGAGATGCATGATGAATAAACGAACACCCTCTTGGAATAAAAGTGCCACGCTCCACATCTGTCGCCGCAAACCCAAACTAGTTCCAAACAACGGATGATTTCATTCCTTTGTTAGGAACAAACTTCCCACTCTCACCGGTGGCCATGGAGTCGCCTGCTGTAGTGGTTTCGTGTGCGTGCGGTGACGTTGTTGTCGCGGTTATGTGAAACTAACGCTACGGAAGCTCCAGGGGGCCAAAAACTCGCTATTACATAAAAATTCGATTTACTTTTTTTTTAAGTCGCCCGCAACAAAAAATTCCAATTAACTGATAAAGTATGAATGGATTATAGAATGTTTGGCAATCCGCCTTATCAATATTATTTTTATCTTAATTTGTTTAACTTATTATTGTTCATCATTATTACGTATGTATTTACTTATTTATTAGTTTAAGTTTCCTGTATTGTTGTTGTCTGTATGCGTGTGTTAAAAAAAAGAAAAGAAAAATAATAAAAAGAAACTGTTACAAAAAAAATTCCAAATAATTCAATCGATTTATTGCCCAGGTCTAATACAGCAGTCATAAAACAACATCATGTCTCCTGATTATAGCTTATTTAGGTTAAGTTCTGACAACTTTGCCACTTACTCATTAGCCAAACTTTAAAATGACAAGAATAAGAATAAGGATAAGAATAATAAGAAGAAAAAGAAAAAGAAAAAGAAAAAGAAGAAGAAGAAGAAAAAGAAAAAGAAGAAGAAAAAGAAGAAGAAAAAGAAGAAGAAGAAAAAGAAGAAGAAGAAGAAGAAAAAGAAAAAGAAGAAAAAGAAGAAGAAAAAGAAAAAGAAAAAGAAGAAGAAGAAGAACAAGAAGAAGAAGAAGAACAAGAAGAAGAACAAGAAGAAGAAGAAGAAGAAGAAGAAGAAATCTCTAAGATTAAAGGCTCTGATTTACCTTGGGAGGATCTTCAGACGTTTTCTCTAAAGCCTCTGAAATCTGGAAACAAATAAATAAAAGTATCAAAAGATGTCTTTCAGACATTTTATGAAAGATCTCAACAAATGAAGATTGAGCAGCCACCTTTAAGGCTAGTTCCTCTTTGCTGTAACCCAGAAGTTCCAGGTATTTGCTGCGGACATCACTCTCAAAATTAGCCTGAGAAACACAAAACAGCTTCAACTACAAACTCAGTTTTAAGCTTCAGCCAGCACAGTCCCACACCGACATGTGTACCTTCAGGAAGGCCCAAACTGTTTTGTCAAACTCGCTCTCGGCTGTATCGATCTTCTCCTGGCAGAAGTCCACAAATCTGCCCGAGCCGAGAGTGGCCTGCAGCTGATCGGAGCGCTTCAGAAACTCTGTTTCTGTAACAACCTGACTGATGTGGACAAGATGTGACGTGGGCTGCTGGGGCTTCGGGTTCTCCAGGGACACCAGCTTCCCACCAAACTACAAAGAAACAAAACTAAACATCATTAAACACGTCAGGTGTCTTTTCTCCTGTGAGAAAGCAAAAAAAAAAAGCCCAACTCACAGCAAATGAAGCTCCGACAGGTCTTCGAATCCACTTGGGGGGCTTCTTCAGGGGGTTGACTGTCGCTGGGGGGGCAGCAGTCTGAGGTAGCTGCAGCGGGGGTAAGGTTTGTCCCGTCCCAAAAGGATCCATGTTCCCAAACGAGTTACTGATCTGAAACGGGAACGCCCACATTCCAGTTAGACACAAATGAAGACGCTATAAAGCACAGAGCTGCTCTCTTTGGGAAACGTTATCCTGCTCATGACTGATATGATTACTGAGAATTGTTCAACGAGTCTGGAAACACTACATTTGTCTTCTCTTTAATCAGAAATGGGCCAAGAATGCAGCAGTATTACTCACCAAATAAAAAAATTCAACTGTCGCATTAAGGAAACATGAACAGACAGCGCTGCTATTGACCCTTTGCACGTGACATCACGCCACTCATGTGACCGCCCCCTTCGCCATGATGGACAGCAAAAAGACCGTTTACACCCGAAGAAACTCCAGTGAAGCTAGTCAAAACAAGCCAGTTTGTAGCCTTTTAAGGCTTTTGTTTAGTTGATTTGACAGTAAAATGGTTTTAGCTTGCTGCGTGGTTGGCTGCACTAACAGACAAGGATGTAAACTCAACTCGTTTTTTATTTTTATCAACTTTGATGGAGACTGAGGACGGAGATGAAATGCAGCGATCAATCAAGCAGACTAGCAGCCCTCAGATTAGCAATGAACATGTTTTTACCGGGTAAGATTAGCATTCATTTATTTCATGAGGAAGGCAGGGACAGGGATAAATGTGATGTGTTTATACTAGTTATTGATAATCCTGATGGACGGGTATTTCACTCCGTCCACTGTCGTGTAAAGTGAGATAATTATTAACAATATTAAAGCTTTGATGTATGATTACGTGTGTTAAAATTACGTTATTTATTTATATGAGCATTGCCATTCAGAGATCTTCTCATTCCGGTGTGAGAGCAGCAGCTGAACCCGGTAACACCACCAGCAACAGAAGCTGGTAGGGATCCGGACTATTTAACAATCAGCTTTGGTGTAAAGTGAAACGCTGTTTATAACATAAAGTTATAAATCCAGCGGGGTGAATTTAGGCAAAGTCAGCAACATGTTTACATCGGTGAACAGCTGCAGAGAGAACGTAAGCTAACGTTGGTAAGCTAGTTAACATACCGCTCTCTATGAGCCCCGGCTAGATGCGCTACTTCTTCTGATAACTGAACTGGGCATGAACTAGTTAAAGGAATGCTGGAGGAGTTTTGTTTTTGTTTTGATCGCAAAAACAATTTCAGACTGTACTTTTCTCTTTGTTTAGTACTCGTGTCGCTCACTGTTTACATGCTTTTGCCGTCCAGCATGGAGGACCCACGTGATTAGGTGACGTTGGTGCAAAGGGTCAATAGAAGCAGAGAAGAGCTGCTACTGAAGCCTGGAAGACTAAGCAGGGCGGAAGCAGAGAAGAGCTGCTACTGAAGCCTGGAAGACTAAGCAGGGCGAAAGAAAGAAAGAAAGAAAGAAAGAAAGAAAGAAAGAAAGAAAGAAAGAAAGAAAGAAAGAAAGAAAGAAAGAAAGAAAGAAAGAAAGAAAGAAAGAAAGAAAGAAAGAAAGAAAGAAAGAAAGAAAGAAAGAAAGAAAGAAAGAAAGAAAGAAAGAAAGAAAGAAAGAAAGAAAGAAAGAAAGAAAGAAAGAAAGAAAGAAAGAAAGAAAGAAAGAAAGAAAGAAAGAAAGAAAGAAAGAAAGAAAGAAAGAAAGAAAGAAAGAAAATCGTTCATAAAGTGCCTCTCAAGATAAAAATCACGAAGCGCTTCACAAAAACAAACAAAAAATTTTTAAGTATTAAAAAAGATTTAAAAAAACGTTTAAAATGAGAATAAAATAAAATTTGTGAATTAAAACAATGTACGGAAATGGAAAGAGAAAATGAATAAAAAAGATGGAAATCAGCGGATCCCCGGAAAGGCAGAATAAGAACAGAATAAGGAGAGGGGGTTGACGATGGTTGCCCTGCGATGGACTGGCTCTCTGTCCAGGGTGTACCCCGCCTGATTGCCTGTTGACCGCTGGAGATAGGTGCCAGCCCCCCCCACCCCCCCACCCCCCACCCCCCCCCACCCCCACACACACACACACACACACACATGGACAAGCGGGTTCAGAAAATGGATGGATGGGTGACGATGGTCACACAAAAGCCAGATTGTTTGCATCAGATTCAAAGCTTTATGATCATTCGCAGTAAGGAAATGCATTTCTGGATTTCACCGGATGCCAGAAGTATAAATTTAGATAAACAGATATTAATTAGCATTAGTGATGCACCGATATGAAATTTTTGGGCCAATACCGATACTAATATCACTGTTATGGTCGATAACTGATATTTGACGATACTGAAATACTGACATTAATGCTTCTAAAATCAGCAGATTTAGTATAGAATGAAAATGATTAAAGCTGAATTTACATTATTTTGTACACACAACACACACATTTACGGTTCTGACATGATCACTGTCACATGACTAAACAATTACACATCACACCCCCCTCACTCTCTGAAACAGGCAAACAAACGGAGACAAGATGGAAAAAATATCAGTTGTTAATATCGGCCCGGCTTTATTTATCGGACCGATACAGATATGTTAAGAAATGACTAACATCGTCCGATACCAATATTGATGCTGATATATTGTCCATCCCAAATTAGCATTCCTGCATCCCACCCATGGGATAAAACACATAGCGTTCATGGAACGTGGAGTTTTAGGGGTTAAAAATAAGATAATAGGATAAAAGAAGCAGGTAAAAACACAATGAAAAATCAAAATATAAACTTTAAAATTATGTAAACAATGCCGAGTATCATTGATTTAAATAGTTGTGCAAATAATGTGCTGTTGCCTGGAATGAGCAGGCAATTGTCCAGTCAGTGGTTATAAATAAATTATATTGATTGTATGAAAATATTTCCAATCTCAGACAGCAGCAGGTTAAAGAAAAGTTAACAGGTTAGTATTCAAACAGCAAAGTTGAAATAAAGTGCCCTTAAGGGGCTTAATCACCGTGGTGACGAGCACGGTCTTGAGTGAGAACGCGGTAGAACGCCTTCTCCAGGTCAGGCACGAGGTCCTGCCCCAAGTGGAGGAGTTTAAGTATCTCAGGGTCTTGTTCACGAGTGAGGGAAAACTGGAGCGTGAGATCGATAGGCGGAATGGTGCTGCATCTGCAGTGATGCGGGCGTTGTACCGGTCTGTCGTGGTGAAGAGAGAGCTGAGTCAGAAGGCGAAGCTCTCGATTTATCGGTCGATCTACGTTCCTACCCTCACCTATGGCCACGAGCTTTGGGTAGTGACCGAAAGAACGAGATCACTGATACAAGCGACCCAAATGAGTTTACTCCGCAGGGTGTCTGGGCTCTCCCTTACAAATAGGGTGAGAAGCTCGGTCATTCGGGAGGGGCTTGGAGTAGACCCGCTGCTCCTCCATGTTCAGAGGAGCCAGTTGAGGCTGCTCGGACATCTAGTTAAGACGCCTCCTGGACACCTCTCTGGTGAGGTTTTCTGGGCACTTCCAACTGGGAGGAGACCCAAGGGGAGCCCCAGGACACGCTGGAGGGACTATGTCTCTCAGCTGGCCAGGGAACACCTTGGGATTCCCCCGGAGGAGGCCCAAGTAGCTGGGAAGAGGGAAGTCTGGGCCTCTCTGCTTAGGCTGCTGCCCCTGCGACCCGACTCTGGATAAGAGGAGGAAAATGAATAGAGGTATGGAAAACTATCCCTGGATGCTGCACTTCAGACATGTGACACACACTGCTATTTGTAGGGACACTTTGATCACAGGACTATAGTGACGAAACAGGAAGTGTGAATCGTATGAAAAAAAAAAGTTTCATCAGATAAATGAAAAACTTGGAGTACAGAAGAAAATCTCTTCAAAGCAAACGCTGGCTTCCGCCTCTGAGGTTTCCATCTCACCTGGTCGGCCTGTCTCTGGTTCTGCGCCTGGCTGCTTCCTCCCATAATGGAGTAGATGTCGATGTGTCCGTCGAAGCCCGCGGCCGACAACACGGCGGGGTTTCTGGGGCACCACTGGATGTCGAAGCACCACTGACTGCTGGTGGGCAGCTCATACAGCACCTGAAGGTTCAAATGATTATTTATGGGGAAACATACGCAGGCTTTACTGAGCTGTGTGCAAAAGCATTACCTCGGCTGTGTTTGGATTCCAGCACAGAATCCTGCTGTCCTTCCCACAACTCAGGAGCAGCTCAGGATCAGCCAGGCTCCAGGCGATGGCCAGGATACCTCTGGATGTGAAAGCAACATCGTTTTTAACAACCGTGATATGCAAACATCTAGCCTCCGATTGGCTAACAGCAACGTGACTCTTCTGCCACCTTCGTTCGCTCTTCTTTCTCAAGTCAAAACACAACGTTGATGTTTTATCTCCACAAATGACACAAGCCTGAGTGTGGTCTTTCACTCTGAGGAGTTGCTAATGCCAAAGGTAAGTACTCTGCTCTCTCCACACAGCGCTGACAACCATCAACTGTCTTCTTCAGTCATGAGCCAAGAGGGGAAAGTCCATGAATGCAAATTTCACAATGTGATGTAGATCTGTGTGGCTTTTTCTGACCTGATCGTTGCCGTTTTCTCTCTGCGGCTAATGCAGGAAAAGGCTAGTTCCACATTCTGCATGTATGCGAAACTCAAGTGTATTTTAAATAGAACAAGTCTTCTGCTGTGATCTGATGTGACCTCTGGATGCACTAGAAGAACTTGGCTTGTAAACAGAAATGCCAACTGTACAGCGCGACGCTGTAGTTTTTTTAGCTGTAGTCAAAAATGGCGACCGCGCAAACGTCTTTCTTTAGAAGAAAGGCTTTTAGTGCCTCTACTTGTTGGGCAGAAGTAGCTCAACAGGTTGAGCGGGTTGTTCAATAATCGGACGGTTGCAGGTTCGATGCTGGCTCCGGCCAGAGAATTCTGCTGTTGTGTCCTTGGGCAAGACACTTAACCCACCTTGCCTGCTGGTGGTGGTCGGAGGGCCTGGTGGCACCTGTGCTCGGCAACCTCACCTCTGTCAGTGCGCCCCAGGGCATCACCATCACCATCAGTGTAAGAATGTGTGTGTGAATGGATGAATGATACACTTTAGTGTAAAGCGCGTTGGAGTCCTAACTCTGAGAGGCGCTAAACAAGTGTGGGTCTTGTTATATATAACAAGAACAGGACAAACTGAATTCCTGAAGGTCATTTTCAGCAGAATATCTGTTCAGTCTGTGACTTTTGAGCAGTTTTAAACAGACCCAAGCAGCCATATCCGTTTTGATTTAAAAGAAGTTTGTCTGAAAAGTTTGGAGAGAGTAACAGAGTTGAAAGAATAAGTTACATCAGATTTGCTGCACAGCACAAAGCTTATTGCTGTGTTTTTAAGTTCCTTACACAGGGTATCTGCAGGTTTAAGGGAGCCAAATTTAAGACTTTTTAAGACCATTTTTAAGGCCACTTTGACCAAATTTAAGCTATTTTTCAAATTAAATTTACCGGGTAAGCTATAATTTCCAGCTATTGCCTGGAACCGGTGCTAACCATGTCACGAACGTGGGATTAGCCATCCAGTTACCATTAAACTTGCACTTCCCCATGGCGCAAGCTCCCACTAGCTTAACCAGCTAATGTGCTCATCTAAAAATAGCCCCCTTTCACAACCAACTGAATGTGTACGGTTCCGCTTTGCCAACATCATACACAAAAAATGCTGAAAACTAACTAGAAATTCACGAAAATTTTATAGAAATAAAAAAATCTTGTTTATTAGGTCTTTGGTAATTTAAGACCTTTGGAAACTGTATTTAAGGATGATTTGTCATATTTAAGGATTTGGAAACGTTAATTTAAGACTTTTTAAGGACCCGCAGATACCCTGTTACAGATAAAACAGCAGGTTTATTATTTAGGTATTAAAAACAAAAGAGAATGTAACACCGTGTTTATCAGATGTGCTTACCGCGTGTGATGCTCTAAAATCTTCAGTGGAGACGTAGCAAAACGCAGGTCCCACATCTGGATGACAGGCATCCGGTCGTCCTCTGAGGACAAAACCAGCTGAGTGGCCACTTCTGGGTTCCAGGCCAGCCCGGAGCAATGCATCTAAACAAAAAAATTCAACATTAGACCGGCACGGGGCAAAGTGTAAGTTATGCTCACGCCTGACTGCTGACTCACTCGGTTGCTGTGGTCGCTGACTTTGATGATGAGGTCGTTCTTGCGCAGGTCCCACACCGAAGCTCGGCCGCTCGGGCTGGCGGAGGCTAAGATGTGTTGGACCTGTCTGTTCCACGACATGCAGCTGATGTCCTCCTGGGGCTTGAACACAAAAATACAAACATTCAGAGGGATTATATATAAATTTAATCCGTGACTGTAAAATACTGACTCAGAAGCCCCCTTCAGACAGGCCATGAAAAACGGAAATGTTCCGGACTCTGTCCGTAAGACCTTTGTGTCTGAATACAAACATCCGGATAACGTTTTCCGTAATTAAACCGGACGAAGCCCCTACTTGTTACGGACAAGGTGGCTGCTTCAGACTGGTGAGGTTGAGTTCCGGACAGGGAGGAGAGGGAGGAGGAGGAGGGGACCGGGGGACGCTGTGCGCACCTAGATAGCCCGCTGCTGTAGCATGCGGCAAACCATGGCAGCTCGTCTCCTACGGTACCGTCTCCTAGACGCAAGTGGTGCTCGCTGCAGAACCACAAAGGTGGAGCTGCACCAGAGTCAGCCCCGCCCATTCCAGAATCAGCCCCGCCCATTCCATCAGAGTCAGTCCAATTCCTTCCAGTTGTCAGACTTGATAGCATTCTGGAACCAAAGAGGGTGTTATAGCTAAAAAATGCAAGATTGAGGACGGAGTTGAGAAGTGAATTTAACAGTTTTTGTAAAGGTTCCATATAATTAAAAATCTAACTTTTGGATTTTTTTTACCATGTTATATTGTCATTTCCTCATAAGAAACACGCCAAAGCCATTTTTGGCCTCATTCATTCATTTTCCTCCCATCTCAGCTTCAATTTAGTCTCCTCCCCCGAAGCGGGTCTGGTCTTGGTTCTCAAATCTGGATATTCTGTGAATTTTCTGACAAATTATTTCTGAAATGACTTCTACTGAGACACCGCCGGAAAAATCATACATCCCATCTACAAAGACATACTGGATAGCACAATTACATGTAACGCCAGCTACTTTCCATCAGATGTGGTGGTGTAGTGGTTATGGAGTCAGGTTAACATGCAGTTTTGCGCAGGTTCGCCTCCCAGTAGCGGATGAATTAGGTGGTTTACAACCCATTTTCTTCATTTCTAGCTACACTTGCCAGTACTATGTTTACAACAATTTACTGGTATACCGTTTAACATATAATGACTAATGTGTTTATTTATTTATTTATTCGTTTATTTAGCCAGTATGAGTCCATTTGTGAGCGGAGTTTCAACTAAAACGCTGTTTAGGAACGACCAAATTCAAATAACTTGTAGAGACATAAATATTTTGCTGAAAATAAACATTACAACTAAAATATAAACAAATTAAATGTTTCAGCTGGCTAAATAGATTGTTGCCGACCCCACCAAGAACCGAACCAGCATCAGCTGAGGGGAAAGCAAAATTGGAGTCAGATGATCTTGCCACTGGACTACCAGAACCCATTCAATAGAGTTTCATGCTGTTATACACCACTTTTGTTAGAGCGGCTGTGATCAGATATTTGCTAAAAGAAACCTTTTCATTTCGAGATATATTCAGGCTTTGTCATGTAGAAAGTTATATTTATCTTGTTTAATTGGAGCATAGAACATAGCATTAACGACTGTAAACTAGTAATAGCCGTAATTCATGTGGGTCAGGTTAGTTTGCGATAAAGTTGAAAAACAAAAACGGAAGTCAGTGGGCTAGACTGAGTTTGCGTGAATGGGCGGGGCTGACTCTGGTGCAGCTCCACCCTATGGTGCAGCTCCGCCTTTGTAGTTCTGCAGCGAGCACCCTCTCCCTAGATGCGCGACGGAGCGCATCACACCGCTTCCGTGATTCCTTTTAACCATTGAGCGCCATCATCCTGGTCTCTTATGCGTCTTCCTGTGCGCAGAATTATGCTTAACATAAGTCCGATCAGTGAGAGGAATTCTATCTCTTCTGCCATGTTTGACTGAATGGCTTTGTTTGGGTAAATGACGCAAGTACGCCCGCCCCGCCGTACTATGTCCCCCCAGACATCTGGAACTTTTCCCTGCTGTGTGAAGGCAGCCGAAAGGACAAGTTCCGGTACAAAAGTGGTGTGTCTGAAAACACAGTTCCGGTTAAAAACCGGATTGATTTGTCCGCAAATATTCCAGAATGTCTATCTGAAAAGGGTCAGAGTTAGGTGTTTAAAACGAATCTTTACTCGACTTAAAAAGGAGTTTGCTGATATTTTGACGTCTTAAATCACAACAATACTCAGCTTAATGAATCTCATTCTAAGAATAATTGCATAATTAGGAATAAAAAAGTTAAAAAAGCATAAAAGCACCTGTGTTTTAGGTCCCGGTGTCATCGGAGATCCAAAGCTATTCATATCCCAGATATATATTTCAGACTCATTCCCACCAGATGCCACCAAGTTTGTCTGAAAGAGAAAAGAAAGAATGTGTTCCTGATCTGGGTTTAAATAGATTTTCTGTGTTATTACCCGGACTGAATGGACCGTACCTGAAACGGGTTGACATCTAGAGCCCTGACTGGTCCAGTGTGCCTATCGCTCTCAGCGATGATGACATCACTCTGACCAGACATGATCTTTGCAGGATCATAGAGGATGACGTTGCCGTTCTCGCCTCCTGCAATCAGGACACCAGATGGGTGACCCTGGTCGTCCATGCCAAACGGACCCCATACCAGTTTGTGGTATCTGTGAGGAGATGAAAAGGATCCACAGGACTTCATGTCCAGAGACGGCTCGGACAAGTCCAACTCAAAAAACTCCAGGGAGGCATTGGTGCTGAAGGAGGCATCCAGCTGTTGGGCTGATGTTCCTGCAGGAAGAGAAAACAGGAGTCTATTTTACAGAACGGGTTTAGGATGAACTTAATAAGTTTCTCTGGCAAATTGATCAACAAAACTTTATTTGAAGTTTTAAATTTCCAAACACTAGACACCTTTTGTCTCCATGATGATGCAAACATCTGTTACAGTTTTTATTTTTTAAATATGAAACACGGCAATATCTTTCCGTTAGTAGCATATAAATCAAATTCAGTTATTTTCTCAGACACTGTGACACAATCAACAATCCACAGTTTAATTCCACCTGTATTGCTCCTTGAATAGCTGGCACTGAACAACAACAAAACCTGTCATAACCATTAGCAGACTCCTGCCGCAGGTCTGTACCTGTCGCCAGGTAGATAGGGTGGTGCTGAGCAGGGCTCCAGCTCTGGATGGCTGTGCGACTGATCTCTTTAAGTTTCATCCTGGAAAAAAAATATATATATAATTATAGTAAATACCACAGACAAAAAATACATAAATAAAGAAAATAACTAATTTTCACAGAAAGCACCCGATAACTTGTCAGATACCATATCAGCTTTTTGGGTTGCAGCAGCTGTTGGGAGTTTCATTTGAAGTGAGCTCCTCTAAATGTGAACGTTTTTCTTAGAGTGAGCAGAAAGTAAAAGGTGGATTTATTTAGCATAAAAACAACCACTTTCAAATAAGTCCGCTAAATTTAACGTATGTGCTTCCTTTCTCGTTTTCTTTAACTAGATCTTTTAAATTCACAAGTATTTTATTTTTAGTGTTATGTGGAACTAGCTGCCAATCAATCGTGTCCACTTTGCTGAAAGTAACACATTTCAACACACTGATAAATTCTCACTACACGCTTTTGGTGGAGCTGTTTCGGGGCACTCTGGAGGCTGGTGTTAAAAATAACCGATCTATTGTGAACCATAGCTTATAATACCTTTATAAAGGCATGGATATTTATCCTTTTGGATGATGAATATTTGCATAAATCATCTGAATTTCAAAAGGTTTGTAAATAAAAAGGAGCCAACCCAGGCTTTTAAAGTTCAACTTGGCTACAGATATTTTCTTATTTTATCCAACCAATGTTTTACAAACAGATAAAATAAAGAAAGCCTGCTATAAAGGTCAACCTTATCCACAAAAAGTGAACATTAACACAATGAAGACAGGTTTCCAAACAAGAATCCTAACCAGTATTTTATTTTTGGAGTACATTTTCAGAAAAGTATATATTTTTAACTCCCTTTTCAAGCTGTAATTCTCTAGGCGCCTAATGATGACATGAGAGTTGTTGCAGTGACCAATTCAGATGCGAAAGGCTCTCATTATAACAAGCTAACAGGTGATAAATCAATTCTAATCCACTTAGATTTTCTAAAACGTGTCTCGGTGGAAAATGAAACACCATGGCATTGTTGTCACCCCGCTGTTTTCTATATGAGCGTAGAGCCCAGTGCTTATTTTCCAACCCTGCTAGCTAAACGGTCTGTGCAGTGAAATCCACAAGAAAGATCTAGTTACTTCTCTAAATCCGCTTACCTTATTTTCTTTTGGTGTTTTTCACATAAACGCAAACATTAACCAGGAGCCGAATATACTCTCCGCCCGAGTAAGTTCCCGTTTTTGGTTTAGCTGAAAGATTTACGGGTGCACAGACGAATGAACGGGCTACCGGGTCCCAGTTGCGGACAGACTTCCACGTCCCCACTGGTCTCCATCAACGTGGCACTTAGCAACAGCCTCCTCCCACGAAGAAGAACATCAGCTTCCGGGGAACATGCTCTTGGGTGTTGTGTCGAAAAAAAAAAGCTCCCATGTGTAGTGCAGGCAACAAAAGGCCGTTCCTCGCACCTTGTACTTCCACGAAAAACATAAATAAAACAACTTTAGTAACGGATATTTTTGTCACACCGTTTTAATAGTCTCAAATCGTGTTGCTGCCTGCTGATACTGTTGGTCTAGATTTCTAGACTAGCGTTTTACACGAAGAAGACGCTTTGGTGACGTGGGTACTTTTTTGGGCACAACACTGTTAGCTTGCTAACTGTCGACATGTAGTGGTTAGCACAGCCGTTACATGTTAGCTATACGAATGACTAACGTAATTTTTCGTGTCAAATAAGACAGAAATATGACGAGTGTAGGGAAGAAAAGTCACCGTGGAAAGGGCTTCAATCTCTGATGTATTAATTTTGCCGGGTGGTGTTGCCCGTAAAACGTGCCTGAATGTAGTTTGAATTGCAAATATTTAATTAGATTGCATCTCTTTTTACATTATCTACTTCTTACTTATTTGGGAGTGAAATTTCCCCATTGGGCTTTTCTTAAGAATGTTTATCTTACTTATTTGGGAGTGAAATTTCCCCATTGGGCTTTTCTTAAGAATGTTTATTAGTAATGCAGACACAACACACATGCTGCTTTACAATTTATTTAACTGAATATTAAAATAAAATGAAAAACAAATTGATCCAGCGTTGTCCCTTGTGTCATTGTATTATCACCCGATGTCTGTCGACCAACCCTATAAGAACACAGTTTTAATGTAAACAAACATTTCACACAAACAGGAAAACTGGATAACGCGACAAAGACCCTCATTTAAAAGCTGATGGTTAATCTCCCCCAGACACTTGCATGGGTCAGATGGGTAGTGATTGGTATAATCATTGGGATCATGATAATTTCGTTTATCCATACACTAAAATAACAAAATAATACAAAACGTACAGTTTCACCAGCTACGAAGGTAAGCCCCAGCTTCCATCTGCAAAGCAAGATTTGAAAACAATCAGAAGACAACTATGAGCAGAGTTAAATCACATTTCGTTTTCACACAAATGAACAAATCATTTTGCTTAAACTATGAAGTTTTCATCGTTTTGATACTCGGTTTCAAATAAACGATTACCACGTGCTAGCTGTTCACCAGCCTACGGTTTTAAACTCATAGATTATAATAAACATTTAAAAATCATAATTCTTTGATCAATTCGAATCATTTTAAGTACACAAAACACGTATTTCTATGTTAAAGTTTCGATACCTGTTAATAAAACCACGCTTGGGAACCTTTACATGTTTTTCAGAGGCTCCCAAAAGGAGAGGCTCCTCTAGCTTTTCTTCTACTGCGGTGCGGTGTCTGCCTTTGCCTGCCACCTAGCGGTCATTGGCGCTTAAATCAAATTATCCGATTGGTCGAGAATGGGCATGCGTATTTCATGCAAAGTAATGTAGTCCACAAATTTCCACATCCAAGAAGAGGGTTAACGTTTTATGCGGTTTCCTGTACAGTCACGACGTGGTCAAACCTCTGAAAATACCAGAACGAACACAAAAATCACCAGCAAATTCAAATCTAACGTCAGCATAAGAAATGAACAGAAAGTGACTGAACTTTAAATAAAAGAGTAGACTAGTAATACTTTATAATTTTCTTTTAGAAAACTGTTTGCTTATCTGATGATACAAACTAATCCTTACAACCACCGGGTTAATTACATCTGACATCTGATTAGATATGGCATTAAAGTTGCACCAGTCAGATGACTGATGAGGAATGTTCTGATGAGTCTTGTTCTTGTTTATGGCGACTTAAAATGTATTTATTAATTACGATAACAAGACCCTTCCCTACACTGCAAGAAAAGGTTTTTTTAAATAAATAAAAACAATCACTTTAGAGATGCAAAACATGGAGTAAAACGATACTTAATCAAGCTAAAAAAACATGAGGAAATAAAAGTTATGATTTTCAGTATAACAGTTTCAAACATGTTTAGAAACAAGTTTTCTATAATCTCATTATTTTTGTTCAAATATTTATGTAAATTATTGAATCTCAAAATATTTTTTATTGCCTCTCAGGGCTTCCACATTCAGTGCACTAACTTCTGGGACTTTTTTTATTCTACAAAATATATCTAGCCTAGAAGTAAAGTTACTGTGCAGATATGAGGAGGAAGACCAAAGGTTTGAAAAAACGGATTCAGGTGAGCTACAATTTAAAGAGCAAGTCACCCCCAAATCAACTTGTTTTTGCTGATAAACTATACAAACGAGTGCCTACGTGTGCTGTAAACACATGCAGTCAATAATTTGGCTCTTTAGAGCATCTTAATTAAAATTTAAATATTCTGCCTAAAACTGTCAGTGTTGTGCCGTCGTCAAGTAAACTCTGCACTGCATTCAAATTTAAATTGGCTAAGAAGTACAGTATGATGTCAGCTAGTACTTTATGATGTCGTTGTGAGCCTGTGTGTGTATTTGTTAGCGGTTCCGCCCTTTCAGTCTGCCAGGCAACCGCATTTTTCAAACAGGAAGTGGGAGTGGAGTAAGACTCCAGTAGGGGGTAACTTGCTGTTTTAATGTACATATTTTGTTTTATTTAATATATTTTTAAGTTTGTGAGACTTTAAATCTCAGTGGACATTTTTTTCTGGCTAAATGAAAATTAAATGAAAATCAAATATCCCTGTTCATACTTGGCTAATTACCAAGCAATAAAATGATGCAGCAGCTCAGTTTAGATGGTTTTAAAACATTCTTGAATTTCCATCCCTAAGATTAAAATTTCAGTTAGATAGGAGAGCCAATAAAAAGTACATATTTTAACAAAATCATTTGAATTGGCTGCCACAATTCCCTTAAGCGGACCTTCATTGTGAAGATGTCATAATTGTGGCGCATTATCACCTAAAATCCCACCCAGTTGCTGCTTTATTTACCATAATTTCAAGGTTTTTTTTTAAATTTAAAATGATGGAAAATGAATGTTAATATATTTTTGTTCCCTGAATGTTCTCACAAGACAAAATCAAGAGAAACGGGTAAATTCATGCTGATTTTAATGTACAGTAAGAACATAACTAAAGTAGCATAAAACAGCACCAGGAGAAAGTCCAGTCTGGTCATCTTTTCTGAGGAGTGCCGTCTGTGTTTGTGTGTCTTACACTTGTTTTAGTATAAAAGCAAATGTCACCTCTATTCACTTTCGTTAAAATAGTGTAGCCTAGCCGCAGTTAATAATTAAATAGCCGAGCTAAAAGCTTCACAACATTAGAGCACATCAATTACAAATAATTGTCAAAATAAATATCAAAAGATTCACGCTCTGTTCATCTACCAGCACAGATATTTTGATTACAAATAAATTACAAGGACTTGTGGAAAACGTCCTTATGACAAAGAATAGAAAAACACAGAGGATTCAACAGAAGAAGGAAAAGCCTGAAACAAACGGATCTGACAGGGCCTTAAAGGAAAAGGAACGGCTGAACTTTATGTTCTGCAGTCGTTTTTTGTGTGAAACACAAAAGTAGAGAAACTGGTAAAAAACTCAGAGCAGATCTGAAAACAAAAGTTCAGAGTTTAAACTTCTGAGCACATCCAAGCAGAACTTCTCTGCCTTCATTTTCCCATTTTTGATGAAGAGCACAACTTGTCGCCCCCCCCTGCAGAACTGAGAGTGGGGGTTTCCCAAGACCGAGTGCAAAGGGAACTACTGTCCGTCCCTGAACCTGGGGTGGTAGTGAGAACTAGCAGTTGATAGAAGCACAGTCTGCTTTAGCTTTCCCTGCAGAGCTGATAATACTCATGAGGCAGTGTCCAAACTCCTCCAGGATCATCCTCTCTGCCTCGGCTTGAGGCTGGCGGCTCTGTTCGGCCTTTTTGGCCTGTTCCAGCAAACACTCACACGTCGCTTCAAGCACCTCCTTTGTGACGAACGTGAACGGCAGCCTGTGGAGGGGAGGAACAAAAAGAAAACGATCTTAAATAAATGCTGACGTGAGGGTCATGGACACCACGTTCAAAAGTTGTGCCAAGATGCATTTGGACAAGAGGTGGACTGATAGATCGGTCGGCCGGCATTTATTCTTAGTAAAGTCTATTTAAAGAGCAAGTCACCCCCAAATCTACTTTTTTTCTGATAAACTATATAAATGCGTGTCTAATCGTGTTGCAGACATGTGTAGTCAATAGTTTTGCACTTTAGTGCATTTTAGTTAAAACTTTAATTTTCTGCCTAAAACTGTCAGTGTTGTGCCGTTGTCAGGTAAAAACTCTGCACTGCATTTGAATTTAAATCTGCCATCGCTATTGGCCAAGAGGTACCCTATAATGTTAGCTGGTACCATATGATGTCACAATATCGTTGTGAGACGGTGTGTGTGTGTGTGTGTGTGTATTCGTTAGTGGCTCCGCCCTCTCGGTCTGCTAGGCAACACCATTTGTTGCACTTTTCAAACAGGAAGTGGGAGAGGAGTAATACTCTGGTAGGGGGTGACTTGCTCTTTAAAGTTAGGCACATCCTCGGGCAGCCTGGTGCTGTTGCAGAATGTCATCTAAATGTATTTTTACGTTCACCAATAACACCTGCATAATAAACACTCTAAATTCCCTTTATTTAGGCGTCTGACTTTTACACTGAGCAATACACAGAGTTAAGATCATCAGTTAGTGAATTCACAGTCCAGAAACTGATTCAGCTTCAGAAATTTTGTGCACTAGTAATAGCGACATTTTAGCATAAAAATAAAATGGAAAACGTCAAGATTATTTGCCCGTAAAAATCGGCAGTACACGTCGACAACCGGCTTACCGTGTCTCTCTCTCTCTCTCTCTCTCATATATATATATATATATATATATATATATATATATATATATATATATATATATATATATCAACATTGGCAATAGCAAAACCAAGATTGGTCAACCTCTGATTTGGACCGCTAGAAAGATGACGGTTATGTTTATTTACGACTTACGAGGAATTCATTCCTACTAAAGACCACTGCAAATGCATTGATAAACAAGTGTGCCACACAGATGTTATCAACGTATTTAAACTACTCAAAAGTCCAAACACATCTGCTGCTGCAACCTAGTAAAGCCACAATAATAAACAACAGAATAAAGCCGCCTGTAAGAGAATGGGCTTTGTGTCAGAAATGCACCCTCATGAGCAGGAGAAGCCACTGGGAGGCGCTGTTCATCCACTTAGAAGGAAAAAATATTCAATCTGTATTCATGAAAGTTTAATGTAAGACAGATGGTGGTGGCATTAATTCATTACAGTCTCGTTAACTTTTATCCGACAGGCCATAATAATGTTACATTTTACAAATTATGCAATAAAATAATTTATTCTTTATCTGCACAATTAAATGTGTTTAATGTGAAGTACTAGTACTTCATCTACATTTAGCAGGTTTAAAGGATTTACAGAGGCTTTTGTAGTTTGTGCTGTGGTGCTAAACCAAAGAAACCTTACGGCACAAACGAGACACCTTTAGACTCCTCCAGTCTTTGAAAACCTCTCCACCTTTATCTCCATGATGGTTTATAAACTGCTCGGCTGGAGCTGACTAAAGCCTGGAGGTGAAGACTAGCTGTATGGATGAAAACAGCTGATATTTCAGTTGAAACACAAAAAAACTAAACTCATTTAAAATTTTTTCATATGAACTCAAATACTGATGCAGACTATGATGACTACAACAGCAGCTCCATCCGACAGCAAGCGTGTGCTGCTGTAGAAATGGAATTCGGCCCTCATTAACACATCTAGCCTTTACTGGACTCTATTAATAATGTCTCTCTGAAAGATTCATCCATCCATTCATTCGTCCAACCATCTTCAGCCGCGTATCCGGAGTCGGGTTGTGAAGCAGCCTAAGCCGGGAGGCCCGGACTTTCCTCTCCCTAGCCACTTGGACCAGCTCTTCCAGGCGAATCCCAAGGCGTTCCCTGACCAGCCGATAGACATTGTCCCTCCAGCGTGTCCTGGGTCTTCCTTTGGGTCTCCTCCTGGTTGGATGTGCCCGCAAAACCTCACCAGGGAGGCATCCTAACCAGATGCCTGATCCACCTCAATTGGCTCCTCTTGTTATTGAGGACCAGCGGGTCTACTCCGAGCCCCTCCCAGATGACCGAGCTTCTCACCCCATCTCTAAGGGAGAGCCCAGACACTCAGTTAAGAAAACCAATTTCCGCTGCTTGTAGCCGCAATCTCGTTATTTTGATCACTACCCAAAGTTCATGACCATAGGTGAGGGTAGGAACGTAGATTGACCGGTAAATCGAGAGCTTCACCTTCTGGTTCAGCCCTCTCCTCACCACGAAAGACCGGTTAGGGATGCTGTCAAGCTAAAGAAAGAGTCCGATATATCAAGTCTTTTTGGCCTGTGGGAAACCAGAGGCACCTGATGGGTACCGCAAGTCCAAGCAGAATGCAGCTCGGGTGTGTGAGGAGTTCAATGAGACCATGGACCAAGACTTCCACACAGCTCTGAGGAGATTCTGGTCCACTATCGGGAAAGCACTGAGCTACCAACATTTTTTATAGTGGGGACGGTGTGCTGCCGACCTCTACTCGGGAAATTGTGGATCAATAGGCGGAGTACTTCGAAGACCTCCTTCCAGTGAGGAAGCAGAGTCCGGGGATTTTAGGCTGGACTCTCCAATCTCTGGGGTCGAGGTCATTGAGGTGGTCAAAAAGGGGGTGGATGAAAATCCACCTGGAGTTCCTTAAGGCTCTAGATGTTGTAAGGCTGTGTTGGCTGACTGCAATATCGCATGAACATCAGGGGCAGATCCAGACCGGGGGTGGTGGTCCCCCTATTTAAAAAGGGGGACCGCAGGGTGTGTTCCAACTTAGGGCTGGACGATATAGAAAAAAAGTGAATTGATAAAAATAAATCATATTGAGCTATATCAATAACTATTGAAAACCATTTGAAAAATGCCATATATATTTAGTGCAGCCCTGGCCATCTTAGGCCATTACTTTATGATAAAACAAGTTGGTTACATTACCAGACTTGTTTTTTATGGATTCTCTGTTGCAAACCACTGTTGGTTGTTTTTTGTCAGACTTAACATACCGTGTTTATTTATAAAGCACATTTAAAAACAGCATGACAGCTGACCAAAGTGTCAGTATTAAAAAATAAACAAAAGACAAGATTAAAAAATCAGATAAAAGAGATCAAATAAAAAAATTAGGGCTGGGACTCGATTAAAACATTTAATCTAATTAATTAGAGGCTTTGTAATTAATTAATCTAAATTAATCGCATTTTAATCGTTCAGAAAAATGTGTCCTCAAAGCAAAACTTTTAATTAAAATTATGATACAGAGAATCAAACATTAGACATGGTTATTACTGTAAACTAAAGCTTTTAATTTAAAAAATGCATTTTAATTATTCAAATGTCACTGTGTGATATGAAACAAGACCCAAATCAACTAAAATCAGAGTAGTGAGGACACGGAGCATTTTGCCAGCTGCAGCCAGGTGCCTCTCGTTAGACTACGTTCATAAACTACTGTTAGGGGAAATACTTATTCTGTCTGGTGCTTTCAGCGCTGCACAGGTGTTACGTAAATGTTAAAAATATAGCTTACCGCAACTTTTGTAAAGTTTCCGGTGCCACCGGGCAGCCGCAGCAAAGACTATCTCTGAAAAATGTCCGTGACACGGACTCCATTGTTGTCTGGACGTTTATTTTTTCTAAGTTAAGAAAAGAGGCGGACGTGTTTCCTAAATCCTGCATCAGTCCAAGCAAGGCAACTTCTGTCTGTTTTTATCCCGTTTTAGTAGCCATCAGCGCTGTGCATTCTTGTGTGCGTCAGTGATATTCGGTCTACGAGGAAATCGTGCAATGACAAAGGCTCCGCCTTGGTCCAAATGCAAGCTGTGATTAAATGCGTTAATTTTTTTAACGCATCTTTTTTTTTATTATTAATTAATCAATTAACGCGTTAAAGTCACGGCCCTAAAAAAATACATTTAAAAGAACATACTAAAGCAAAACAAGGCCACGACTAAAAGTATAATAAAAACACACTAAAAGGTTAGCCCATTCTGGCAGGGAAATACCACAGAGGAAAAACTAGATGCCCTATCATAGCTCAGAAGCTAAATGATGAAAATAGGCCTTCAGCGCCGACATAGTGAAGGGGCCTGTCGTACATTGAGGTAGTGCATTCCAGAGTTTAGGCGCAGCGAACACAAAGGCCCGCTCCCCGCGGGATTTGTATCTCATCTTTGGGATGCACAGGAGCAGGTGGTCTGCCGATCTCAGAGTTCTGGAAGGGGTGTAAGGTTTGATCAGTTCTGATAGATATGCGAGAGCTGGACCATTCAGAGCTTTAAAAACTAAAGTTAAAACCTTAAACTGGATGCGATATTTAACAGGCAGCCAGTGCAAATGGGCAAGGATGGGTGTAGCGCGACAGCATCTGGAGGAGTTTGTCAGAAATGTAGCTGCTGCGTTTTGTACTCTTTGAAGACGCTCAGTTGAGGATGACTTGTAAGAATGAAAACATCGCCACACTGGTGAAGTACTGTAACCTTTTATGGGACTATTTCTTCCCTCTCCTTGCTGCAACCTCTCGGTGAAGTCACACTGCTGTCTGTTTCGGTTTGAGGGGAGGGCTTGGTGACGGAGCATGCTTGGGTCTGTGTGTTTGATTTGTTGGGTATAAGTAATGACTCTACCCAATAGGCTATAATAGAAAAACGACACTTTTATTGATCCATTTTCTTTCTATTCAACCACATGTCAATTGATCGATATATAACGTTATCAAGTGTTTGTCCAGCCCTATTCCAACTACACTGCTGAGCATCCCTGGTAAAGTCTATTCTGGAGAGGAGGGTCCGGCGGATTGTCCAACTTCAGATTCAGGGGGAGCAATGTGGTTTTCGTCCTAGCCGTGGAACGCTGGACCAGTTCCATACCCTTATTCCATCCTGGAGGGTGCGTGGGAGTTCGCCCAACCAATCTATATGAGTTTTGTGGATTTGGAGAAGGCGTTCGATCGCGTCCCCTTTTGGGGTCCCGGATCCTTTGATAAGGGTTGCTAGGTCCCTGTATGACCAGTGCCAGAGCTTGGTCCACATCTTTCTTGAAATTAGTGGCTGGAATTTGTGATTTAGTCAGTTTATATGGAAGATTATATGATTCACTGAAATACAAAAGCTTCAACGCAACAGAAGTAATAACAGAAATACCAAGAAGTCAGAAGTTGTGCTCGACATGTCCTGGCAATAAAATATTTCCCCTGCGTCGATACGTGTGTATTTTTGTTTTCAGTAGTCATGGCGTCTGTTATGTGGTGTTTACTCTCGTTATCGAGTGTTATTTATTCAGGGTGACGGTCGATCACAACAACAACCAACATTAGCGGTAAGACGCACCCCTAGAATAGAAAAATGCTGAAAGAACAACAAAGCAAGCATGCTCATTACAAACTGGTGCCTGATTTGCAGCCGCAGCTGCTCAGACTTCGTGTTTTAGCACAATTGATGATCTTTTTCTTCCATTTAGCCTTTACTTCAATACCAGGTAGGCCGATGAACTTTATTTTCCTTAGGATGTTATTCAGTTGTGTGGAAGTGTTTGCAAGTACCTCCCGCCTCCACTGGAGACAACGGGCATGGTCCGCATGAGCAGGTCGGAGATCTGCGATGACAGTTTGGTTTTGGCTGCAGTCTGCTGCTGAACCCTCACTTCAGCGGCATCGGCCAAATGCATCAACGTCTTCCTCTCCGGGCTCTCCTCAAAGTTTTTACAGCCGATGCATTTACAAATGGACGAGCACATGATCTTTGCCTTCACATTAGAGAACAAATGTCAGTACCACACACACGCACGCACACACACACACACACACACACACACACACACACACAGCCAGTCTAAAAGCAGAGACGCCACCTCGTAGCACTCGCAGTAGTTCTTCAGGCAGCCCGATCGCTTGCAGTTGCAGCCTTTGCTGTGCCGGCGGTCCGACTCGCCCTCTTTGCCTTTTCCAATCTTAGGTTTGAAGGCCTCTGGATTTCTGTCCAAACACGTCTGTGAAGAGACATTTTCACCTCAACACAAAGACCCAAAGATGACAAGAACAAACATGTAGTTGAACCTCCAGCCCACCTTGATGGCTTTGAGCCGCTCCGTCTCATGTTCCAGGTTATTGAAGCAGTTATTGCAGTTGCAGTTATTGCAGAACTCTCCATTAGCAAAGCAGTCACAGTACCTGGAGGAAGAAAAACAATTTCATTAGTTATCAGCTTTGCCTTTTAGGTTTTCCCTGCAAACAAAAAGACAAAGAAATCAGGATTATATGTAAAAGGTTTTTTTCTTCTGAAAGGTAATTTGAATAAACTGTACTGGAGGCCATGTCCTGAACCACCACCGTCACATTTGTAGTTTATTATATGGATTTATACAAGATGAATGGTCAGGTGTTTAAATTATTAGTTTTCTTTTATGCGTCTTAACTTAAAAGAAAATACTGAACTGGAACAAAATTCAGACAGATCGGCAGTAAAGGCATCTCTCACCTTCCTTGTTTTCTGTTATTGGGTCAGAAAACGACACAGAGCTACCTTCAGTCGCTGGTGTCAACATAACTCATTACATTTAAAACAATATTATTAAAACAATAATTCCTATAACAAGCAATGACAGCAGCTGTAAACAGCCTTTATAACTGAAACAAGTGATATTAAAGCGTCTCACTGCAGGAATAATGAGACGAACCCTGAGATATGTGACACGCAACTGAAAATCTCATGTTGATTTGAATAATTTTATGCTATTTATCACCGGATATTTAAAGAGCAAGTCACCCCCAAATCAACTTTTTTTGCTGATAAACTATATAAATGAGTGTCTAACTGTGCTGTAGACACATGTAAGTCAATAACTTGGCACTTTAATGAATCTTGGTTAAAATTTAAATATTCTGCTTTAAACTGTCAGTGGTGTGCCGTCGTCAGGTAAAAACTCTGCACTGCATTTGAATTTAAATCTGCCATCCCTATTGGCTAAGAGGTACACTATGATGTTAGCTGGTGCATTATGATGTCACAATGTCATTGTGAGCCTGTGTGTGTATTTGTTAGCGGCTCAGCTCTCTCGGTCTGTCAGGCAACAGCATTTGTTGAATTTTTTAAACTTGAAGTGGGAGTAGACTAAGACTCCGGTAGGGGGTGACTTGCTCTTTAATCTCGACATTCAGGACAATAAAAAAAAACTAGATCAGGACATTCCTAATTATTAGTAAATTGCTTTTTATTCCTAATTTGTACTGAAATAGCACAATAATGCTAAAGCCTGAGTGTGAATATTCCTTTTCCAAAATTCTCCAGATGTTCCTGTAAGATAAAATCTTTAACAGCACCTCACAAACTCCAAACAAATTTTAAAGAGCAAGTCACCCCCTACCAGAGTATTACTCCACTTCCACTTCCTGTTTGAAAAATGCAATAAATGCTGTTGCCTAGCAGACCGAGAGGGTGGAGCCACTAACAAATATACACACACGCACACACAGTCTCACAACGACATTGTGACATCATATGGTACCAGCTAACGTCCTAGGGTACCTTTCATCCAATAGCGATGGCAGATTAAAATTCAAATAATAAAGTATTTTTGAATTGAATTGAAACCCAGTGCAGAGTTTTTACTATATAAATGAATGTCTAATCGTGCTGTAGACATGTGTAGTCAATATTTTGGCACTTTAGTGCATCTTAGTACAAAATAAAATAGTACAAAATAATCTGCGTAAACTATCGCTGTTGTGCCATTGTCAGGTAAAAAATCTGCACTGCATTTGAATTTTAATCTGCCATCGCTATTGGCTAAGAGGTACCCTGGAATGTTAGCTGGTACCATATGATGTCACAATGTTGTTGTGAGCCTGTGTGTGTGTGTGTGTGTGTGTGTGTGTGTGTGTGTGTGTGTGTGTGTGTGTGTGTGTATTTGTTAGCGGCTCCACCCTCTCGGTCTGCTAGGCAACAGCATTTGTTGCATTTTTCAAACAGGAAGTGGGAGCGGAGTAAGACTGTGGTAGTGGGTGACTTGCTCTTTAAAGACCACATTAACATGAAAACAATGATGACTGAACTTACAGTTTGAGACACTGTGACTTGGTGCAGTTGCAAGGTTTTCTTGGTCTTGAGGTCGTTTCTGCTGCAGACACACTAGAAAAATAATAAATCGTATTACATAAGTCATTAAATAAAATAAAAAACAACCGGCCAGTTCCGGGTTTGGAAAGAAAACAGGAACACATGCAGGTAATATTACACATCTACGAGAGTTTCTTATGAGCACGACGGGCATCAAATCATTTCACGGCCTCTAGTGTCTCCAGAGGAAATGTACCGGCACAAACACAGATAACCAGTCAAATCGGGCTCGACAGCCATCTTTACTTGTACTCGGTTTGAACTCTTACGCACGGATCACACTGTGCAGTTTTTGGCTACCTTTGCCAACTCCCTGGTCCTGAGCAGAATCGTGACAAAAACGGTCGTCGTGAGGGTGATTTGCATCTATGTGCACCACGCTGTGAACGTACAGTGTGACCGGCTCTGCGACAGCTTTTTGAGCCGTCTCACGACCAAATCAGCCTCAAAAAGCCTTCAAGCATGCTTGAAAACCTACCATTCCTGTCTGCAATCGACCAATGAAAACACACCTTTGGGACGGCGCAGCAGCGAGACTCCGCCTCTCTGAGCTTCGGTTTCAATTCATGTTTAAAATGTGGATTATAAACAACACCCTAGTTTTTATTTTTGTTATTAGCCCAAGTTAAACCGGAGTTATACTAAAATAATTTAACAACCTTTTTAGACCATCAGATAAATTGTGAAAACTGATTCTGTGATCTGTGAGAGCCGAGAGGAGATGAGCTCACGAACACAAAAACATGAGATCCCTTTGCTGTTGGTGGAAACTTCACATATTCAAGCGATAAGGATGGTTCAGGAGCGTTTTGCTGCAGCAGGACAGAGGAAGCTCTGTGACAGCAGGTGTGACATGGAGCGGATCTGCGGAGCAGTAAGACAGAATTCATGGCAAAAGTTACATCGCAGAGATCTGTGACAGATTGTTACTTCTCTGTAGTTTAGTGGGTTCTTGTGTATAAAGGAGGAGAAGGATGAATGACCAGCTGACAGCTCCGCTGTTTAGCTGGAAGACGGGAAAAGGAGACCTGCAGCCGGAGTCTGATGCCAAAGCGAGGGTTTTAAAAACGAAGCTTCCTGTTTGAGGAAGATGAGCTGGGTCTTGTACCATTTTCAGATTTGTTTTGGTTAGCGGTCTGCGTAGTGACGCATGCTTTGGTTGGGAGGTGCACTCGTGACGCAGCGTGTCCCGCTGGAGCGACACGTCGTGCAGTCTGCCTCACTGAAATCTTACGTCGTACAATGCGACACCTCTCTGGAGTTCTCACAGTGTGACAAGAACAATCCTGTGCGACGGCCAAAAATCGCACAGTGTGATCCGGGCTTAAGACGCGTTTTCCTCGCCCTTTAAGTTGGCAAGAAAAAAGTTTTCCTAACTTCTTGAACAACATTCCAAAACTTTTGAGTTAATGACCATTTTTATTGTTCTTGATGTTCAAACATACGTTGAGGTTCACTTTCTACACTATAATAAATGTGGACCAAAATCTAACTGAACTTTTCTGCTTCACTTCCTTTAATTGTAATAAAACTACAAAGACCACTGGGTTAAATCCAGACCCAAACCATGACACATCCTCCATGTTCTACAGATGTTCCACTTCTCGTCTTCTCCAAATATAGTCAAGACGAACTGAAAGAACATTTCTGGTTTGGAATAATCTCTCTAAGACTTGTTTCCACTTCATGAAAACAGGAATATATTTAGTTTTTTGTGATGAGCTGCTAAGAAAGTCTAAAAATCCGATTTTAAGTGTTTTTTACTTAGCCGTCCGTGTCAACACAACATCGACTCATTCCAGGAATTGTTTCTAATTGAGTGCTCCAATGATCATAAACATGGTTTGAACAAACTTCCCCCAGAAAACTAGAGAAAGCTGAACTGTACATAACATGAGTGAAAGTGAAAATAGATTTTTAGGAAACTGTTGAGATCTTTAGATTAGAGATAACAACCGTCTCCTTATGAGTAAAATGTGGCGCTGCGGTTCCTGGCTTTCAGGCGACCCTTTAACGCTCTCCGTAATCCTCCTTGATTTTGACCTTTGGTTTTTCTCCATTACCTTTTTTCTAGTCTCCAGAGACGACTTGAACTCCTTCTTACCCGTTAAGGGGCAGTTTGGCCTGGGTCTGAATGGCACCGGATGCGGGAAAACTCGAGCTGCTGGCGAGAGTCGCGAACGGCTGCTGGAGCTACGAGAAAATAACAGAAACAGTTTAGGCCACTCCTACAAGGAGAACGCCATCTAGAACCAAAGTAAAGCGAGAACCCACTAACCTGTGTGACGTACTGTGCTGGAACAACGGTGTACCCCACACTGCTGCCTCCGGGGGCCGGCGCCAGGACGGTGCCCGGGGGCAGGCTGGTGAAGCCGGGCTGGATCTGGGGCAGTGGCGTTGCAGGCATGATGAGGCGCTGTTGGGTCTGAGCGGTGGTGACTACTTGTGCTGCTGATGGCAAAGGCTTCGGCACTACCTACAGGTGACACAATGCATGACCACAGTGTAGGGCTGCCTGAAAGCAGGTGGACAGTAACCATGGTTACCTGTTTTATGGCCTGAGCCGAGACAACTGGGACCGACATCCTGACTGCTCCAGTACCAACCATCACAGGTTTACCTGTGGGAAGTTGTCATGATCAGCGGTGTCCGACTGAGTCAGGAGAACAAGGATGCTTGGAGCTCACCTGTCTGAACCGAGCTGGTGTTGGGACCGCTGAGCTGTCCCGTGCTGCTCGCCGTCGTGGCCGTGACGAGGCGAACATAGTGAAACCGGTTTCCCGGCACCTGAATCTGTTGCACATTCGGCTGGGTGGACAGAGGGATGATGGTCTTGTACTGGGAGCCTCCAACTCCTCCCACTGGCACAGATTTAATATTCTAGAGGTAAAAAATATATTTTCAGATGTGGTTAATGAGATATGCAGACAGGGGCAAAAACATTAGCTTTTGTCTTTTGAGTAGAGACGATTAAAAAAAAAATAACACTGCAGATGAGGACACCGTGCACATATGCATCAGGTACAGCTTCCATCTCACCTGTGCCGTGGTCTGGCTGGTGGCCACCTTGATAGGAGATCCAGGTGTGGACTGCTGGACTGCAAGGATTTGTTGGCCAAGTGCTACACCGACGGGCAGAGCTACAGACTTCTGAGAGGCACTGGAGGGCGGTGAGGCCACAGAAACCACGGTCACCTTACAGAAATAAACCAGGAGAAAGACCTAAGAGCTGAGCTGGACTTAAAAACAAACCCGTCCAGAGAGGAACCAGATGAAACACACCACTCAAAGTGAGTCTCCGCTGCAGACAACAATAACAATAACTGCATGATCTTAATGAGAAGAAATGCCAGTGGTGTGCTCGCTTTTACATTAAAGTGTAGAGCAACATATGTAAAATCAGTTATCTGCCTCAACAGCAGGATCAATCAGAGATGGACCGATCTGGGCTTTTCTATTACCGATACCGATCCTCACAAAATTAACGAGCTTTCGAGGAATATTGGCTCAATCCCGGAGCTCAGGGATGGAATGCATCGTGCTGTGAAAGCACAAACTCATTTAATTGACGAGATGAGTCGTAAGCTTGGAACTTTGGCTGAGATTCAGGCTCTGGCACAGAAGGTGGATTCCATCAAGGAGAGTGGACGGATCAGCACGGATTGGGATAGATTAATTACGCCATTATTGGACCTGGAGGGGTTGAAGACCAACAGGACTCTAAGGCAGAGAGGAAATTATCTCTGTCTGTCCCCAAAACAATTCTTATCTGAATCTGGCGCCCTTGGAGCCTGTGAGGCTGAAGTGATCCCCCCCAGAAGAAATGTGGAATGCGGCCGTCGCTATGGAAACTCTCCCTATCCCAGCCTGGGCGGGACTGTGATCGGTGAAGGCAGTGGAACCATATCCAGGAGTCATTGTGCTCTCCAACCCATTATCTCCCTCCCCTGTCCAAAACGGAGGTGATGAGTGCTGCTCCATGCGGCTGCACGCACTGAAGTGAGGAGAGTCCCAACCTACCTCCCCACCTAGTGGATACTTATGTTGTGTAATGTCTGAAGTCTGTGTGCATATCTGTCTAAGGTGTTTTTTTGCATAGCAAAGCTGCCCTCTCTGTTGAGGGGTAACTCCGAAGTGCCTATTTTCCCTCCCCCTGACTCTATCCTCATATAAACCCCCTTGATCTATAACGGTAGCGCGACTCGGGATGCGAATGTCCACAGTCACCAATTCTTGCCATGTGTCTATGTATGTATGTCTGATCTCAGAATTGTGTGTACTGAAACTCTAATTTCCCTCTGGGATTAATAAAGTATCTTTGAATTTGAATTGAGCTGCAGAGATCCGGTTACCTCTCATCTAGACTTTTGTCAGCAGCTTCCACCTTTTTCATAAAAACTACTGAGGCCACGATCAGAGACGACTCCATGCTTTAGAGAATGTGTGATTTCTTTAAACATTTATAACATTTTTTTTGAAGGCATTGTAACTGTTTTGTTGTTTAAATTTTGATGATGAGGATGTAAACCTGAGGGGGTAGGGCTAAATAAGTATACACTTCTCCCTACTCCTTTTCAAACAATTGCGTGGAATGATTTTATGAAATGTTGGTGAATGTATATGTTTGAAATAAAGTGAACTGAACTGAAATAACATGTTTACAAATTAAGTGAAGCTACTCATGCTAGGAAAGTAGCGCCCACAACGGTGGCAGTAGGACCGGGCGATATGGCCTCAAATCTATATTGCAATCTAATCGGAAGCATGTGTGGTAACGATATATTGCGATATAGTTTTTCCTCTATTTATGTCAAAATGACATGCTTTTAAATATTCTCATGTGGCAAACATATGCCACGTGAGGCATATAGGCCTCCTCCTCTGCCCAATCCATGCTTGCAGTCACTGCCATTCTATTGCCCCTATGTCAGCAGGGTGCTCATCTTAAGTGATGTCATGTGTTATCGCGATATCGTGATATGGCCAAAAAATATCATTACCCAATTTTGTATCGTTTCTACCTTATATTGTTTATATTGCCCACCACTAGGTGGCAGCCCAGTGAGATACTGGTTTTAGCGCCCTACTGGTTAACAACAACATCATTAACATAGAGTACCTTGCTGGGAGTCTTGAGAGGTGAGATAGCGATCTTTTTGCCAGAGATGCTTTGCATGTTAGTGTTGTGTGGCTCAGACAAAGTGATGGTTTTGGGCGTCATCACAGGGGAGCTCTGGGTCAGGACGCGTCCTGTTAATAAAGACGTAGCAGCAGATTAGGATAAGTTTTAACTTCATCATGACAGTAAATAATTCAGTAGCAAACAAACATAGCTAAAGATAAATGTACCCTGGATGACAGGAGAGACAGGCATCTGAGGACTTAGACCTTTGCTGTTGACAGTTTTTGTGATGATAAATTTGATGGGAGCAGCTGATGATGCTGGCGTTTTCTTGGGAATCTGAGAAGGTAAAAAAAAGAATTAAATAAAAATCCCAAAACATTTATAATATTTGCATGTAAATACAGGTGCTGGCCAGTAAATTAGAATATCATCAAAAGGTTGAAAATATTTCAGTAATTCCATTCAAAACGTGAAACTTGTACATTATATTCCTGCAATGCACACAGACCAATGTATTTCCAATGTTCATTACATTTAAATTTGATATTTATAGGTGACAACCAATGAAAACATCAAATCTGGTATCTCAGAAAATTAGAATATTCTAAAGGCCAATGAAAAAATGTTTGTTTCTCTAATGTTGGCCAACTGAAAAGAATGAACATGAAAAGAATGTGCATGTATAGCACTCAATACTTAGTCGGGGCTCCTTTTGCCTCAATAACTGCAGTAATGCGGCGTGGCATGGACTCGATCAGTCTGTGGCACTGCTCAGGTGTTATGAGAGCCCAGGTTGCTCTGATAGTCGTCTTCAGCTCCTCTGCATTGTTGGGTCTAGCGTATTGCATCCTCCGCTTCACAATACCCCATAGATTTTCTATGGGGTTAAGGTCAGGCGAGTTTGCTGGCCAATCAAGGACAGGGATACCATGGTCCTTGAACCAGGTGCTGGTGGTTTTGGCACTGTGTGCAGGTGCCAAGTCCTGTTGAAAGGTGAAGTCTGCATCCCCATAAAGTTGGTCAGCAGCAGGAAGCATGAAGTGCTCTAAAACTTCCTGGTAGACGGCTGCATTGACCCTGGACCTCAGGAAACAGAGTGGGCCAACACCGGCAGATGACATGGCACCCCACACCATCACTGACGGTGGAAACTTTACACTGGACCTCATGCAACGTGGATTCTGTGCTTCTCCGCTCTTCCTCCAGACTCTGGGTCCTTGATTTCCAAAGGAAATGCAGAACTTGCTTTCATCAGAAAACATAACTTTGGACCACTCAGCATCAGTCCAGTCCTTTTTGTCCTTGGCCCAGGCGAGACGCTTCTTGCGCTGTTTCTTGTTCAAGAGTGGCTTGACACACGGAATGCGACACCTGAATCCCATGTCTTTCATGAGTCTCCTCGTGGTGGTTCTTGAAGCGCTGACTCCAGCTGCAGTCCACTCTTTGTGGATCTCCCCCACATTTTTGAATGGGTTTGTCGTCACAATTCTCTGCAGGGTGCGGTTATCCCTAGAGCTTGTACACTTTTTTCTACCACATTTTTTCCGTCCCTTCGCCTGTCTGTTAATGTGCTTGGACACAGAGCTCTGCGAACAGCCAGCTTCTTTAGCAATCACCTTTTGTGTCTTGCCCTCCTTGTGCAAGGTGTCAATGATTGTCTTTTGGACAGCTGTTAAGTCAGAAGTCTTCCCCATGATTGTGGTGCCTTCAAAACAAGACTGAGGGACCTTTTAAAGGCCTTTGCAGGTGTTTTGAGTAAATCAGCTGATTAGAGTGGCAGCAGGTGTCTTCTATATTCAGCCTTTTCAGAATATTCTAATTTTTTGAGATACCAAATTTGGAGTTTTCATTAGTTGTCACTTATGAATATCAAATTTAACTGTAATGAACATTGGAAATACATTGGTCTGTGTGCATTGCATGAATATAATGTACAAGTTTCACGTTTTGAATGGAATTACTGAAATATTTTCAACCTTTTGATGATATTCTAATTTACTGGCCAGCACCTGTAAGTGAAATTGAGAGTTAATCTCCCAACACAGTAGCTGAAAAATACTCATCAATCTGCGTCTTGTGAGTAGAAAGGTGGAGTTGGAAATTTGACAGCATAAAGATGATCTGAAAGTCCCAGATTATTATTATTTCTTTTTTCCTTTATTTTCTCTATTTTTCCATTTCTTTCTTTGTTGCTTTGATTATCTGGTTATTTTCTTATACATACACCTGTGAGCTGAACATTCAGCAGCATAACTCATGTCTAAAACAAGAGTTCTGTATTTGTGGAAGATTCTCGATCAGAACTGCATTAGAAGTTAAAAAATAAAACGTCACATGTAGATGAAGTTATTCAGGTTTTGAACGGCTGAACAGATGTCTACCGCAGCTCGGGTCTACTGATTCTGATTCTAGTTCATTTAGATTCATCACAAAGATTTATCATTAAAATATATTTTCTTAATTCCAGTCAACTTTGAAAAACATGATTATGAAAACTGAGACTTTAACGTGGCAGACCTGTTTTTGCTGGTGTGAATCAACAGCTCATCACATGGCTACAGAACAGTGGTAAACCAACTGTGCAAAAACACTGGCTGATTAATGTTGCATCCATAACAATGGCCAACTGTGGTGTAAACCGCTTTGGAGCCCTCTGACTCAGAAACAAGAGCAGGTCATTTATCATCACAAGCCAGTTTTTAGACATAATTCAACATTTTTAATGAAAAATGTCAGCTTTACTTTAAAGGCGTGGTTGATTCATTCTATCAATATACTGGTTCACCATTTCCAGAAACTAGAATGACAAAACAAAAATTATGATAAAATAAATAAAAGATGATAATTTAAATAAAATACAACCTAAATGTGATGAAAACACTAAATTCTAACTTGAACTGAAGTGAAAAATAACATTTCTTTCTGCTTTCCTGATTCATTATTCGTGTTTTTGCACTCATAGAGGTGAAGTTTTACTTCAAGAGTGAATAACGGCAAGTAAAATGATGCTCTGCTGCATTTTTGTCAATATTATTACAATAATGTTGGAGATGTATCCAGTTTCATTCATTTTTGTTGAACTGCGCTCAGATGACCAGCGCCAGTCTGACCCACCGTGGTGCTCACCAGTGTGTGTGTGTGTGTGTGTGTGGGGGGGGGGGGGTAATGTAACCTCGTGCTCTTTAGAAGTACGTCTTCATCCATGCACTCTGCTCAGCAGCAGCAGCGTTTCGTCCAGAGCCGACACAGATTGACAACATTCATGCAAATGTGGGTGAAGCGCTAAACTGTTGCACTCCTCAGTGATGTAATCCGCAAGCACAACTGGTTAGCTAGTAGTAAATAATTCTATATCATAGGCCAAAATCATACCAAATACATCACATACCGTGCATTACTAGTGACATTGTGATGTAGCTCTGTCAGGCTTTTCTAATCCTAGAGTTCTTATCATAAGCTAATGCAGCAGACACGTGTAGGAGACTATTTTCATGTTCAGCCTGCATGAAAAACTCAGTGACTGATTATAATCAGAAATAGTAATAAAAAATAGGGTTATCAGTAGGGATTCATCGATACCAATACTGGCATTGGTAAAACCTGAAAGTGGCTTCACTGTAACTTGTCGTTTCTGCTCACCTAATATTTTAGTTTTGTGACCATTTCTATTAATATCTTATTTTTTTTGTCTACCTCAGTCTTTTCCTGTTGAAAGCAGAGAAGAAAATAAAATGTGTATTCCAATTCATTGCATTTTTTATGTGGTAGAAGTATCGGTATCGGCGATTACTCAGATCCAAGTATTGTATCGGTTTGGAAAACAGTGGTATCGTTCCATCCCTAGTTATCAGTGGTCCACACCTTCAAGTCAAGTCATTTGCTTTGCTCTTGAATAAAGACTTTTAGTAGGAAACAAAGATTACAGAATAAACATTTATTTCAAAATTATAAATCACAATGTTGGTCTTTAAAAATAAACGTGTCTATTATTGCATCTTTTTAGAATCATTATGTAAACAAACACTTGTCTTAACAAAAGGTGCATCATTACAAAAGCATGTTTATGATGCCTGCCTTAGGACTGCAGATGCAAATGAGCAATTTGGCTAACTGGCATATTTACATTGATGCTTCTGTTGTAATGCTGATCTATAGGCATTGTCCTAATTTAATAAACAAAAAAAATGAAATGAAATTTCAAAGTAGTTAGGTCGGAGTTTCTAGGTCAGAGTAGCCAAGTTGTTTATTACGCATGTTCTGTGGGGCTGATACATGTTCGAAAATAAAAATGACAATTTAAAAACTTTAGTTAATGTCTGTTTGAACTGAGAATCAAAGGTTGAATTAATGCCTACTAGCTGGAAATGTGATCAAACTAGCACCACTTAACAGAATTAAAAGCTAATAATCAGTGTTGTTGGCATATATTTCCCTATAGGTCAAAACTATCATTTGTATGGAGTAATTTTACAGAACACATAAAACTAAATTATAGGCATCTAGTTGTTTTTTTTTTGTGCAGTGAAGACAAATCAATAAACGTTACCTGTACAGTCTTCAGCTTCTGGGCCTGTAACGTGGTCACTTGGTTTCCAGAACTCGCCATCACTGGTTTCAGCTCCGTCCTTTCACCAATAGTTACCACTTTAAATTGTGGCGTTGGTGACTTGGTGTTCCCTGCAGTCTGTGATACTCCAGGTTTGCTGCCTGTGTGGGGCAACTGAAAGAATATAGGTTGCCCCGACTTTCCTATTGCTGTCACCAAAAGTTTTTGTCCTTCCTGTTTAATGATTTGGGGTGGCGTCCCTGCAGATTTCACAGCCTCTGTGGCTTGAGATGAGGCCACCTTATTAAGAATGATCTGGTGGTTGGCTGCAGAGAATGCAAACTGAGTTGCATGCTTCTGTAAGCCGCCTGTGGAAACAGTAGTCCCTGTGACGCTGTCTGTCGTTTTGGTTGTGGCCGTGGAAGTAGACAAAGTTGATTTAAGGGAAAGGAGGGTCGAAGAAGTGGAAACTGAGACAGACGGCTCATTTCCAGAACTGATGGTGAGCATGGAGTCTGCAGCTTTGGAGGAAGTCAGAGTCTGGGTGTGCTCTATTGAAGGGACTTTGGAGCAGATGCTCAAATTTTCTGATTGCATGGGTGCATCTGTCTCCATGGGAACAGATGTGTCCTGGCTTGCCTGGGACTGGACTGCAGTGCCATCAGACTCGGAGTGTGGGACGTCCTCTATGGCCTCGGTATCCATGATTTCATCAGGAAGGAGGCTGTTGAGCTCTGGCGACACCACATCCATGCTTGTTGTCCTGTCTCAGCACTCTGAAAAACCTAAAATAACAAAGCAGCTTATTTTAGTTTAGGTCAAAAATGTTAAAAACCCAAAGATCTGGGGTTGCATTAGGCATTTATTTGCCTAAACTCACCAAAATATTGCATTTATAGTTAGCAGTGAGTAAACGGAGGTAGAATTGGGGCAATGAACCGATTGTCATTTGAAATATTTCGTGATTCAAATGCCTATATAAACATTTTTTCATGATTAACACAAATGCAGACTAACATCTTGCTAGTGAAACAGCAGGAAACAGAAACGCTAGCGACTTAGCCGGTCTGAACTAATTACGTGGGACTTTATCAGCAATAAAACGCAGCAGGAGCTCCATTTGTCTTCAGGTGGTTCTGACAGAAGCTGAGAGCTGATGGTGGTTTAGCTAGGCCGCAGCGTTTCATCTCAGGCGTATCTTTGTCCTGCTGCTCTCTGCTCAACATTAATCCACCGAAACGCACATAATGTGAACCCCTTTCTGCCCCAAACCACACACCGGCAGCTGCCCTGGATGCTTTCACGTCCCTACGGGGGAGCGAACAAACGGAGGCTGGGTATGACTGCTCCCCGTTTGCGTTAAAACCTCCCCAGAAGTGATGTAAATTGGGGTGTAAAGAGTGGGGGGAAACGTCAAGCTCTCTGCTGGCTGCGTTACTATTTCAGGCCGGGGTTGGATTTCGAAAGATCCGCCATTTTTACCTCGTCATCAACTCGGTTAGCTTTCCGGTTAGCACACTGAAGAAGGGAATGCGTTTAATATTCTTTACATCCCACTGAGAGTATTAACAGAGAGAACTCATCGTGAATAACGCGACTTCAACAGGAATGAGGAGGAGAATCGCGATGAACCGTGTGTCACGAACAAGTCCGAAACTCTAGCAGCGCACTGACAATGTAAACAATGTTAGCTTTCAATAATACCTCCTCCTGTCACCTGAGATATTTAATCTGAACGTAACGTTGGGCCAACGATGCAGTTATTGCAACTGCCAACAGTTTGCTCTAACGGTCTCTACTCCTGCGGTGGGCTTGTTCTAAATCAGTATTAAATGGGACATTTATTAAATCATTCGTGACATTACTTTTTACTTTACGTCAGCGGTGTCCCCGAATAAACGAGAAAATGACACAAAAACACTAACTTACGCTTTACAGCTCCGTAAACTTGAAACAATTCACAGAAACTGGGTCTGATGACTCCAAATATAAAGAAAGAAAAATAAATTCGCGCAGAAGTCGGTTGAGATTCCGTCAAAACATGTCCCTGTTCAGCTAAAAGCGGTTACTTTCCATTTACGGTGCATTAAGTTAACCCAGAATCTGTGCACCAAATAACACTCAAAGTTATTTTAATTTTATACGTGTGCAAACACAAAGAATATACAAATATATAATTTTAATTAATGAGAAATACTCGGCTACTTTCTGGCTACATAATCAGCTGCAACCTCACCAACCCAACCCAGCGGGCAGGACAACTGTACCAGCAAAGTTACCGAGCCTGCTAACCCAAGCTAGCTAGCACAACATTATATCTCAACATGAAACACATTCTTAACCTTGCAGCTTCCTACGAGATAAAGTGTGGTGATAATTAGAATAAGCCAATACGCAATCGTTCTTACCCAAGATTTTAACGCTGGGCAGGGCTTCCAGATAAAACAAGAAAAGGAAAAAGCGATTGTTCAAAATACCGCGCCGAGCGCCATTCCTCCCTGACATTTCACAGGCCGGCCACGCCCTCTACGTAGAACGTCACTGTGACGCTACGCTTAAAGGTACAGCACTTTTAAGGCAAGCCGTTGTAACATATAGCCAAATCACTGTGTTCATGTGATCAATAGTCTGGTGTTAACTTATTGTTTAATGTGTATTTATTATCTTCATCTTTGTTTATTCTTTTGAGTTTTTTGTACATGTTTGCAATTTCGCAATTTCTTTATCCTATACCGTTACGCATGTATTTGACTGTTTCATTGGCATCTTTCAATTAAGTAAAAAATAAAATAATGAAAAAGAGAAGGGGTATTCACGCCCTCCAGTGGCAACAATTTAACTACTAGGAGGAGATGAGAAAGAGAAAAGGGAAATACGTTTATAAAGTTATTTAGTAGCAACCCGTCTTATAAATTATTTCAAAAGAAAACTACGAGATTTGGGGCGTTATTCCTGTGGTTATTCCATGACCATCCCATAGAACCATCCCAGATTCCAAGAAAATACCGGGAAGCAATTGCGCATGCGCGACTCACTTCAGGTGACGCACAATAATGGCGTCCGAGGTGAGACAGGAGCTTACTCAGCTGATGAATTCAAGTGGATCTCACAAAGACCTTGCTGCCAAGTATGTAGCGCTCAATCGAGAACCACTCATTCGTTTTTAATAAAAATGTTTTTTTTTACGTTACCGCAACAGCGAGTCTCTGCGAGCTTACGTGTAGCTTATGTGTAGGCTAGGCTAAGCTACAGTTAGCTGCTTATTAGCTAGCTCTCCCTGTGAGCCTTAACGTTACAGTATTTCTAAAGACGAATGGTGAAATAATACTGGTTTATTTAGAATCTAGCTTCCTAGCTGTCCCTAGCGTATCCTTGATTTGGCTAAACAAATGCGTGTTTTTCCTTGTTTTCTATTGAAACTCCGTGCATCCTGTGTGTTTTCTGCAATTAACACCCATAATAAAATTTAAGAATCTAAACAGTTTAAGTCACTGTCAGATTAGTTTGGATATTATGTAAATAACTTCCATATGATACTAAAATTGTAAACAATGTCCTCCAATTTACTTATCCTGTGACCTTAAAAAAGAAAATTCGTCTCAAACATTTGATTTTAGATGTTGGAATGAAATTGTACACACGTATTTCATGAGTGATTTTCATGATCGGGTTAGGATACATAGTTGTTTAGTAGTTTTTGTTAATTATTGTTAATTAGTAAAATAATATTGATCAAATGAGGAGATGTTGGGGTTTTCATACATCTGCAAAATTCCATAAATGCTCTTTAGATGTATAACAATGTAGAGCTGCAACATTTCTTCTAAGCTTCTTGCTAAATGTTTTAATTCAATTGCATCTTAATATCTCTGGAGTTAATACCAGAGGATGGGAAGTAACGGAAGTACTAATACTTAAGTAGTTTTTTTAGGTATCTGTACTTGAGTATTTTTTTTCTGACAACTTTTTACTCCCTACATTTGAGCCTAAATATCTGTACTTTCTACTCCTTACATTTTCAAAATGGTCTCGTTACTTCGACATTTCCCTCTCGTACTGCACGTATTACACGTATGTCGATGGCGTCATTACGTAACTGTCGGAACAAAACAGAGGGAAAAAAATCAATGGTGCGGCGAGGAGTCCGGTGGGAGCGCGGTTTGAGACCCAGAAGAACACTAACTAACAACATGGATGATGACAGTGGCCTGAGAAATGCTGCAGGTTTGGAGGAGCGATGCATTCATCATCCTTGGCCTTATTTAAAATAACTCTTTAACGTTGTTGGCTCCAAGAACGATTCGTGGCGGATGCGCTGTGTTTTGTGCCAGCCTAAAAAACCTCGAGCTTCTGGCGTTTTAAGAATTCACCATCAAATCTGAAAAAACACGTACAGGTAAGCCTGATTTTATTTTTTCAGCTACTGCTGAGCTTTTAGGGCCACAATGGAAACAAGTGTTTTACAGTTTTCTGTGTTACCCTGTATATTTAATGTTTTTATGTCAAATTGTGTAATGGCACTTTCACGTTAGAGTCAGCTCGACCCCCACAGCCAGGTTGTTATCACACAGCCATCTCAGGGACACGGAAGTGAACAAGCACTTGGTCTCCACCATAAAAATGGCACGGAGAAATCTAAACACGAGCGCCAAACATTAGCAAACAAAAACAAAAAACAACTTGTGAGCTCGATCAGTTGAGACTAGTGGGATAAGACAGTTAAAACAATGGAGAACCTCGTAGTGATCAAACAACCGAGCCAATCCTAATGTGTAAGAGCCATTTTATTCTACAATTACATTATCTATGCAAGTAAAAAAATCAATAAATCAATTGAGTTAATTTAGCATGATTTGTAAGTGAGTTTATAACTTTGGTAATGCAAGGAACTTCAGAGTGAGCAGATATCTGCAGGGGTTGGAGTAATTATCACAGAATATAAATGTTTTGGTCATAGCTGACCCCCCGCCCCACACTGAAAAACGTCTCGCTAGGCTTAGAGTTCTGAACACACGTTTGTCTGGTGTGTGTGTGTGTGTGTGTCATGCTCTAAATGTAACACATGTGAGCTGAGCTCTGCAATTGTAGTCATTTGTCAGTTACCCCTTTAGAAAACCAGTTGAAGCGCATTGGGATTTTTTCTTCTTCATCTTGTATTTTGTGGACCTAACTTTTTTGCTCTTCTCTTTGTGTAGAGGAAGCACGCAAATCACCTGGAAAGGTATAACGAGCTAACATCGCCCAGTCTGAAGCGGAAATTGAACACCGACAACAGAGGCCCAAACAAACAACTAAAATTGTGGGAAACCAAGAGAGTTTCACAAAAAAGCATGGATGATGCCATCATTAACTTTGTTGTACAAGGTCTGCACCCGCTCAGTGTTGTCGAACAGGAGGGTTTCAAAACTTGTGCATCACCTACAACCAGATGTGACTGTAATGTCACGAGGCACCATAAAGAACAAAGTTGAGAAAGTAACACTGGAAATGAAGAAAAATCTAAAGGCTGCTTTGAATGTGGTTGAGCACATTGCTACCACCACAGACTGCTGGACTGCACACAGACGAAGTTTCATCGGTGTCACAGCACACTGGATAGAGCCTGAAACCATGGGAAGATGCTCTGCTGCACTAGCATGCAAACAGCTCAAAGGGCCGCACACATTTTCTGCACTCGCTGTTGCACTAAACGACATACATACAGTGCACTAAAAATTTCAATGTAAGTGCCATACCACTTCACTTTTCTAGCTTAGTGACTGTAGTATATGTAATAATAAAATATATATGGAAATATAATGTATTAATAAATATTGCAATTTGTGCATGTATATGAACATAAATGAGAGGGAATAAAAATAAGCTAAGAGGCAGTCTTCTGGTGCAGAGAGAGACGACTTGCACCCTCCTCACAGATCTTTTTTGCAGGCAGGGGGTCAGAAGGTGAAGGGAGGGTGTGGAGAGTTGTTTGTTGAGGGTACAGGTAGACCTGTTGTGTCAGAATGGGGTTTGGGTTAGTCAGTTGGAGGTGTGAATGGCTGTTTTTCAATAGAGGATACGAGTTTAAACTTTTTCAAGATAACAAAAGAGGTCAAACTGCCTTCATTTAAAACTATGGATTCTAATGTCCTGGATTACTGAGAAGCTAAACAAATGCATTTTTGTCTTTTGACAGGTTGACTCCTGCTAAGACAGAATATGCGATGAGTCCATTTGCAAAGGCGGTTGATGTTCTTCAGGGAGAGGCCAGTGTGCAAATGGGATGGCTGGTACCCACAATAACACTACTCAAGAAAAAGCTTCAGCACCTTCGACCTTCCTCCAAGTTCTGTGGGCCTTTGATAGATGCTCTTCAAGGAGGACTTGAAAAAAGCGTTTCCAACAGATGCTTGCTGATCCAGAGCTCATTGCTGCAGCTATTCTTGTCCCCAAGTTCAGGAACTGTTGGACACGTGACAACAGTACCCTGAATCTTGGTAAGAGTTAAGAGTTTTTTTTTAAAAAATATGAATTATCCATAAAATATTGGATGATTGTTTTTCCTACAATAACAAGTGAAAATCACTTTTAATTTTTGCAAAAATGACAAACCGATGCATGTTACAGGATGATTTAACTCATGAATTATTGTGGGGTATATTACGAAATACAACAAAAGTAAAAAATGATCAGGTCACTCTGACTTCATGTGATTAGTTCACTTTTAGATTATGAAATTCTGAATGTACCGTATAGGACGACCCCCCCTGAAAAGCTGGCGCGCTCTGCTGTTGCAGTCGTAGCGATCCCAGACAACTATCAGCATGTGTCAATGGCTAGACCCCGATTATAAAACGACAACATATTCTTACATTATTTTCAACGAAGAAAACCTCGTCCTATATTCAAGTCAATGCGGTAAATCTGTTTTTTCATACTTTATTTGGTATGCAACAAATTAGCCATGTTATTTTAATTGAGGTGATGAAATTGGTGATAAATTATAATCTTTTTGATTTTGTCATTCATAGGTCTTGGCAACCCGTGGTGCAGCCAGGCAACACGTCCTTTTCTTCAGAGGAGGAGGACTTCTTTTTCACCATCAGGCAGGGCAAGAATCAGGAAAACGCCAAGCAGCTGGAGTCCTACCTGGCCTGTCCATCAGATTCTATGGATATCTTGAAATCTTTTCCAGCAGTATGCAATTTATCACTGAAGCTGAACACACCTCTGCCTGCCTCAACTGCTTGTGAGAGGCTTTTCAGCACTGCAGGACTCATTTTCAGACTCAAAAGGGCACAGGTTGATGCAAAGAACTTCTGATGAAGCTCAATAAGTGTTTTAGTCTCAAACAGTCAATTCCTCTAAAAAGGAAATAATACTTTTGAAGTGACTTTGATTCCATGATCACAATGTTTTAAGTCAAGTTGCCGAAAAAACTATTGCAGTTAAATGCTCCCATATGTGGTGATAGCAACAACATTAATAGCATCATATCTCCAGGAATTGTTGTGTTGTTGAAATAAACTTCTCATTCTAAACCAGATGCTTTTTTTCCTGTTATTTAATGTTTAATTTTTTTACCTTTTACTTTTTGTACTTAAGTACTTTTTAGAGCCTGTATTTTTTACTTTTACTTAAGTAAATAAATTCGCTCAGTACTTTCACTTTTACCAGAGTAGTTTTTTTTACTCAGGTATCTGTACTTCTACTTAAGTAAAGAACGTCGGTACTTTTGCCATCTCTGGTTAATGATGTTAGCTAGTTTGTTCCTGCAAATAAATTTGTTGTTTAATGTTAATGGTTTACAATCCCACTGCTACCAATAAAAGTATCTAATGCAATTGTCTAAACCTCTTTATTGAATAAAGATTACATGTCGAAATTGTTTTAGTGTCGATAAAAACATGTTATTGTTTTTAAAGCCCTTTACCAAAAACATTTGTTTTTTCTAATCATAAAAATCTTTTGTAGGTACCGGCAGATTTTGGAGAAAGCCATTCAGTATACAGATGCTGATCAGCTGGAGTCCTTGAAGGCCTTTGTTGAAGCAAGTACGTATTTCTTGTGTCTTTTAAGGCAATCTTAACATTTTGAGGATATCTTATGTGACTGGATGTAAACTGGCTGTTTGAATTTACAATGTCACACTTTTACAGTGGTCAACGAGAATGTCAGTCTTGTCATCTCGCGACAACTGCTCACCGACTTCTGCACACATCTGCCCGGCTTGCCTGACGCCACGGCAAAAGCAGTGTATCACTTCACCTTGGAGAAGATTCAGCCGAGAGTCATCTCATTCGAGGAGCAGGTAAATGCCTTCTCACTCTACGTTACAATTTAGGTTAGTTAATGCACACTTAGGAAGTGAAATTCATGAGAAATGTTCCTGTTTGCTCTCAGGTCGCCTCTATCAGACAGCACTTAGCAACTATTTATGAAAAGGAAGGAGACTGGAGAAATGCAGCTCAAGTTTTGGTTGGCATTCCCTTGGAAACAGGACAGAAGTAAGTAGCCTTTTGTCTCCAGTTTTTGTACATTGCACATTTTAAAAGTCATTTCCCCCACCCCCACCCCCCACCCTTTTAGGCAGTATAACGTTGACTATAAGTTGGATACATACCTGAAAATTGCCAGACTGTACCTAGAAGATGATGACCCTGTGCAGGCTGAGGCCTACATCAACAGAGCTTCACTGCTTCAGAATGAGTCCTCCAATGAACAGCTGCAGATACACTATAAGGTACACAATCTTTATTTATGTTGCAGCTGCCAGTAAACAGGGACACACGCAGAAAGCCTTTTATAATTGTTCAAAACCCGATTGATCAGCCCTACCTCTCACACGAAACACTCTCGATAGCTCTATTCTTGACAGTGTCAGGATCTACCAGGATGAGCCGTTTCAGCGCTCTGTCAATTTAATGCATATCAGTCAAGTCAACTTTATTTATAGCACGTAACAACAGCTGGCCAAAGTGCTTAACAAGCCAAGATGAACAGAAGTTTCCTATAATGCTAAAAATGAGATAAAAGTTCATCAAAAAGTAAAAAACTGACAAATCAAACTGACGTAAAAGCTACTAAAACAAATGCGTTCTCAAACTGAATTAAAAGCACCTGAGAACAGATGAGTCTTTAAAAATGATTTACAACCCGACAGTGATGAGCTGTTGCTGGCCACGCTCGCTCACCTCCTGACTGGCTGATGTGAGTCAAGGGGCTCTGAGCAGAGCCAATGCACCTCCAGCATTGACGAGGGATGTGGGTGGGGTCTCTAATTTTCCTTATTGTGACATCACATGATTAGGGAAACTTTGCAAACATCTCGTAGAAACAAATGCCTTCTGACACTAAAATCTGACTACAATGGTTAGATGGTTTTTATCCTTTTAGAGACAGCAGAGGCCCACGTAGTTACACAATGGATGCAAAAGTGATATTTGCACAATATGTCCCCTTTAAGCCTAATTTATAGTCCTCTGTCTGCTCAACGCCATTACAGTGGATAAGGGAAGTTTTCAGACCTGATTAGCCTAATCATGATTTAGATGATTAGGTTAATAGCTCGTTTAGAGAATCTTTTCATGTTATGCTAATTTTTTGAGATAGGAATTTTGGGTTTTCATGAGCTCTATGCCAAAATCATCAATATTAGAAACAATAAAAGGCTTGAACTACTTCAGTTGTGTGTAATGAATCTAATATACACACTGCTCGCAAGAATTAAAGGAACACTTTTTTTATTGGGCCTGGCATGAAATCAATTAAACCTGTCTGATAATTTCCTGGTTGATTAAGCAGCTGAGGGCATTGTTAATCACTGTCAGCTGTATTGGTGTTCATGGACTTAACGACAGGTGCACTAAAGTGGCAACAATTACAAAACCCTCAAAACGGGACTGGTTTAACATGTAGAGGTCATTTCAAGTTTCTCCCTCTTGATCTTTTTCGGCTGGCTTTCCACTCGTGCTAGTTTTGGCTCTCTACTGGCAGTATGAGGCGATTCCTTAACCCTTCAGAAGTTGTACTGGTTGTCCAACTTCTCCAGGATGGCACATCCACACGTGCTGCAGCAAGAAGGTTTAATGAGTCTCCCAGCACAATCTCCAGAACATGGAGGAGATTTCAGGAGACTGGCGGTTATTCTCGGAGAGCTGGACAGGGCCGTAGAAGGTCCACAACCCCTCAGCAGGACCGATACCTGCTCCTTTGTGCAAGGCGGAACAGGCTGAGCACTAGAGCTGAGGAAAATAATCAAATAATCGATGCATCGGGATGCGGACATAAACGATTCTGCATCGTAGAAGAGTACGCCATAATCGATTATAGTGGAATGTAGTTTAGTTTTTTTAACGGCGGCACCAGCGCCACATCCAAATCTGTCAGAGTGAGCGTCCTCCACATTTACCTCCGCCTTAATGTGGTAATGCAGGGCTGAGCGCTAAAGTTGTCACCCGAGACCAAACCGGAACCGAATCAGCCCGACCGGTTCTGTTGGATTTGGGCCGTGAATTATGTTAATTGAGCGGGTTGTCGTGCGGCGCACTCCGCTCGCTCGATCAGCGACCGAGAGAGAGAGACACTGTCTGCTCAGAGAGACGATCGGAGGACGCTCCTCCAAACCGATGCTCCAAACACGCGTTATTATTTTCATAATTTAATTATTATTTCTCCTGGAATCGCTCAGTCAGACTGCTTGTTGTAATGTAGAGAGATCCGGTCTTGGGAAGGGGGCGGGGTCAATGACGGCGGCTGCAGTGGATCGTCTGTCTCTTTTATTTAGGGACACAGAGAAGTTAAAAGGAGAGAGAAGAAAGAAGTTCTTGTTCCACTTTATTCTTTTGTGTCATGATGATAAACTGATGTTAAATTCAGCTGAAAGAGAAGCTGGGAGGATGCTTTGGTTCATTTTCAGTTACAGGAGACTTGTCTCCTATCTGCTCCTCCAGAGACAGCATGGACATGAGGGTTACATGGTGAGGATCACACAGGACAGGTTAGTGGAAAGGTTTGTAGTTAGCTGGTTAGTGAAAGAGATCCATCAGCTGGGTAATTTAATCCTAATCCAGCCCACAGCCTTCTGCTGGTGATCTTATCAGGAAGAATAAAACACACATCTTAAATATTATTGGAAGTGTAGAATTTGTTTTATGTTTTATTATTTTCTGCACCAAACAGAACTTGATTCATTCTCCAACATTTCAGAAACGAACCACTGGGTTCAAATAAAATTAAGTCAAACATTTCATTTGGTGTTATTTCTGACACCCTTCAACTGTGGCATAAATATTGGACTCTAGAGCTGCTCAGAGACATTAAATACTCATATATGAACCCATTATGGATTTTATTATTAGATTATGTGTCCTGTAGGTTTTCAGTACTTTTTTAGATTTTGTGAGTTTTTGCAAAGCGTGTTTTTCTCAGCCTGAGGCGTGGTGTTGAACGAGGAAACAGATTGTTTTACTTTGTTAAATCTTCTTAAATGTTTAAAATGTTTTGTCCTAACCTGTTGTGAATGGAGAGCTTTTGAGGGATGGCAGGTTGTGTCACTTACGTTTTAGATAAAAAAATAAAAAGCAATTATCTGACATCTTCTATTTATCGATGAAAACAAATCAATATGAAATAATCGTGATGCATCGGGATATCGAATCGAATTGAATCGTTGACCCAATAATCGTAATCGAATCGAATCAGGAGACAAGTGAAGATTCACACCTCTACTGAGCACTGCTCGTGCCCTACACAGGGTGTCCGCGGGGTTTTAAAAAGTATTAAAAAGTGATAAATAAAAATAGTCAAATTTAAGGCCATTAAAAGTGTTAAATTTGGTCTCAGAGGTATTATTTTTTCCAAATTAGGTATTATTTTTTCAGACTATCAGATGTCGTATTCTCAACATCGACATAGAAATATATTCCGAATGAAATGTTTTGAACAATTATAAAAATAAAACGAGCCGATTATTTGCTCCTCCCACTTGCGCTGCCCTGAGTTGCAAATGAAGCGCTCCTCCTGACAGTGTTGCCAACTTGGCGACTTTGACGCTATTTCTAGCAGCTTCTCAGACCCCCTTCTTGACTTTTTAAATCTTAAAAGTACCAACTACCTAGCGAACACCTCAGAAACATCTCTGGTAACCCTTAGCTACTTTCTGGATAACTGTCGTCGACATTTCCTGCAAGTTAGCTAAACACTCCGGACCGTTCTTCAGGACATTAGGAAAGGGAATGATGTAGTGATGTGTCAGTCGCTAAAGAAACAGCTCTCAGAGTCGGCTCCCTGTTGGAGTAACCAGAGTGAGTGACACACACACCGCACCTGCGGACTCCTGAGCCGATAAAAACGGCTAAATGTGCGCGTGCGGCGCGTTAAACACACGTGCAGCTTGCCCCCGATTGTTGTGAGACCGGGTTGGGGGGTGGGGGGTGCAGCTGTGGTTGGGACAATTATTACATTAACTGATGGACTTGTAAATAAATAGTTTATAAATAAGGTAGAAATAAGTTCCTCACGCTGATAAATAACTAATCTCTCTGAGGACACGGTGCTAGTGCACTCTCCTACAGCACCTTGACACGACTCAATAAATGTTATGCAAAATTTAGTGAACATCAATTTGCATGTATTTGTTATAAATGCCACTGTATAATTCTTGCTGTCAGTATTAGCAAGATATTGGTATTTGGGTCTGTACTGGTTAGACTTAAATGAGTTAAACCAAGGTCTATAGCCCTTGGGTCATAAACTAGGAGCTATAAGTATATTGGTCTTTTTATACTGGGAATCAGGAGTTATTTTAGTGATCATCTTGTTTCTTGTTTATTTTTGCCCTGATTGTGCCCTGAGCAGTTTTATGACTGAATAAAAATAAAAAAATAAAAATCTACATAAATTGAAAAATCGTATTAAATAATCGAGATCTCAATTTCAGTCACAATAATCGTGATTATTGTTTTTGCCATAATCGAGCAGCCCTACTTAAGCATATCCGGTCACATAATGATGACGTCATATTCAGTGGTCGTTCTGCATCATTTCAGGCCTCGTGGTCAACTGTCTGAACCGCTGAAAAGAAGTGCCTGGCTTATTGTAAAATAAATATGTGCAATACGTTGTCAACATCAGTGAGTCTCTAAGTCTATTCTTTTTGTATGTTATATATGTTAAAATATGTGTAAATAGGTCGCTGATTAACACATGCAATTTAGTGTTGTGATGGTTTTAAAAAAAATTCTGAAGGTAGTAAAAAAAGTATTAAAAAGTAGTAAATTTTACTTAAGGATTGCTGTATATACCCTGCCTACAGAATGACCTCCAAAGGGCCACTGGTGTGAATGTCTCTACCCAAACAATCAGGAGCAGACTTCATGAAGATGGCCTGAGGGCCCGACGTTCTGTAGTGGGCCCTGTGCTTATTGCCCAGCACCGTAGAGCTCGACTGGCATTTGTTCAAGAACACCAGAATTAGCAAGTCTGCCACTGGCGCCCTGTACTTTTTACAGACGAGAGCAGGTTCACCCTGAGCACCTGTGATAGACGTGGAAGAGTCTGGAGAAGACAAGGAGAACGTTATGCTGCCTGCAACGTCGTTCAACATGACAGGTTTGGTGGTGGATCAGCGATGGTCTGGGGAGACATATCCATGGAGGGACGCACAGATCTCTATGGTGCTCTGACTGCCATAAGGTATTGAGATGAAATCCTTGAACCTTTTGTCAGACCCTACGTTGATGCAGTAGGTCCTGGCTTTCTCCAAATGCACGACAATACCCGGCCTCATGTGGCAAGAGTATGCAGGCAGTACCTGCAGGATGAAGGAATTGAAACAACTGAGTGGCCGTCACGATCCCCTGACTTAAACCCAATCGAACATCTGTGGGACATTATGTTTCGGTCCATTAGGCGCTGCCAGGTTGCTCCTCAGACTGTACAAGAGCTCAGGGATGCCCTCACACAGATCTGGGAGGAAATGCCACAAGACACCATCCGTTGTCTCATTAGGAGCATGCCCCGACGTCGTCAAGCATGCACACAAGCTCGTGGGGGCCACACAAGATACTGAAAAGCATTTTGAGTTGCAGAAATGAAGTTTTTGAAATAATGGACCAGCCTGCCACATCTTCATTTCACTCCGATTTTAGGGTGTCTACACAGTTGAGCCCTCTGTAGGCTAACTTTTATTTCCATTAAAAGACTTGGCATCCTTTTGTTCCTAAGACATTGCCCTGTCGTTATTTGTATAGATATCCAACTTCATATTGAGATCTGATGTTTCTAATGTGTTTCTTTAAAGTGTTTCTTTAATTTTTGTGAGCAGTGTATATGAAAGTGTAATGTTTATCGGTACTTTACAGACAATGAACTTTATTACAATATGCAAATTTTTTTGAGAAGGACCTGTATACAATAGTAAATACACTACCGTGGACTAGATATATGACTAATGGTGGCACGATACCCCAGAAAAGCTCTACGCTCTCTGTTGTCCTGGTGGGGAATTGCTTTACAACACTCCTCACTGGATATTTTCTCTCATGTCGAACATTTTCTGTAAACCAGTAGATTGTGGGTAGATAAGCCTGTCTGGTACCAACATCATGCCACGTTTAACGTCACTTCTGTCTCTTTTCCTCATTCGAGGTTTCCCTTTGAACTTCAGCAAGTCATCGTCAACAAACGTGTAAAACCACTGAGTTGCAGCCGTGTGGTTGGCTGATATTCGTGTTAACAACCACTTGAACAGGTTACACTTCATTAAAGTTAAAGTTCCGTTTATTCATCACACACTGGTGAAATTCATCTCCGCATTTGACCCATCCTCGTGGGGAGCGGTGAGCTGCAGCTGTGGCTGCGCTCGGGAACTATTTGGTGGTTTAACCCCCCAATCCAACCCCGTAAAGTGGAGTGTCAAGTAGGGAGGCATTGGGTCCTATTTTTAAATCCCGACCGGGATTTAAACCCCGATCTCCCAGTCCCAGTGCGGACACTCTGCCACTAGGCCACTGAGAAGATTGAGTAACCAGAGATTGTAAATAGATTTTTTTTAAAATACTCCAATGTGGGAGTCAGAGATGACATCGACCACGTGAATCAGCTGATTATCCTGAAGTTCAAACATCTGCAGTCATGCCTGCTTGTGTTTTTAGGTGTGTTATGCACGAGTGCTAGATTTCAGGAGGAAGTTCATTGAAGCTGCTCAGCGATACAACGAATTGTCCTACAAGTCTATTGTTCATGAAAGTGAACGTCTGGAGGCACTGAAACATGCCCTGAACTGCACCATACTAGCCTCTGCAGGTACGAGCTGTCTGCAGGTTTTATTCGTGTTCAGAAATACTCCTGATGAGTGGAGGAGAAACTTAATCAGCCGCTCTTCGCTTCTCCTTCCTCACAATGTCGTGTGCTTTAGGACAACAGAGGTCTCGTATGCTGGCTACTCTCTTCAAGGATGAGCGCTGTCAGCAGCTGGCTGCTTATGGTATTCTGGAGAAGATGTACCTGGACCGCATCATCAGAGGAAATCAGCTCCAGGAGTTTGCTGCCATGCTGATGCCTCACCAGAAAGCAACCACAGCAGACGGTAGGAAGAGATGGCGCCGTAAGAATCTCTGGATCTTTGTTTTCGAGCTGGAGCGGTGATTTGTTGCTCTCTGATTGTAATTGCTGTCTGTAGTCTGGTGTTTTAAAAAAGACATTTAATTCTTTTGACCCATGCTGATTACCCCAACTCTGATTGGACGGCATCTCTGTTTGAAAAAATACTGTATGTCTGAGTAACGTAAGGAGGCTTCACTTGGTTGTACTTGTACCATCACAGAGGTCACAAAGTGCTTAGAAAATCTAGAAAACTGTCAGAACATCAGCAGGAAGCAAAATATTGCATAGATGGTTGTTCAGAGTTAAAACAGCCAGTCATTCATAAGGGAAAGTCCAAAAATTCCTCAAAGCATTTGTAAATGTTCTCCATTTCCTCATGTGAGTAGCAAGGCATCACTCTAAGGTCGCTGGCATTTTGAACATCTCGGAAAACTTTACGCTAGTCTGAAAGTGTGACAAATAGGAGATAGAGCGATTCCAAATAAAATTAGATTGAATTGTGAACAAATAGGGACATAATTAATATGCTCTGCGATAAGTTGTGACTAGAAAATGTGAACAATGGCTGCATGACTGACTTGAGTTCTGTAGGGGATCCCAACTTTGTGATCTCCCCAGATTTTGTCCCAGACATCTTATTTGTGATTCCAGTAGAAAAAATGTCTTAATATTTTTACTTCCCAACAAATCAGAGTCGGACTTGATCAACAAGTTCAGTGGAAACTAGGGGTTGTATGAACTAGTCGTCTAGTCGACTTCACTGCTCTGTAGGGACTTTTTATGCCTGTCATCGACTAGTCGCTGTCACGTGATAATAAGATGCAGTCCTGGGAAAAGACAGCAGGTGACAAGCTCCTGCGCGTCGGGAGGCGGGGGGGACGCGCTGTGCCAGAGCGTCGGCACTGACACCCTCCGTAAAACGGACATTTAACCAAATTGTGACGTTTACCCTCTTGCAATTTAACCTTCCCCTCACCCCCATCCTAATCTTAACCAGCTTGCGCATGCAAAGCTCTGATTGTTGACACGCTCCAGACATCTGCGTCCTGAGCACCGCCACAGTAACATTATCAAATTAGGTGTCACCACCACCTCACAAACAAATTTAACACACGATCGTCCATGTCGGCTCATTTCCTTTTATGTTTTCTGTCTTTTATGTGTGCCTGATGCGTTTCGCTGCTGTGGAGCCAGGCGCATCACCTTGTCCTCCGGTGACGCACCTCGCTTACCCCAAAATTCCACTCTCCGCTCCGCCCCCGCTTTCCGCTGCCGCTAGCTTCGCGGCCGGCGAGCAGCGCGCACTCCGCTGTTTTTGTGGTCAGTAGATCTTTTAGAACTGCAGTTCAAAGGTAACTCATAAGGTGAATGTATATGAACCCAGGTAGCAGTTTTTCTTTAGGATTGAGAGGAGATGCAGGAAGATAACAAACAGGCAGGACAGAAAAATAGTCAAATAAAAACAAGTTAGTTTTGTACCTGGTGGTTGCAACAAACAGACACCATTGAAGGTAATCAGAAGTGAGGAACAGAAAATGAAATAATTATTTCAATGTTTAGAGCAGCAGGAACTCTGAGAGGCTGCAGGCGCATCAGTGAGTTTGCGGCCGCTGCGCAGGGGGAGGGGGGAGAGGGCTGAAGCAGAAACTACCGTTGTTAAAAGAAATGTGTTTAAATTTGAAAATGTGGGCGCAATTTTAATTGTCAAAAACTCCAGCGAACCAACCGACCCCCGCGCCGCTTCAGGTGTACGACGTCATCAACGACTAGTCAAAGTCGACTCAATTTTCATTACTTGACTGTCGACTTTAAACAAAATTAAGTCATGCGACCCCTAGTGGAAACACCCTTTCTTTATGAAAAAGGTCTCCCATCTGTCCCCGTCACAGGCTCCAGCATCCTGGACAGAGCTGTGATCGAACACAACCTCCTGTCTGCTAGTAAACTCTACAATAACATCACGTTTGAGGAATTAGGAGCGTTGTTGGAAATTCCTCCGGCAAAGGTGAGATGTTGATCGTTTGCTAGCGACAGCTAGAAACTGTTAGGGAATAAAGTGGTCTTTTTGGCTGTTCTATCGTATAAATCTGATAATAAATCATTGTCTGTTTATTTATTTAGGCTGAGAAGATTGCTTCTCAGATGATCACTGAAGGACGTATGAATGGCTTCATCGACCAGATAGACGGCATTGTTCACTTTGAAAGTGAGTTTAAACAGCCTTACATGTTTCCTTAAACATACAAAAATGTACTTTGGTTATTTTAATGAGTTTAATTCTTTATTTTCTTTTTTCAAATCTTATTTTGTCCATCAGTATAATGAATGTGTCATCACATTTGTCACTTTATTTGTCATGTTTGTCCATCTCAGTAGATTTGATTAGTCATGCCTGGTTCACACGGCCAGATAGAAAAATTTGTTGGAATATTTTAAAAGCATGAGTGACTCCACACATACTCAAGAGGATTAGGGCCCCTGAAAAGACAAAAAGGACAACCAGGACAATCCAGACTCATTTCATGTGTTGTTCCACAGATGTGGAATGACCTACCAAGCACCACTAGAACGGGGATGCGTCCTTGCCAATTTTCAAGAAATTCCTGCAGACCCAGCTCTTCAGAGAGCATCTTCTAAACTAACACCCTCCCTGCACCCGTCCCCCACTCTACTGCACACTCCATGTTCGCTTCCCTCTTTCATTCATCATTATTATTATTATTCATTATGCTGCTTCACAGCCACCTTGGACTGACTGAAGAGTGTTTGTTGTTAGCCTCAAGGGCAACCTGCTGGCTTGATTATCACCAGTAGGTCGCTTTGGACAAAAGCATCTGCTAAATACATAAAAAGAATTCTGACTTTTTGACTCCTGAGATTAAAGAGCAAGTCACCCCCCTACCAGAGTATTACTCCACTCCCACTTCCTGTTTGAAAAATGCAACAAATGCTGTTGCCTAGCAGACCGAGAGGGCGGAGCCGCTAACAAATTCACACACACAGGCTCACAACGACATTGTGACATCATATGGTACCAGCTAATCAGCTAATGTTCTAGGGTACCTCTTAGCCAATAGCGATGGCAGATTTAAATTCAACTGCAGTGCAGAGTTTTTACCTTACAACGGCACAACACTGACAGTTTTAGGCAGAAAATTTTAATTTTAACTAAAATTCACTAAAGTGCAAAACTATTGACTACACGTGTCTGCAGCACGACTAGACACGCATTTATATAGTTTATCAGAAAAAAAAAGTTGATTTGGGGTGACTTGCTCTTTAATGTCAAAATTCTTTTTGCCTTTTCAGTGGCCCTAATCTACACTTCCGTACACACACGATGATAAAAACCCACGAATTTAACCGCCTTGGCCCTGCAGTGTGTGGTTTCTGGGTACACAGCAAAGACAGCACACCACACACATTTCACTTACAAACATTCCCGGTGTGATGATGAGGTGTGTGGTTTAAGAGCTAGCTGAGGGTAACTAGCTTCCACGCTCGAGTCAGCTCAGACACTCTTGAATTCTCTGTTCTCGTTTTTCTTTTATTCCCAGAAAACTCACAGAAGCTTTGAGAAGACAGGGTCTCATGTGAAGTTGCCGTATATCTTCCCTTCATACATGAAAAATAATAATGGATGGTTTACAAAACGACATCAGGAGTCAAAAAGGAAAAGGGTGCCCCCTAGTGGTGCTACATGATAAGAATCCAGCACATCAGTGACTTTTACACCGGTCAGACGGGAAATTTTGCAAACCTCTTGAGACTTGGAAGTAAACAAGCTTGGCAGATGAGAAATTAGCATTAGCAGTGCACTTCTGCCACCTTGCTTTCGGAGTAGTTACATACATCTAACAGGCAACATACTTGTTTGGCCTCTGGGTGCACCACACACACACACACAATACGGTATCACCTAACATGTTTGATGCTCCTGATTTATGATCAAAGTGGTCCCGACATTCTTCAGAGCGGAACAGAGGGCTCTTAACACACCACACATGGAAGGAATATCTAATAAGGTTATCTTAAAAGCCATTATGGTAATCAGAGCCTCCTTAAGATCAACGGAGAGGAGAATCGGGTCAAAAATCAGCATAATAATCTTGCCGCGTGAAACAAGCATTACTTGGAGATGTCAAAGTGACTAAACTATGCTCTTTCTCCTCCCTCTTCTCTGGCAGCTCGTGAACCACTTCCTACGTGGGACAAGCAGATCCAGTCTCTATGTTTTCAAGTCAACAACCTCCTAGAAAAGATCCGCCAGGCAGCACCAGAGTGGGCCGCACAGGCTATGGAAGCCCAGATGACCCAGTAAAGATGTTTACTCCTCCCTGCCAAAAAACCTTTCACTTGTTCCTTTACAGCTTGCTCCTGGAGATCTGTCTTCCTGCTAAAATCGCCACTAATGGAGTTCAAATTACACCGACTCTCAAAAAGAAATGATTATTTGTTTAGGTTTTCTACTTTTACTCCTTAGGATGTATAAAAATCTGTGAATGTACCTTTTGGGTGTAACTAGTTTATAAGTTTCAGTTGGCACACGAATACTCAGCTAACTGACATGTGAAAAGGTCATAAAGAAGACACAAACAACAGATTTGTTTTAGTGGTTTTGCTCCATTATTTCCGCGAGTTTTCATCTTAATTGATCCCGTTGTATCTGTTAGTGGTTCTTAAATGCCTGTTATGTAGCCATCTTGGTGCACACCTGCATTTTCAGTAAAGTTCAAGTTGAAAGAATCTGTTTGGGTTCATGTATTCATGTTCATTCAGGGCACAACTAAAACCAGATTTTAATCTGTGTTTGTGAATGGGTGAATGACGCACCATAGCATAATTGTTTGAATGCTGAAAAGCATTCAAACTATTGTTTTCCTGTTTCTCTTTATTGTTTGAATGCTGTTAAGCATTCAAACTATTGTTTTCCTCTTTTCTTCTTATTCTGCTTCCGTACACTTTTTGAACCTCTTCTTCTCCTTCAAATTTTGAGCTATTTCAACAATTTTATATCAAAACGTTCAGCTCGTTAAGCTCTTTCCGGCTATTACTTTTGGCATTGATATCTTTAAAATTTTTCGAGTTATTAAGCTTTTTCTGCGAAAATTTTCCCATTGAAATGAATGGGATTGGTCAATTTTCAGCAAATTCCTATCACTTTTTTGACCTAAAACTCTATTGGGTTCCTTTTAACTTAGAGACTTCATTCAAAGTTTAACAAACTCACAAGACTTTCCTGTTTAACATATTAAAGAGGCATTTTTGAATATCTTTTACGGTTTTTATAAAATCGCAGGTAGAAGTTGAGGTACGACTTGAAATTTTCAGAAAAATTCACAAAAGTTATAATGGGGAAAGATAGGAGCAGTGATCCTCCCTTGCTCCATTTCTGGCATTGTCCCGAGAGAACCGTAGGTCAGATTGAAATGAGACACATGCTGGCTTACATCTAACGAATATATCTTCGTTTTGAGCTATAATTCATGACTGTACTCCAAACATTGTGGTCGTACGGTGCAATTGTTTGAGAAAATTCAAATTAAAAAAATGTCTCTCCCCACTCTAAACTGAAAGTTCCGCACTCTAACTTTTGAACTTCACATCTTCTGTGAACAACTCTTTACTACCCCAGACCGTTTGGACTACCAAAACAAATTATAACTCAAAAATTAGGAACTTTTGTCAGCTTTTCAGAATGGGTTTCATTTTATCTGTAAGTGTTACCGTTCTTTCGCTACAAGCCTCAGAAGGAGAGACCCAGATTCTGCTTCATTGAAACCCATGTTAAAGGAACAGAGATTTTCTCCACTGATCGGCTTCAGGCAGCTAAAAGTTTCTCGTCATAGCTTCAAGACAATTCACGGTAGGCACATAAAAATCCACACAGATGACCAACAAAGCCTTCTGCCGCTCATGCTTTTTGAAATTTTCAATTTGGTGCAGTACTTTTTGAATGGTGATGAGAAGTTTGACAGGTCCAATTTCACATCTGAAGGACAGATTTAAAGGCTTCTCATTAACAGGAGTACAGCTGCAGGCCTAAAAATAGCTGGGTGAAAAGGCAGTGCTGCTCTCTGATTGGTTGAGAGTGTTCAACCATTTTCTGTCCAATCAGGATCCGGCACCCATATATATGACACATCAAATCGACCAGTTTGGTCTCAGGAATCTTGTATTCAATTTTAAATGCGTTATCTGTTACCATGGCAACACAAGGAACTACATATCACTTTAACCAAGTCTCACAGGAATGGATATTAAAAAGCTGAACATTGAGCCAATAACAGAGTCCTGTTTTTGATCTTTTTGAACTATCTGTACTTAAAACTAGAAACAAGTTCAATTTGATTGACCGTCAGAAGGTGGGAAAGTGCCCCGCTCCCACCTAGCCCCCTGATTGGTTGAGAAAGGTCAATCATCTTCTGGCTAAATGGAATTACACACCCATACGTGTGAGACATCTAATTGATCAGCTAGGCCTAAGGAATCCATCCATCCATCCATCCATCCAACCAACCAACCAACCAACCAACTAATCAACCAGCTCTATACACTTAAAATCAGTGTTGGGCAAGTTACTTCAAAACTGTAATGCATTATTTATTACTTGTTACCCTCATTTAAAAGTAATTCATTACATTACAAGATCACTGATTTTAAAATGTAAGGCATTACACTACTTTTGCATTACTTTAAGTTACTTTCACCAAAACAACTTCCGTATGAATCTGGTAATCTGACGCTCAGTGAGCTCATGACATATATGTGGAAAGTGGTGTGGTGTCTGAGCTAGGACTGCTGTTAAAAACAGTTCTTTTGAATGATTGTTTATTAATTAAAAGCAACAACAAGCTGTACTCAGCACGCTGCCATCTTGTATTAACTGAGCAAGGAGTGAGGTGGTGGGGGATCCAAGACCATATTTGCCTTGGTCCCCAAATGCCTTGATACGGCCCTGGATGTGGGACTGACTTCTGGGGTGATCTGATTCTATCACATGTATAAATATTAAATGTTTATATATTATTGCTTTTCACAGGTAAAAATGTGTATAGGGGATAAATCTGCCTACTTTTTTCTTTTTTTCTTGATTTTATTTGAATAATTTCCTGCCCTTTCTCTCTCTCTAAACTTCCTGCATGCTGCATGTTTTCTCCGTCTTCCAGAAAAACTGTTTCCTAGATTTCCTACTTTCTAACTAATCAGCCAAAGGGATCTACCGAACGTTTTAGAAAATGCAAACTCCATGCAGAAAGGTCCCATATTGGTAAGCGAACCCAGGGCCTTCTTGATGCAAGGCATCACCTCTAATCACTGCACCACTGCGAAGCCATGAAAAATTTTTCCATTTGAGCCATTTAGAACAGAACATTTCAGCTAATGAAGCATTAAAAAATCTTAATGTTTTTAATAAACATTTTGGGAATTATAATATTATGAAGGAGAAGGAGGAGGATTTGAAGGGGATGAACCTGTATTGGTAAAGATAAAAGACTTCCTTAGTAGAAACACTAATTTCTTCCAAACACTGTTTTTTTCCTTAAAAGAATGGGAAATTTGCGCCCTCCACTGGCCACAAACAGCAGTAAGGAATAAAGAGAAGGTGGGAAAATGCTGCCCTCCGGTGGCTGTTTGCTGTAACTGCACCTATTTCATTTTAGCCATTTAGAATAGATCGTTTTAGCCTCCTTGTCTTAATGAAGCTTTATAAAATCTTAATGTTTTTAATAAACAGTTTGGGAATTATAATATTATGAAGGAGAAGGAGGAGGATTTGAAGGGGATGAACCTGTGTTGGTAAAGATAAAAGACTTCCTTAGTAGAAACACTAATTTCTTCCAAACACTGTTTTTTTCCTTAAAAGAATGGGAAATTTGCGCCCTCTGCTGGCCACAAACAGCAGTAAGCAATAAAGAGAAGGTGGGAAAATGCTGCCCTCCGGTGGCTGTTTGCTGTAAATGCACCTATTTCATTTTAGCCATTTAGAATAGATCATTTCAGCCTCCTTGTCTTAATGAAGCTTTAAAAAAGTCTTAAGAAAAGTCTTGGAAAATACAAACTCCACATAGGAATATCCCAAGCCGGGAGGCGAACCCGGGACCTTGTTGATGCGAGGCAACAGCTCTAACCATTGCGCCTCTGCAAAACTATAGCAATTCAGTTTGACCCATTGAGATTAGAAGATTTCACCCCCCATGTCTAAATGAAGCTTCACAAAATCTTAATGTTTTTAATAAACATTTTGGGAATTATAATATTATGAAGGAGAAGGAGGAGGATTTGAAGGGGATGAACCTGTGTTGGTAAAGATAAAAGACTTCCTTAGTAGAAACACTAATTTCTTCCAAACACTGTTTTTTTCCTTAAAAGAATGGGAAATTTGCGCCCTCCACTGGCCACAAACAGCAGTAAGGAATAAAGAGAAGGTGGAAAAATGCTGCCCTCCGGTGGCGGTGTGCTGTAAATGCACCTATTTCATTTTAGCCATTTAGAATAGATCATTTCAGCCTCCTTGTCTTAATGAAGATTTAAAAAATCTTAATGTTTTTAATAAACATTTTGGGAATTATAATATTATGAAGGAGAAGGAGGAGGATTTGAAGGGGATGAACCTGTGTTGGTAAAGATAAAAGACTTCCTTAGTAGAAACACAAATTTCTTCCAAACACTGTTTTTTTCCTTAAAAGAATGGGAAATTTGCGCCCTCCACTGGCCACAAACAGCAGTAAGCAATAAAGAGAAGGTGGGAAAATGCTGCCCTCCGGTGGCTGTTTGCTGTAAATGCACCTATTTCATTTTAGCCATTTAGAATAGATCATTTCAGCCTCCTTGTCTTAATGAAGCTTTACATTTTTTTTAATGTTTTTAATGAACATTTTGGGAATTATAATATTATGAAGAAGGAGGAGGATTTGAAGGGGATGAACTTGTGTTGGTAAAGATAAAAGACTTCCTTAGTAGAAACACTAATTTCTTCCAAACACTGTTTTTTTCCTTAAAAGAATGGGAAATTTGCGCCCTCTACTGGCCACAAACAGCAGTAAGGAATAAAGAGAAGGTGGGAAAATGCTGCCCTCCGGTGGCTGTTTGCTGTAAATGCACCTATTTCATTTTAGCCATTTAGAATAGATCATTTCAGCCTCCTTGTCTTAATGAAGCTTTAAAAAAGTCTTAGAAAATACAAACTCCACACAGGAATATCCCAAGCCTGGAGGGGAACCTGGGACCTTGATGATGCGAGGCAACAGCTCTAACCATTGCGCCACTGCAAAGACTATAGCAATCTAGCAACTCTATATTATGGACTGGAGCAGTCGTCAATTCACCGCTTGCAAGTGGCTCAGAATGCGGCAGCTCCCCTGCTGACAGGTAGGATGCACAGGGTGTTACTCAATAAACTAGATACTTGGTTAAGAACTTCTCCTTTATTCCGCAATGACACCATTGAACTCCTGCACAAAAAGGCTATTCCTCCGGAAGAAACCACACATTTTCAGAATAAATGCATATATGCCAACAGGACATTTGTTTAGCACAATCTCACCTATCCTTTTAAAAGAAATTATATTTATCACTTACACCTATAAAGATGTGCTCTTTCAAAAACAAACAAAACCAACTGATTGTGATATGTGCGACCGGATAGGTTCAATACATTTTTTTTATTCAACAGTCCATTGTCCCTCCCTCAGCGTTTTCAGTAGCTGAAAGCAGGATGCCCCCTTTTTTGTGAGACTGTCTGC